AGCTTAATTGAACCTTAATAAACTTTTTACTGAAACTTTTCAAAGCACAAATTAAGATTCAATGTGTCTGGGCGCTAGTTCCTGCAGTTGTATCAGACTGAATTAATATATATGAGCATAATTTGTGTTTAATTTTTCTAATCTCAATGTGAGATACAAGTTAGATAAAGCTCCAGTTACAGTTATTTCCTTCAGTGGAACAATACAAGCTGCACTTGAGCTTTAAAACACTTTATAATAGGTTTGTTTGTAGCTGTACGTCTCTGATCTTCAAGTTAATTTTGTCTGTTCCTTGAAAATGTCCAGACAGACGTTTTCTGTCCATAAATCTTTCAAAGATCCATCATAAAATTTAATATAAACTTTTAAAAATCTTCTAACTGCGCAATTCATAAAACTACTCTTCGAAATGTTCAATACATTCATTATAGGTCAATTAATGCTTTTCATTTTCTTTGTTTTTGTTCAATATCACTGAGGTCAGGAAGAATGTCTCATCTGCATCTCTGCTAGTTTCCCATTTTTGATTACTATACATGAAGGGTACATGTACTCTCGTTATCTTTTTGTGTAAAGATTGTGTTTCCCATTTTTGGTTACTGTGCATAATCGGTGCTCTATTTATCTTTTTGTGTAAATATTGTGTTTTAAATGCACAGCAAGGCTCTCAAAGTTCGAGTTCAAAACTTTTGATTTTTTTGGCAGATCAACTTCATTATATTTTATTCAACATTTGTTTCCTATTATAAACACAACCTGTACATCTTAATAATTATCTGTTTATGGCTGAATGGCATCTTTGGACTTATTTGTATGTAGAATGGGTGTCCAAGCTAAGCGTGCTCTTGGTCAGTTAAAAATAATAGAAATAAAAATAATAATAATGATAATTAATGTTTTATTTGCATTCCATGAAAAACCGGGACAACTGGGCTAACCAGGAAAACCGGGACAACCGGGACAACTGGGAAGACTGCAACGACTAGGACAACCTGGACAACTCAGTTGTCCCAGTTGTCCCTGTTGTCCCGGTTGTTATGGTCTTCACAGCTGTCCTGGTTGTCTCAGTTGTCCCAGTCATCCCGGTTGTCCCGGTTGACAGCTGGGATATCTGGAACAACTGGTGCAGATTGCAAGTTGTCCTGGTTGTCCCTGTCGTCCCTGTTGCCCTGGTTGTCTCGGTTGTCCAGATTGTTGTTGTTGTCCCAATTTTCCAGATTATCCTGGTCTTCCCAGTTGTTGCGGTTGTTATGGTTGTCCTGGTCCTCCCAGTTGTTTCGGTTGTCTTGGTTGTCCTGGTTTTCTCTGTTACCCCAGTTACACCGTTTTACCAATTCACCTTCTGAGCATCAGATTTTATGTGTAGTTTCACGCGACTTATGATGACCTTTGTTGTAAACAAACCCTAAAAGTTCGGACAGTGTTCTCTCCCTCATACTGTACTTGTATAAACTACGAGTCGCTTTTTCAAGTTTGCATTATTAAACTTATATATTTTCCTTCCCTTTCGTGGTTTGAAAATCAAATAGTTTAAGGTTCAAAATGTCAAAGCCGAAGATCAGGAGTGGTCGTTGCTGTTGTCCCAGTTGCCCTGGCAGTATCAAACTACTCTCTTCTCACAAGCTGCACTGATCATTTTAATAGAACTTTTTAACCCTCTGCCACTACCTAATGGAATGACATTAGTTTTGAGATACGTTGTCTCAAATCCATTGGTTCTTTTAAAAAAGCTTTATTTTCCTTTTACAATGTGCCTACTTATAACGCTACTTATGATTTTGCTATTGATAGATTTAATGCAATTTTCCACACTCGTTTAAATTTAGACACTTGTGCGCTTAACTATTATCTTAAAATAGGTTGTAGAGAAAGCCCAGTTCGTTTTTGTGGTTTGCACAACGTGACAGTTAAGTATTTTTTCTTGAATGTCCACTTTATTCTGCCCCTAGAACTAATCTTCTTTCCTCTGCTGCTCGAATATTTGCTGACAGATGGTCTTCTATGTGTAAAGCACAAATTATATCATTTTTTCTGTTTGGATCGCTGTTTTTGTCAGAGCAAATATTGATTCATTTTCTCACGCCCAGTCTTTTATATCCGAATCAACAAGATTTTATAAAGTAACCCAAAATTACATGTATTTTCCACCTGTTAGCATTCCTTAAATATCCTCGTTGTTTTCTTGACACTTTGAGTAACAACTATTATTTAATGTAATTTTTTATTTAATGTTTTTCCCTCTTGATGAGTTTCTTTTACTCTTAGAACAAACTTTGTCAATGACATATGTTAAGATAAGTTGACAGCTGGGATATCTGGAACAACTGGGACAGATGGTGCCAACTGCAGGTTTCCCAATTGTCCTGGTTGTCCTGGTCATCCTGATTGTCCCAGTTGTCCCTCTCTTCCCAGTTGTCACGGTTGTCCTGGTCTTCCCAGTTGTCTTGGTTGTCCCTGTTCTCCCGGTTGTCCTGGTTGTGGTGGTCTTCCTAGTTTTTCTCAGTTTTCCAGGTCGTCCATGTTGTTACGGTTGTCCGGGTTGTCCTGTTCATCCCGGTTTTCCCAGTTGTCTCTTTCTTCCCATTTGTTCTGGTAGTCCAGGTCTTCCCAGTTGTCCTGCTTGTCTCAGTTGTCATGGTCTTCCTAGTTTTTCTCGGTTGTCCAGGTCGTCCATGTTGTTCTGGTTGTGCCAGTTGTCCTGGTCTTCGCAGATGTCTGGGTTGTCCCTGTTGTCACGGTTGTTGCGGTCTTCCTGGTTTTTCTCAGTTGTCCAGGTTGTCTATGTTGTCATGGTTGTCTCGGTTGTCGTGTTCATTCCAGTTTTCCCAGTTTTCCTTCCGTTCCCAGTTGTCCCAGTTGTCCTGCTCTTCCCAGTTGTCTTGGTTTCAGTTATCCCTGTTGTCCCTGTTCTCCTGGTTGTCTCTGTTCTCCCTTTTGCCTCTGTTGTCATGGTTGTCAGCCGGGATATTTGGGGCAACTGGTGCAGATTGCAGGTTGGTCTGGTTGTCCCTGTTGTCCCAGTCTTCCCAATTGTCCTGGTTGCCCAGGTTGTCCCGATTGTCCCAGTCATCGCTGTTGTTGTGGTTTTCCTGGTTGTTGCACTTGTTTCAGTTGTCCTGGTTGTCCAGGTTGTTCAGGTCTTCCCAGTTTTCCTGGGTGTCCCAATTGTCCTGCTTGTCTTTGTTGTCCTGGTTGTCGCAATTGACAGGTGAGATATTCGTGACAACTGGTATAACTGGTGCAGTTTGCAGGTTGTCACTGTTGTTCTTGTTATTGTTCTTGTTCTTGGTCGACGCGGTCGTCCCATTTGTCTTGGTTGACAGTCGTGATATCTGGGACATCTGGAACATCTGGTGCAGATTGCTGCTTGTCTTGGTTGTCCTTGTTGTCCCAGTTGTCACAGTTGTTGCTTTTATCCCTTTTGTCCAGGTTGTCCTGGTTTTCTCTATTGTCCAGTTTCTCCTGGTCTTCCCAGTTGTCCCGGTTGACCTTGTTGTCCCTGTTATCCTTGTTTTCTCTGTTGTCCTGGGTTGTCCTTGTTGTCCCTTTTGTCCTTTTTTCCTTGTTGTCTCTGTTGTCCTTGTTGTTCTTGTTGTCTTGGTTTTCCCAGTTGTCCTGGTGTCCCAGTTCTCTTGGTTGTCCTGGTCATCCTGATTGTCCCAGTTGTCCCGGTCTTCCCCGTTGTTTTGGTTTTCTTGGTTGTCCCGGTCATCCCTGTTCTCCCAGTTGTCCTGGTCATCTCTGTTGTCTCAGTTGTCCTGGTTGTCACAGTCTTCCTTCTTTTTCTTGGTTGTCCAGGGCATACATTTTGTCCAGGTTGTTCTGTTCATCTTGGTCGTCCCAGTTGTCCCTCTCTTCCCAGTTGTGGCAGTTGTGTTAGTCTTCCCAGTTATCTTGGTTGTCTCAGTTGTCCCTGTTATCTCGGTTTTCCTGGTTGTCCTGGTCTTCCCAGTTGTCTCGGTTGTCTCGCTTGTCCCTGTTACCCCAGTTGTCCCGGTTGTCATGGTCTTCCTAGTTTTTCTCGGTTGTCCAGGTCATCCATGTTGTTATGGTTGTCCTGTTCATCCCAGTTGACTTGGTTGTCTCAGTTGTCCCTGTTTTCTCGGTTGTCGCAGTTGTCTCTGTTGTCCCTGTTTTCCTTTTGCCCATGTTGTCCTGGTTGTCGGCCGGGATATCCAGGACAACTGGACAACTAGTTTTTCTCGGTTGTCCAGGTCGTCCATGTTGTCACGGCTGTCCCGGTTGTCCCAGTTGTCGCAATCTTCGCAGCTGACTCGGTTGTCTAGGTTGTCCCTGTCGTCTCTGTTATCCCAGTGGTCCCAGTTGTCATGGTCTTCCTAGTTTTTCTCGGTTGTCCAGGTCGTCCATGTTGTCATTGTTGTTCCAGTAGTCCTGTTCATCCCATTTGTCCCAGTTGTCCCCCTCTTCCCAGTTGTCCCAGTTGTCCCTCTCTTCCCAGTTGTCCCAGTTGTCTTGGTGTTGGTTATCCCTGTTGTTCCTGTTGTCCTGGTTGTTGAAGTTGTCTCTATTGTCCCTGTTTTCCCTGTTCTTTGTTGTCCTTATTGTCCCTGTTGTGCTTGTTTTCGGTGTTGTCCTAGGTTGTCCCTGTTGTTGACAGCCATGATCTCTGGGACAACTGGTACAGATTGAAGGTTTTTCTGGTTGTCCCTGTTGTCCCTGTTGTCCCCGTTGTCCCTGTTGCCCTTGTTATCCCTATTACTCCTGTTGTCCCTGTTTTCTCTGTTGTCTGTGATGTCCCTGTTGTCCTTGTTTTTCTTGTTGTCGTTGTATTGCCTGTTGTCCTTTTTGTCCCTGTTGTCCTTGGTTTTCTTGTTGTCCTGGCTGTCCTGGTTGCCCAGGTCTCTTGTTTGTCCCGGTTGTCCCTGTTGTCCTTTTTGTCTCTGTAGTCCCGGATTGTCCCTGTTGTCCCTGTTACACTTGTTGTCCTGGTGTTCCCTGTTGTCCCGGTTGTCCCAGTTCTCCTTGTTGTCCCGGTCATCGCTCTTGTCCCAGTTGTCCTGGTTGTCCAGATTGTACCAGTTGTCTTGATTGTTCAGGTTTTCCTGGTTGTTCCAGTTGTCCTTGTCACCCCAGTTGTCATGGTTGACGGGCAGATATCTGGGACAAATGGGACAACTGGTGTAGATTAGAGGTTGTTCCTTTTGTCTTGTTGTCCTGGTTGTCCTGGTCTTCCCAGTTGCTCTGGTCTCCCTAGTTTTTCTTGGTTGTTTCAGTTGTCGTGGTCATCCTGGTTGAACCAGTTGTCCCTGTTGTTCCAGTCTTCCCAGTTGTACTTGTCAGCCCTGTTTTTCTGGTTGTTGCAGATGTTTCCGTTGTCCCGGTCTCCCCAGTTGTCCCTGTTGTCCCCGTCACTTTTTTGTCCTGGTTGACAACCAGAGTATCAGGGAGAACTGGTGCAGATTGAAGGTTGTCTCAGTTGTCTTGGTTGTCCCTGTTGTTCCGGTTGTTCCGGTTCTCCCATTTGTCTTGATTGTCCTGATTGTCCCCTGTTGCCACCATTGTTCCGGTTGTCCCAGTTGCCCTACGGTTCTCAGTTTTCACAGTTGTCTCTGTCACCCCGGTTTTGCCAGTTGTCCCTATTTACAGCCAGGATATCCGGGACAACTGGGACAACTGTTGCAGATTGCAGGTTGTCCCAGTTGTTTCGGTTGGCTCTGTTGTCCTGGTTGTCCCAATTGCCCTTTGTCATGGTCGTCCCTGTTGTCCTGGTCTTCCCATTTGTCCGGTTCCCAGTTGTCCTTGTTGGCCTGGTTGTCCTGGTCATCCTGGTTGTCCCAGTTGTTTCAGTTCTCCAGTTTTTCCAGTTGCCAGTTCCTGGTTGTCCCGGTCGTTGAGGTCATTGCGGTTGTTGCAGTTGTCCCAGCCTTCCCAGTTGTCTCAGTTTTCTCGGTTGTCCCTGTTTTCTCTGTTGTCCCGGTTGTACTGGTTGTCCCTGTAGTCTTGGTTTTCCCTGTTATCTGAGCTGTCCTGGTTGTCCCGGCTGTCTTGGTTTTCCCAGTTATCTCTGTTGTAGCAGCTGTCCCACAGTACTCAATAAACCTCTTCTGTTAATTTTGTTGCAGATGGCTGAAATTCGCCAGTTACTCAACATAATTGAACAACTTGAAAAAAAGCTTGGTTTGGAGGCTGGGCATTCGATGAGGCTAAGACTAGAGAAGGACAACTTGTATGACATGCTGAAAAAATCCACCACATATGATGCTTGGGATAGGATGATGTCTTCAACCATTAGGGATGAACAGGGGCGAGCTACTCCACCCACAACTCCTGTAAGTTAAAAAGCTACGTGTAACAAATCCGAAAAATTGTCCATACCCATCCCTTGGGGGAAAAAACGTAAACTGGAATTTACAGTCAGGAGAAGGAGGATCAATTTAAATTAAATGCCCTCCATGGGAGACTTATTGGTATTCTCAGGAACGAGGCATTTTCTGTGATTTTGATATGCTAGGGTTTTGGACCCATGAAGGGACTCCCATATAAAAGTTATGGGATGCTTGTCAGAAAATTAAAATTAAACCTTTAAGGGAGACATATGTGGGTGCGGCGCAAGCTGGAGGCCATACTAAAACAGACATCTAAATAAGAGCTACACTGTAGGTATCTGAATAAGTGCAAGGGATGTTGTGTTCTTTTTTTGAATGTTAGATTTCTGTGTGGTCAGTGTAGGCATTTTTTGTAAATTTCTTTATGCACATCCCTAAGCGATACGCAAATATTGTGACTTTCCGTCGTTAACATCCTGCACCTGTGAGTGAGATGACGAGCACCCCTGTCACTTTTATATGGGAGTTCCCCCTAGGTCTGGAACCTGTCTCATCCACACGAGTGCTGTGGGCTATAATACGTTTTGTGTAGTAATATTTGTTATTAGTAGTAAGAAGAAAGAAAATAATTATTATTGTCTTACTTTTTTCAGTAAGTTAAATGCTTAGAGGTTGTAGAAGTTCATTACAACAAGACGCTGTGGGAGCGTATATTTTGGCGTCGTTGTTCTACGTGTATGTGAAATTCTTTATGTGGATAGGGCTGTGTGAGTAGCGCAGTAGCGTTGTATATTTTAGGGGTTGGTTGAGATGTGTGAAGTGGAAGGCGTGGAGTTATATTGAACGTGGATTGGTAAGATAATGGTCGTAGCTTGTTAATCAGTGAAACTAAATTTGTTATGAAGTAACAAAGAATAGTTTTTTGGAAAGAAAACTAATTTCAAGCGTTGCAGTGAGGTAGTTGTGGGAGTGGTAATTTGGTTATAAAGGGATAGTGTAGTTACAGTCTGTTGAAATGAAGTGCTGGTTGTAAAAGATCTTATCAACAGCTGAAAACATACTTGTACTTATTTTAAAATAATGTTGTTAGGCTTTCTGTTTAGTATTGTTTTCGGCTATTTTTAATAATATTTGTATGGAGAGAACGTGGATAAGGGAAAGTGGATTTAATATGGAGAAGGGGGTATGAATATGTTTGTGAATGCTGAAATTTTGGGTGAGTGGATTTTGCTTTGAAAAACCGGTGAGGTCAAAGGGAATGGCGTAAATTCTGGCTATAAAATCAAGGCCCTGATTACATGAGCTGGGCTTGCTCGCTTGGCAGAGATTTCGGCACCTTACATCAACGCGACAAAAATCAGCTTTGCGATTACATGACATACCGAGCCAGCCCGGTTAGCTGGGATCACAGTATTGTGATGCTGGGACCCCGGCTGGAAATGTTACAAGTAATCACGCTTGTCGGAAGCCCTGCAAATCAGAACCAAGCGACAAACAGGACAGGGTGTAACACACTACTCATGCGTATTGCTTCCAGTCTCTATATAAAAATAGCGGCTTCGCGGGGCTTGCCCGGTTCATGTAATACCCGGATAAAAGTAATCTCGGTAGAGCCAGCTAGCACGGCTTATATAATCAGGCCCTTACTGTGAGTTGTATTGTCACGCAGTTTGCACCTGAAAGCTTTGGAATTTGCCGCTTTTGTGGTTCGTGTTAACCCAGTTAACTGTCACGTACGCAGTTTGCACGTGAAGATGTTGGACTTTGCCCCTTTGACGGTTTGAACGTGAAAAAAAAAAAAGATTTTGTTTATGATATCATTTTGCTCAGGAAGATTTTAAGAAATCACCTCCTTTTCGAACATCTGCAAAGAAATTACGTATCATTCATGGTAAGATTAACAGGCTAACATCAATTAGTTCCCATAAAACTATCAAACTGCCGAAAAACTTTACATGTGGCCACTCATCGCATGTCATTCCCCTCACTGAAACAGTCCGTTATTATCTCATGCACGAGTGATCCCGCAATTTTGTGCGACATCTTCTTTGGCTCTTGACAACTGAGGGCAAAAATATCGTCAAAACCAATTATTTTTGAAAGATTCACCTTCAATTTTCTGAAAAATTGCCTGGTTACTAGGAAAGATATAAAATGCCGTTAGCTTAAGATTTACCAGTTTATCGTTTTCGAGCAAAAAAATCGTCCTCTGAGAGGACATGTGCTTACTGGCAATGAATAGTCTCAGGAAACGACAAAGGGCAATAACGGGTAACTATGATCTGGAGGCGTTGCTTTAGCATGTTCATCATTTGTTATTTCTTCATCCCCGCACTGTTGGGAATTGTGTTTCTATGTTGCAAGGTTTTTTATATCGTAAAAGTGGGATCAAGCTTTCCTTCCGGCATACTTTTGTACGAGTCGTTCGCGTGGCTGACATTCACGTCGCTTGGCTTGTTTACTTGGCTTATTTAAGTTCGCACGTATTGCGTGCCTATTGCAACTTTGAATCAAAGCATGCGATCTCCAACACTCTGCTTGGGCGTTGCCCAAATAAAAGGATGTTTAAACTTTTAAAACCTTAAAATCTAATAAGGGCTTGAGACAACATTTTGGCTTTAACTCCTCGTTAAATCGGCTGAGAACATAGCAAAAAAAATCAATTTCAAATGCACATTTTGTGGTTTTTCTTTCACGCCGGTGTCAAAATTTAGAAAACGTCCATGAAACCTTTAAAAATACAAAAATTCGCTTTTAAAAACGTACCTCTCCTTGAACATCGAGTACAGAATGTACCTCAAATTTCTTCAGAAACCTCGCTGCCTCGGTTGGTTCAAAACAAGCTAAGCGCTCTGATCCGCTGTGCAGAAAACAAGGTTGAATGCCTCGAAAGACAATTTCATAGCGAAAAGCTCTCGTTTGTCCACAAAAAGGTAGTCTCCCTCGCAGCCGTTTTTGGATGTCACGCAACGCTCCCCCAAAAGAACGGCTACTTTTGGGAGAGCGTTGCGTGACATCCAAAAAAACGGTTGCGAGGGAGACTAGCAAAAAGGAAACTGAGCATTCTTTTGAACTTTCTCTTTCCATTTGTGTCTTTTATCCGCGTATTTTCAATCTTGAAATGCAAAACTTTAGACCACCCCATGATGAACGTGCGCCAGCCATTTTGTTGATGGATGTCAGTTACTAAAGTTTCAAATCCGCTTCTTCCCCCACCCCTTATGTGGTTGACCATTTGACTTTTGTAGGGGAAGGGGTATGGATGAGTTAGTTTGGCTACGATTTTTTTTCCAAACCTCTGGAGTTAAAAATTTTTTCCCTGACATATAGCGGTGTACGATTTTTTTTCAGCATTATATACGTCATGAGCGATATTTTTTTCAGTGCAGGATATTATTTTCCCAGCTATATCCTTGCAAGCTTTTCCCCCTTGAAATCAGTCTGTAGGATATTTTTTTTCTGAAATCACCCATAACCCCCTCAAAAGTCAAATGGTCGGCCCCGTAAAATCCACCAAACATTTGCTCAGTTGACAGATTCTGATTTGTCAATCATTTCTAAAGCTTTTTGAAACAAAGAGGACAAAACTCTCTAGGGGAGAGGGGAGGAATTCGTTACTACTCACCTGTTAAGTATGGAGATCCGCTATTAGAATTATGAAGTTGAAAATTTTTTTTATAAGTAACAATTAGAGAAGTTACTCCAGAAGAATTCTGAAAGTAGTGAAAGAAAAAAACAACAACAAAAAAACAAGAAAATAGTTATGGGAGTGAAATTTTTCATAAAACTCTTTACTGATTCTTCTTGACGAAAAAAATGTATTAATAACGGCTATCTTTTTCAATTTAGCTGCAACATTATACAGAAGTTATGAGTAGACTAACAATGATTGCATGCAATTAGCAATCCATTAAATTTTCTATTTCTACTTTCCCCTTCCCTGTTAACATAGATATTTATTTTGATAAACTTTATGAATAAAACATTCCAGAAGTGAATAGTTTGTTTAACACGAAACCACAAGGTATCAATATAAATGTCTCTTAATTTATGCAAACAAGGACTCGTGCCAAAGGGTTGAATTGTAATGTCTTAAAATACAGTTCATCTAAGAATATAACAAACAGGAATGTATTCTAGTGGGAAGGCTTTATAACATGGTAGCAGTCAAATTATTATCTTGTTAAGCTTTTAAATTCAAGCTTTTTTAAATAGCTTGCTTAATAATTTCTGGTTTATTTTAAAAAATAATAATGTTAAGCAAGTTTACTTGAATGTAAATTTTTTAACAGGATGCTATTCTGCAATGTTGGTAATATCTCATCTTCTTTTGTAGGATTCAAAATCAGCAAACCAAGAATTAAGGATCCTTCAGAGAAAGAATGTAGAATTGAGTTCTTTGGTTCGAAAATTGGATGAAAAGAACCAGCAGTTAGCAACAAGAAATGCAGAATTGGTGTGTTTCAATTTATACCTGTCTATAATATTTGTCTAGTCATGTGTGAAGAACCTGCTCTCTAGAGCAGTGAGTGAAGAATGATTATTGAGGGAAAAAATTATAAATGGAGGCATAGTATGTTGTCTCTTTTTGTATAATAACGTGTTTAAGTTTTTGTTTTCAGTATATTAGATCTCTGCTGTACTATAAAGTGGCCTCATCTCGCCATTGTATGAGTCAAGAATTTATCATTTAAACGTAATTGTCGTATTATTATTGACAAAATAAAAACGTGTCTACTGCTACTAACAAAAACAAAGCACTTTCCTTTTTAACCAAGACTTTTTGTCATTGATACTATTCAAAAGTTTCAAACTCAGTCAATATTAGATAAGTTGTTTTCATTTATTTGCTATTTTATTTTTAGTGCCATAATTTCTGAGAATGGAATGCAGGGTTGTTAATAATATTGGCTGATTGTTATGGTATAATAGCAAGCTAGGTATCTCTTAGTTTCAGTTCTTACAGATATATTATTTTGATCAGGGACGTCTAAAATGACTTTTTTATCATGCATGTACAGCATCCAATTAGGTGTTATTTCATCTAATTGAAATTTTCCTCTTAAAAATATTTGAAGTCATTGTTAAAATAAGCAAGGAGATCAGCTACATAATTGTTGAACACATAGTTACGTTGTTAAGGGCAGTAACCAATCTTCCCTGACTTTCGTCAAATGTTTGGCCAGTTTTTTCTTAATTAAAACAAAAATTTGTCAAACTTTTAGCCCAACAGGTCATCATATTTAGAGTGACTGACTTTTGTTCATTTGACTTTCTGTATTATCTATCCAAAGCTCTTTTTTTCAGTTTGCTTCATTTTTTATAATTTTTAGGTCATCGTTTCGTTTGACTGACTTTTGTGCATATGTCTCTCGGCATGTCATGTCCCTTTTGCAATTTTGCTTCATTTTCTATATTATGTTAATTTCTTTATTTTTCTTTTAGATTCTTAAGATTATTTCATTTATTCCAGGATTTTAGCTCTTCTGACTTGGGCAACCCACCTTTGCATTCTGTGTTTCAGTCACCTTTGCTAGTTTTAGAGTATGGGTCACCTCAGAAACAAAACCAAAAGTGTCTCATAGCCCTAACCTCCCAACTGCTCTTTTAGATCAAGCGGGGTTTGGAGGAACAAAAAAAAGCTTTTTCAGAGCGAGAAAATTGGGAAAGGTTTTCTCCTTTGGTCAATGGGCCAGGAATTGTTTTACCAAGCCCTGTTTCAAGAGAAACTGTTTTATTCTGGCTTTACGTTAAGTATTCATGAAATTGCAAATGGTCACTAACACTTTACTTCACCAGTTGGCTGAACTTGAGAAACTTGAAAAAGAAAACAGAGAAAAAAGCAGAAAGTTGGAAAGAAAAAATGTTGACTTGACACAAACCAATAAGAAGCTTGAAAATCGGAACAAACTACTGTTGGATGAACTCAATGCCATGGTAGGGTACATTAAGTGTTCAATCTTTCCTATGCTTACTCAACCCAATAAGCCCCAGTATCCACATACAAATTCTCTTGACACACATCTGTGTTTTCCTTAAGGAATTAGTTTAGAGAATGAAGTAAAAGATCAAAGCTTATTATATAAACACCAATGAAATACCAGGTGAGCTTTCGCGCGAAAACATGATATCTTCACACGTGAAAATAACATGTTATTTTCTCATGTGAAAAGATCACCGTTGCTATGGCTACATAATAAATCGCGCCTTTGGTAGCAAAAAAATATTTAAGTGAAGTGGTTTGGCATTTCAGTGGTGTTTATATAATAAATAGAACATTGTTGAGAAATTTTTCCCTCGATCGCTGCGTTCTCTCGTGAAATACTTTTCATCACTCGAACAGAAATTTCGTATCTCCGCACGGCCATGTAATGGCCCCTATATTTACCCGTAGGTGACCATTTTTCATAACCTTTTCTTGTGTTACGAGAAAATAGATGTCTGTCACTCTTAATGGGACTTAAAGTATACATACACCAATCGACTCTCTTTTAAAGAGTGTTAGAATTTTGAACTCAGTAGGCGTTTGTCGTCAACTAATTCTCGCTCGCTTTCATTTGACTTTTCCCCAGAAAAAAAGCTCGGCATCAAGAAAGACAAACTCTGTAAAACCCAGAGGTCGTAATGCAAAGGAGGTAATTTATGTCGTTGTCAGTTTTCTTAACCTGGCTTACAGTGCAGCGTGCAAAGAAAGCAGTGTCCGATAGACCAGGGCTAGTGTATTTTTCTGTTCTTAACTTGCCCAATGGACAAGTGAAGGTTTTTCGGGGTATTCAAATTACAGAAGAACTGTAACAAATCCTGCTCATCAAAATTTTTTTCAGGCAAGTTGAAAAGACTTTTGGGCTAGTGCGTGCTACTGCTACAGCCTGCCCGAGTGGCAAGCTGTAAAACTATAAATGTGCTATAAATAGTGCTATAAATGTAGGTGCGAATACTTATTTTTATAATAGTATTGTTAATTACTGGACTACAAAAATTGTAAATAGACGGAAACACAGACGGAAAGACAGACAAACTGACAGATTGAGTATTTTTAAATGGTGTTAAAATTTATTTTTGGCCAAAGGTTTGAATAATTTTCCAAGTTTGTTTTCGGACATACTTAGCCTAGAAATATAGTTTCTTGATATTCTAGATAGAAAAGTTAGCCTTCTAGGCTATAAAAATATTAACAGATGGAATGGACGGACTGATGGATGGACAGATAGACTATTTTTTTTAATAGTTCTAAAATTATAACAATAATTATTTCCGAAGGGATTAATCAATGATTTTGTTAAAGTTTGCTTTTGTTCAAAGTTATCCTATACCAGTGTAGAGAAGAGTATAAAAATGTAAAAAGGATAGACTGGATGGACGGACAGGCAAACTAGAAATATTGTTTGTTGAAAAATAGTCTTCTAGACTATAAATATGTAAACAGATAGACGGATCTTACGATGAGCGAGGATAACCTCGTGATCCTCCTGCAGGTGTCGTAATGGCTGCCTGTAAACAGTGTACATGCATATGGATGGACGAACGGACGGAAAAACATACAGACGGACGGACAGACAGACAGACAAACAGATGGACGGATATTCTAGATAGAGAAAATAGCTTTCTAGACCATAAACATTAAGTGCCACTTGTTTATCTAAAAAATGCTATCTGCTAGGATCACGAGGTTATCCTGGCCCTAAGAACATTCCTATTTCGGAAATTTTATTTTTAGTAACGAGAAACATTATATACATTTTTATTTTATTTAAATTTATTCTATATCAGAGTAGGTATTACCATTTTTCAATTTCATAATCGACTGTTTGTATCATCATTATATTTTATTTTATTATGACATGTTAGCGCATCGAGATTCCTAAATGCGCTCATAAAAACCTTACTATTATTATTATTATTATTATTATTATTAGACATACAGCGTGCAAAGAAAGTATTGTCCGATAGCCCGGGGCTAGTGGATTTTGCTATCTGGCTAGTGAATTCTGTTTTTAACTTGCCCGACGGGCAAGTGATGTTTTTTGAGGAATCTGAATAACAGAAGAACTGTGAAATCAATTCTGCTCATCAAAAAGCTTTTGCCGTGGGGCTAGTTGAAATGACTTGTGGGCTAGTAAATGCTAGCTTCAGGTTGCCCAAATGACAAGCTGTAAAAATGTTTTTCTTTGCACATATTACATAGACGTAGAAATATTGTCTCCTTAATTGATATCCCTAGAGTGAGAATGGTGCCCTCCTTTTTATAGCAGGATGAATTGAGTAACCTTAGAGCACAGTTGAGAGAACAGACAAGAAATATTAAATAAATCTGAAGTGTCGTAATGTGCTTGATGGTTTAGTTTAAATAAACTCTATAAGTTTTAGTGTCGTATGAATGTGATTTATAGGGGTTTACAGTTTATGTCTCTCTTTCTGTAATTGTCTCCTTGTTAAATATAAATAGCAAGGCTTGTCAAATTGTCCGGTCAAACCTATGAATGCCGGACAAACATCGATTACGTCTTATCGCTATAAAAGCGCGGGTGATAAAATATATTAGGGATTTATTGACCGCCAAAGGGGTGGTGGTGGGGAAGATAAATATACATAAAAGCTCACCAACGTTTTTGGAAAGAATGAAAAGAAAAATTTATCTATATATCTATAAATGTATGTCTCTCTTTCTGTAATTGTCTCTATTTCTTTATAACATTGTGTTTTGTTCGGACAAATTGTATAAGGATTTGACCGGACAAAACCTATTTTTGACAACGTTGAGGCCGTTATTTGCATATTGTAATTTGTAATTATTTGGAAAATGGTTGATGTACCAGCTGTTGTAAGACCCCTAATAATTGTCAATTGTTTGTCGTTATCCAAGAAGACTTACTAGAATGTCTAACCGTCTGCAGATGTCGTAACAAAGCATCCATTTTACCTTAGTTATTTTAAGTCCTGAGTGTTGGTCTGGCCAGGAATCCTATAACTCTCAAGTGTGGTCCTTAAAACCAACTAAGCTAACCAGCCAATGGTTTGTACAACTTGGGTGATTGGATTCTCTCCTATTCAGAATTTGTTATGAGTATGGTGCAGCAAATATAAAACTCAGCGGTAAAACGGCCAACAAAATGACTGTCAGAGTAACGGCTCACCTGTTAAATTATTAACTCAATTTTTTTGCTTAAGGTAACGTTAATTCATTTGTTTTTGTTCAGGATAAAGACAGGAGAATTGAGCTTTTGAGAAGCAGACAGAAAAAGAAGAAACGACAATCTGTAAGTACACGGTTGAACTTCCATTAAGCGGACACCCTCCATTATATGAAGCGGCCCAGAGTCCAGGCCAGTTAAAAAATTTCTGAAAAAATTGTAGAAAAGAATGGGAACTTAAACCCTCCATTAAGCGACCGCGGCCTCCTTCTGGCCGTCCCAACGAGAATTCTTCCATTGTTGTCACCTCTATTACTCGGTCATCAAGCGCTTGATCACGTAGCTTAGAATATGGTGAAGGAAAATTCAGCCCGAGATTGAAGGTGCGACCGATTGATTGCCAATCTGGTCAAATTTTTAAACGTTTCTTAAGGAGCCAGCTTGTCGATAATTTTGTAGATGCTTCTTAGTTAAATTTAAAAGTATTGCAATTAGTAATTAGCTAGCATTGTAATTAGTACTAAGTTGAGTGTTGTAATTAGTTAAATGTAGTGCTTTTACAGTCATTGTTCCTGAAAAGCCCTTTTGGGGAGGAAACAATAAAGTATGTATATATGTGTTGTGGACACGCACTGCTCTCGTCGCGTGTTTGCTTCAATAGAAAGTAATGTTTCTGTTCTAGATTATGCTAATTTATGACGAACCTTCAGTGAGCGGCCACTTGCTTGTATCCCGAGGGTGGCCGCTTAATGGTGGTTCAACTGTAAAATCATTGATTGTTACCTACTGTTTTGTTAGACTTACCCATAATTAGTAAGAATTAGATTACACCACACTTGCATGTACAGTCAAACCCCCGCTTTACGAACACCCCGTTAATATGGACACTTTCTATGCACCCCCCTCCCCTCAGTTTTCGTACTAACGGGGTTCGACTGTACATGCAATTTCCAAGAGCTCTCCATTCTGCTGGGCGTTTTGTAGGCTTCGTTTGGCTAGGAAGAGCTTTTTGAGGAAGGTTTTAGGATCTATGAAAGATAGGTGGGAAGTGTAACACGATTTTCATGGAAATTTTCGGGTCAACATTACATGGTTTTTGCCTTTTTCTTTGGCCTCCTTGACTGTGTGGTCGTGCGTGGTTGGTTTGAAAGATCACCCTGCTCAAGTTAAAATATAGTCTGAAAATTTTTAATTGCAATATTTTTGGCTGTTGTTTTTTTCGGTGTTTGTATTTTACAGCCAAGCCCTGTTTCCACTTCACGCTCAGCTGATTTCATGGCAGTGGAAGATGACGACGCACTATCTGTTCATTCTGATTTTAGCGAGTTTTCTGAAATGGTTGGTATACGATAGTATTACATGTAACTGAGCTGAACGTTTTTATGAAGTAATTACAATACTTTACAGTAGACCCTCTCAAACTTCCCACAAACTCGAGCCAATAGAGTACTAAAGTGATGACGTCATAAAAATGAAATTTCTGAAGTTAAGAGACTTGTCAGGGTATTCTGAAAGAACAATGTCCAAGAGGCCTACTTACCAAAAATGAGCATTTCGGGGCAAATTGTCTCTGAGATGTTTGCCGGTTATACTCAGAAAACTCCATACAAACCCTTCTTAAAAAATTTTAGAAGGGTTTGTATGGAGTTTTCTAAGCATAACTGGGCTACGATCTCAGAGACAATTTGCCCCGAAATGCTCATTTTTAGCAAGCAGGCTCCTTGGACATTGTTCTTTCAGAATATCCTGACAAATCCCATAATTTCTGAAATCTCATTTTTATGACGTCACACTTTAGTACTGTATAGGACTCTTGCACGAAAGCGTCATTTTACTACTACTACCAGAATCCTTTTCGCTTTTCCTTTCATATTCAAATTTGGTAACTCTGGCGAGGTATAAATAACACGAGAAAGCAAAATCCTGAAGGATTTTGGTCGTAGTAGTCAAATTACGTCATGGTGCAAATGGCTTATTTTGCCTGCCTTTAGCTCCATATTCATTAAAGGGATTTTTAATTACTGAGACTCCTAACAGGTAGTCTCTCTAATAAGTGGCATGGTAAACGCAGATAACTACAGCGGAATTCGGTCACCGAGGGCTAATACCATAGTGTTCGTATCACCCGGGTTTCTGTATAAGCGGGCTGTCACACAACAACAGCCACAAAAATAACAACAACAACATTAACAAAAAACTTCATGGACACGCGTTTGTATATTAAGAATAAGGCAGACAAAAAGAAAGAAGGGTAGGAAACTGACCGCAGGGAAAACTGAGGAAGTGAAACTTGCGTGGTAAGAGGCAAAAAAGTTTGATAAAGGGTTACCTTTAGTTATCAGTGTCAAACAGGGGAAGAAAGACGGATTTGTATCAAACTCAAACATGTCACGCTATTCTGCCATTGTTTTTCAAGTAATAAAATCGGTTTAGCCATAGAAATCTGCTCAAATCGTAAAGCAGGGTTAACGATAGAGAGAGTTTGTGACTCGGGACACATGAGGAAAAATGTCGGTTGTCCTTATAAACCAGTGTCCGTATTAAGCAGGTTGATTAGCGAGAAAATATATGAGCATTTCTCCGAGACAAACAAAATGTCCGTTAAATAAAGGTGTCTATATTAAGCGGTTATCCGTAAGTGGGGTTCCACTGTAACTAATCTGTAGGTTGAGATGATTTCCAAAATTAACTGTAGGCTTTTATCCATTGAAAAAACAGATAGTGAGTACAATGTACAATGATCGCGTTCGTCAGAACGCATCCTAATCTGGTGTTCCTGTGGCACTAAAGCAGACATTTTCGAGCTATCACGGGCGACAGCATATTAGCCGCCCTTATCAGGGGCACCTCGGCCGTGAAACTGGACTCCTTTCGACTCGATTTCGTTTCCGTAATTTTTCCGTAAGTGACGAACGCGGATCCGTAATCAATGATTACCTCTAGTAATAATCATTATCAGTTGCCAATACGGAAGGAAAGTTGGGTTTCTTTGCTAAGTTCACAAAAACTTTGCATGCATCAGTTGTAAGCAAATACGTGCATGTAGTAAGTTATTCTTCTTCACAGTGTTTAACATACCATATCATGCTATGTCACCCATAATTATCTGTTTCTAAATTTTGTTCTTTTATAGCTGCCGTAGTACAGCAGTATTTCAAACATTTTGGAAAGCTTAATAAAGGGCAATTTCTGTACAGAGAAAGCAAAAGTTCCGTGACTGTTGTTTTGATTATATCTTAATTTGTTTCAATGTCTCTTTTTGTATTATTATGCGTGATAATGAAGATTTAATTGGAAAGGAAAACAGAACTTCATCCAGGGACAAAATTTAACCTTAACAGCTAATTGAAACCAGCCTTGCAAGTCTTTTTAAAAAATTAAATGGATCATCATCACCTGTTTTGTTCTCACAAGGTTGTAATTAATAGATCCGAGTTAAACAAAAACTGTAAACATTGACATTCCTGGTGGCTAATCAGTTATAACATGACAGCAGAAACATTCGCTGATTTGCATAAAAACTGTTTAGTTCCAAACTTTGAACGTTGTGATGACTCTAACAGGTAATGCATTCTCGTAGCGTCTTGATTTTATTCACTTAGGTAGCGCTTCACAGGGAACTTTCGTGGTATTTTTATGAGTAGATTTGCCTCATTTGTATCATTCCTTTAATTTGGCTCCGATCTTTGCCAAAAACATAGGATAATTATAGTAGTTAGTAAAATAGACTACCAAGGCAATGTATACTACCAATAGAATGAAAGACTACCAACGGCAATCTGTGAAAGTATTAGTTCCATGTTTAGAAGTCTATTGACCTGTTTATTGAAGTGTAACTCGTTTCGCAGACCATCTTTAGGTACTTTGTGATTGTTAATCGTATACCGTAGAGTGAACAATTTGTTTAACCACAACTCGTCAGTTATAATGACGTTTTACATGTGTTAGTGTTTCTAAGTTGTTATTGTTACTGAAGTTAAAGTTATTTCCATGCTTCATAACCCAATATACCTAATATAGAAATCTCATGTTCTTGTAGTATGTTGCAGAGTTCAATGTTTTGGCTGAAAGTAAATTCTGTATCGTGCAATGGAATGATGGTCACATGTTGATCATAAATAAACCACTTTGGACTTTTGACATGTTTTAAGGTCGTCTTTGTGAATCCACTAAAAGTTTCTATTCTCCCTTTGGCGGCCTGTTGTTACTGGGAGTATTTGTGTAGTATTTTTTTATCACTGGTGTCAAATAAAATAATAAAATTTTAGTTAAACGTGATCGAAAGAGTGACTATAGGACAGAAAGAAAAATATTGTGCATTGCCTGAGCATTAGTTACATAAATGAAACCACGAAAACCTTGCGTCAAGAAATGGTGAAAAGAATACTTAACTTAAACGTTTTTTATTGCAGTCGTCGAGTGAGGACACAGACAGCAAAAGAATCAAGAAGCTTGCCAAAGAGTTGTTAGCGTTAGAACGAGCTTATGCTCTTCTACAAGCTCATGTTGGTAGTGCTGTGGATGCTGAAAGAGATGAAATGGTAATTACGTGTATCTCGAGTCCCATTAATAGCTTGATCAGCTTAATGTACTTATCACTTGAGTCAGTGATTTTTCCACCAGCGTGAGTACAACCTCATATTAGCGGAGTGGATTGAAACATCTCTATTCTTCCCCCAAAATGGTTTCTTATAGTGCTAATTCTTAACAGTGGATTCCTGTTAATACGACCTCCTTTGGGACATGAAATTCTAGTAATTGATTGACGTGGACTGGTGGTAGGCCCAGTGCCGTGGTAGTGTTACGTTATGATACAAAGCCTTTCTAAACTACAAAACTGGTATTTAGTATTAGGGGGCGTTCAGACGGGTTTTGGGGCTCGCCTGTTGTGTAGGCTGTTCTGAACTATTACCTGTGATGACAAATAGATTTTCATTCTGTCAACCTGTTGGATATATGGAAGGCTCATTTACCCTCTCTGAAGTTCTGGTTAATTGTGAGATTGATTGCTTTATTTTCACTAAGAATTCATCTGGTCGCATTCAAAGTAAAATTGCAAGGGAAACAACGTTTGGGAACTCCGAGAGGTGCTTGTTGATCGTAGGAACGAGGTGAACGGATCAAGGAGCTTGTAGGAAAAGGGAGTGGTTTGACTAGGCTGGACTACTGTCGCATATACGGGTTGGTCGTGTTAAGGGGGCTGGTTGTATGGTGGGTTTCAATGCATTGTATATGTTTTTTCATAATAAGATAGTCTTATAAAACTCCGTACTAGTATAAAAAAGGTTTCACTTTTATTTCTTTCGCGAAATTTATACACTGTAATTTTTTTACTGTTTCACGTCGTAGACATAAATGTGTAGGATATACATATGTGTAAGACGTTGTCTCGAGAAAATGAAGAAAGGAAAGGTATTGAGCAAGAAAGCCCTTAGAAACTGTAAGGCTTTGAACTTGAAGCTCTCAGTTACAACGTTTTTGGGGCTTTTGTTTCCTTAGGAGAAACAGCAGCTTCAGTCAGACTTACTTGAAAGCCAAACTAGAATCCATGAGCTTGAGCGAATGATGGCAGACGGTGGACAGGTAAGCTGACGTTATCAATGAAGCATACCCCTGGGTGGATTTCCTTGGCATCTACTTAGTTTCCTGCTGATAAGTAATAAGCAAAGGTCAGGGAGTAAGGGCGAAATCGATGTAAACGCTGTGCTTTGTGTAAATTTCATGTCATAGAAGGTCAAAACGCGGATGATCAGATTACGAGTGGTAGAAGGTCCAAACGCGTTCCATTCATTCTAAGTGGAAGTCCAAACGAACGCTGTCTACATACATCCCACGAATGTGTAATAGCAACCTGGATATCAGAATTGCAAGCTTCTCTGGTCGCCTGTAATTAGAATAAATGAAAAAACTTTTATGAACACTAGGCAGTATTAAAAGCACAGAGGGAAGTGGGTAGAGCCAATATCGAATGTAATGTTCAATCACATCAAGCACACATAACAAAGGCAAGAATCCCAAATGGCCGGAGTCAAACTAGTGGGCTGTTTACAGGCGTAGTCCAGGATTTATACTCGAGACTACCCAGAACAAGTCCAGTTAGTGGCCAGGGTGGAACTTGAACTCGGGAAATCATGGTCAAGGTTTCTATCTTTGCAGAAATACAGTGTTGTTTTGATTCCTTAAGCCGACTGCCCCACTACCGCTAGTAGTTCTGCGTTATATCGCTTATAACCATAAAATTGTGCAGAAAATCCACCAGGTTATAATTTGTGAAATCATATGCAGTGTCACTGTGTGAGCATGATGTTTCTTCAGTCATTGACTGAAGCACATTGGATTAAAGAAAACTGAGTTCTCTCAACCGGAGGCGAACTTTTGAGGAAATGGTTCTGGTGACAAGTGACTAGTCCGGCTGCTCGTTGTTGGTTGTATCATAGATGTTTAATGAAGATTGTATTTTTTGCAGGGTACTGGAACAGAGGAATTATCACAACTTCAGGCGGATAATAGAGCACTGTACCAACAGGTATTCTTAGATTATTATAGGTTTAACCCTTTCACTCTCAAAGCGACTAAAGCCAAAGTTACAAAAGATTTCCGAATTTCGTTTTCTAAATTGCTGAAATTTCTTTTTCAGCGTAATGTGAAAGTTCTGGCAGATACTGTAGGTATCATTTGAATGTTCATACCACGTGAGGATTTCGCCTATAGAGTGAAAAGTTCGAACAACTCAATCATTCAATCTGGGTTGAAAGATTTAATATCATGGACGAAAATGATATTTGACAAAGTACTAGTGCAAAATTGCAGCTTCAAGTTCTATATATTTCATTTTCACTTGTTGAAATTAAAAATTACTATGGCAACGCTTCCTTTACTGTGGCGTCCAATTTTATTGAGGATTCTACGGATGGAGATGTTGCGCAGTGAAAGACTCTTCAGAAAAGCTTTGTACGCGAAACAGCGCAGTTCTATAGAGCAAGAAAAAATTCAAGGGGCTTTTGTCCTAAAATTCAGAAAATTGTAAGCTTTAGCCAAAATAAATACTGACTCTAACCCTTTCAATACTTGGAGTTCTCGATTCAATAAACAAGCAGAAAATCCACTGCTGTAAGGGTAATTTGTCACTCACGATATGAACAACTATTTTGTTCAGTGATATGTTTGCTCCGAAATGGGCACGCGGGCCCCATAACTTAGCACGTTTTCCCTCGTGGGACCGTTGCATTACCCCTGGGTATTGAGAGTAGTATTTAAATGCTTTGCCAACATCAGGATCACTGATCAGATCGCTTTTCTATGCGTTCATGCCCCGAGAGGGCATATATACTTTCGTTCCCCCCCCCCCCCCCCCCTCAGCGACGAAAACCCGGCTATGCTGCACTTCTTCGCATACGCGGAAATTGTTTTCGCCCATATCTTCGTATGCCCCGCGTGTGCCGTTGAGGTACAGCATACCAGTGAAAATTCTCCTACTAATCAAATGTTATACTCGTGAAATTAGGAAATCATTTTACTCCTTGCAATTTGATTTTTTATCTTTAACTCAAAGTTTAAAACTTGTAAGCAAGTTCTCTGTATCGGTTATAGAAAGCAACGCTTTGAAGTCTAGTGGTTCTTAAGAAACACAAGGAGGGACTATTTATAGTATAGAGAGTACTGGGGGAGCAAGAGAAGCAAGGGTGGCGCAGTGGTGAGTGCTCTCACCTCCCACTAATGATGCCCGGGTTCGAATCCTGACGTCGACGCCGTATGTGGATTGAATTAGTTGTTGATTCTCTCCTTTGCTCCGAGAGGTTTTTCTCCGGGTACTCCGCTTTTCCCTTCTCCTTAAGAACCAACACTTCCAAGTTCCAATTCGATCTGGAACGCACGGACACGTTTCAGTGAGTTCTCATGGGCTCTTAAGTGCTCCGTGGTTAAACAATTTACCATTACACTTTTAATTACTGAATTGTACTTTGTTTTAGATTTGGTCTAACGTTCTTAACGTAAATGAATTTACGTATAATCATGAAGCAATTTTGTTTGATAAATAACTTGCAGCTCGTGGCAACTGAAAAAGAGCGAGACAAAGCACACTCTGAGCTGACCAAGTACTCGGAGGTAAACTAGAACTATAACTTGTTCAAATTGCGTTCTTCTAAAATTGGGACAAGTACAAAGCGTTTTGAGTTGATTTGGAAATAACTTTAACTGGAACATTATTGCTATTGTTATTTTGAGGAAAGCAGAGAAGCAGGTATTAGCTAAAGTTAGAATGCGTCGATTTTTAGTAGTATTGCAACAAGCACCCTATTTTAACCTTTCAATGGTAACCTTTAACAACAGGTAACCATTTCTACGGAGACATAATGATTTCTGGCCTTAAATAGAAACGTTTTGAAGTTATGTATAACGTAACGACTGAGTAAAGGATGATTTTTGCCTCAGCAACAACTTGATCCTGCATGAATTAAGAAGAGTAGAAATACCTACCCTCAAGTAGCAATAGCTAATCGATGCGGGTAATTAGGAAAAGATATATGGTACCAAAAGTGAAAAATTACTAGCCAACTTACGCGCTTCGGACCTCCTCGAACACACGTGCACATTCCTTTTTAGTTTCAGAATAGGGTATGGAAACTCGTATAGATGTGGGGACAGGTGTACTGACGGTTTTTTTACAACCAAAATTTCTTGGATGCATACTGATAACCAAATTTTATTACTCATGTCTGCTATAGAGGATAATAACTCGCGGTCTCGAGTATATTTCATAATATGGGAAGTACCGGCACTGTAAATGTTAAAGCTTTTTTTTTTTCTTACCTAAACAGGATGTGAGAGAGTTGAAAGACCAAAGAGACCTGTTGGAGTTTGAGCTTGAGGAAATGTCACAGCTATCTGTAAGTTTACATGGGTCCAAATTTCGTGTTTTACAAATCATAACCGTAAAAGGTACCATAATGCCCCCATCTGTCTCCTCTTCCTACTCTATTGCGCTTGTCCTGTTTGAATAAATGCAACGAGAAATGAAAGTTGAATATCGAAAGTAACGGAACATGTGTCCTGTGTGATAGGCGTTTGAGGGGAAAGGGGAAATTATATTTTAACGTGCGCGATTAATTAACAAAGAGTTATAATTAGGTATTTTTTTGTCATCTTTCCTCATGCCCTTAATAACTGCATGGTAAGGTAAAAATCATCATTAATTATCATATTCGTCCTAGTCATCTGTGTAAATAATTGTAACCATCGTTTTGATTATCATCATCATTATGATGATTAACGAGTTGATTATTCATTTTTCACTTCCCTTGTTGCATTAACCGTCATCATCGTTATTATTAACCATGTTATCGTAAGTGGCATTATATTGTGGATGCTATTGTCAATTCACGATTGAAAATTGTATTCTAGTGTTATTTTCGTTCGAATTTCTTTTCCGTTCTATCATCAGACCACAGGGTCTGAAGACTGGGATTCTAGACGAGCCAGAAGTACATGTAGTCTTGAAGCATTTTCATCTCCGAGTCGGGAAGTGAGTCACTGTCAGTTTGTGAAATAATACTGTAAAATCATGTTCTAGTATATTCTACTAGTCTTCACGCCTATAAAAGAACAAATCAGTAAATTCTACTCTGAATTGTGTGTCTATAGCTTAGTCGAACACTGAATAACTTACATGCTGGGACGCCAAACAGAGGGCTTTGTTGTCAGGAAGCACTCTCATCGGGCACAAACCTAATCCTCTCTATAGCCCGTTTAATTGCTGAGTTCGATATCACCGGCCTTTAGTGCAAAACTAGGTTTTTTGATTTTCTTACTTTGTTTGTTTTTGTTCTTGGACTGGACGGTCAAGTAACCGTGTGAAGTTTAAAACACACGATATAGCTTGCCTCTTCATGAATACGTCTGCTAGAGACGTTTTCCTATTTATTCTATTTGTCTTTTTATCGTCTGATTTAGGACAACCTCTCTGGTAGTTTGTCTTTAGAAGAAATCAAAGCCTGCCTCGAAGAATTGGAGACTGAGAAAGTTAGTTTTGTTAAGCTTTTCTTTTATATTTGAATTTTATGCCCTTATCCCTTTTTTGTCAGTTCCTAACTTTGATGTTGTATTTTTTTGTCAGGAAAATGAGTTATCTCCGTTGCAACAAAGCGGACTGAAACAAGCCAGAATGATGTTGGAATCCATGGCAGAGGTAAGATTAGATTTAAAAGTATGGCAACTTGCCGCAAACAGATATGTAAGGATAGGGAACATTTAAAAAAGAGGCAGGAAGTGGTTTAAAGAAAGTCGGTTATTACAGAAAACGTCTGACATTCGTCTCATTCAAACTGATAATTAGTTTAATGCCCGCAACAACAGTGTTACGTCTGATGTGACGGTTAGTCGTCAGAGAAAGCATGAGAACGAAAAATAACCTTTTAGTCATTACGTGACAGTATGCGTTTTGTCTTAATAATATTGCCTCATTCAGGCCTAGAGACGCGACATTGAAGAAATAATCTTTCATGTTGTGTTTTTTCTCCATGTGACAAACAGAAAATTAACCACATGGAAATCACGGAATCTGCCTTAAGGGACAAAGTGCGGGATCTGGACTTAGGTGTAAGTTAATTAAATATTGTGTTCTGTTGCTCTTATATTTAAACATAGTCCTAATTCTTTGATGACCTTCAGAATTTGTAGTTGGTTACTGAAATGTTATTTCGACGTCTGTTTCGGACAATTATCCAGGCTGTGGTAGTACAGGAGCTCCATTTCCCACCCATTCCAAAACCATAGGGTCTATAACTTCTACGTTACCCAAATCTGTCAGGTCTTGAAATTGGGAAAACAATTTAACAGGGGCTAGAAGGAGTGATTTCAAATTCTCAAATTTGATTGATGGCGTCTTTCCAGTCGCGCCACGCTTATTTCAGGCATTGGCTTTTCAACTGAACATGTCATGTCCATTTCTGACGAAAGTAATTACATGTAGCTACGGAACATCGTAAACAGAAGTCACTTGAGAAAATTGTGCCAGTTTTAAAGCTCCAATCGTTTAAATGAAAGCTCTTATTGTGTGTTACCTTCTAGGCTACACGAAATGTTGCTTGCCTTCACGTTTGTGTATAAGATCCTTATCTTTTCCTGTTTTCAAAACAGTTCACTAAATTGATCTCAGCAGTGGTGTTAGTGGACTGAAACAAATTCCTCATTGATATTCGAAATGTAGGAGACTAGTTTCAACAACTTTAGATTAGCAAAACAGCTTTGCTCGTTGTGTTGTTACAATTGCGAGATTTTTGCACATCTGTTTATTTACACTACTAAAATAACCTGGTTTAATCATTCAGACGAGAGCTTTTAAGTGTACTTTGCGTGTTAGCTATAATCTCATCCTATCTGTGATGTCAAAACGTTGTGTTCATTGCCTACTTTTGTTTGTCATTAGTACAACAGCGAATCCCTGAAGTCCGAGTTTCAAGAGTCAAGACGCCTGTCGGTGTTTACGTGTGACAAAGAAAGTCTCACTGATCTGCAGTGGGTCGAACTGGAAGACAAACTGCCACAGATTGAAGCCCATGCATACTCAAGGCCAGGGGATCTCCACATAAGCGGCATAAAAGAAGACACATGTTCCATGACCGATCTAGGCTGGGAGGACCTGATTAGCATGGAGATGGTTTATAGAAAGCACATGAATGCATTGCCTTATGATAATGAAAATGGTGATGGACAGCGTGACCTTGAACATGAAGATAAGGAATGCATGACTGACCTTGCGTGGCAAGAATTAGTAGAATTAGAAGAAAGTTATAGAAATAATTTGAAGGATTTGTTTCCTTTGGATGCCGCAGATGAACACTCTATGTGCAAAGGTGAGAGAAATACAGTAGATATTGAAACAATGACAGATCTTGATTTTGAAGAACTTGAGGAAATTGAAAGTTGCTATCACAGATATCTTGACGAAAAGGTCTCAGTAAAATCCAGAGATGAAACAGAAACTATGACAGAGATAGTTTGGGAAGAACTTCTTCAAAGGACAAACAGTGAGGTTTATTTGAGTTTAAGTGAAGCAATTAATGAGAAGGTAACGAAAAGAAATTTTGATGTGAATGAAGTCGGTATTATGACTGATCTAGAGTTATCCGAACTCGCTAAAATAGAAGAAAAATACCTGCGATACGTTGAACATGAGTCCAATATTAACATACAGAAGGAAGAACTTGTGGAAGTTTTACCCGAAATTGTACTGGACACATTCCCGGAAGATAATATAGTGAATACAAAAGAAGAGTACGCGATGACAGATTTGACATGGAATGACATCATTAACTTACAAGATAATTGCTATGATTATGAGCGTAATGTACAAGACCTCGAGAGGAAACTCGCCACCTTTAAAGTGCAGAAAGATGAAAAGAGCAGTGGTACCGAAATGTCCTTCACAGACTTGAGGTTTGACGAACTTATTGGCTTGGAAGCAAAGTGCAGTGGATATAAATCTGTCATAAAGGAACTGGAGGGGAAGCTTGCTCAATACGAGAGGAATGACGCTAGATTCAATGTTGGGACGAAGGACGCTGAAACCATGACAGATGTATCAGAAGATATGATAGATAATGAAGGCCTACCGGTAGCCGTGCTAGCAAACTTTCCTAGTGATATACAAACAAAAGATGAGTGTGACATGACAGACGTGGTCTGGGATGAGGTGGTGGATCTTAAAAACACTTACCAAGATTACAGAGAAAACTTAGAAGAAATGAAACAAAAACTAGCACAGTTTGACGTTGAAAAAGACGACAAGGAAAGCATAACTGATATAGCTATGCAGGATCTCGCAGACTTAGAAAGTATGTACAAGGAACACTTACGTGAAGCAGATTCGGATACAAACTCTGTGCTAAGTCATGCTGAAAAGGAGTCTAGAGAATGTATGACTGAACTCACGTTTATCGAGATTACAGAGCTGGAGGATTTCTACATTGAGAACGCAGCACGCGAGATGGCAGTTTCCCCCATTGTAGAAAAATGGGAGCAAGAAAGCATGACTGATATCACCTTAGATGACATGCAATATCTAGAAGAAGCTGAATATTTTGTTACACGTAACAGTCGTGCTGCAGAGAAACTCGATAAATATACAGTAACGGAACTGACAATTCATGATCTAGTGAACTTGCAAGAGATAGCCACTCGAAGTGAACTCCTTCAAGGTGCAGAGAAGGTTGAGGTAGCGACTTTAACAAACCTTACTATTCCAGACCTTGAGTTTCTGGAAGACAACTATGACGTTCATCAAAACTGTCCTGTCCGTGCAGCAGATACCCTTCGTAAAGAGCACATAGGTGTTGGTACTGAGTTGACGGGTGAAGACCTGAAATATTGGGAAGACGTTGAAGCAGCGCACGAAGAGTGTTTGCTTGACAAGGAAGGCGAGGAAGGCTGTGAAGAAAAGCAAGACGCAGAAATAATGACCGATTTGACAATCGCAGATTTGCAGTATTTAGAGGAGGTTGATGCTGCGCATGAAGAATGCCTTCTTGATAAGCAAGAGGAATTGAAAGGAAAAGAAACCATAGTGGAGAGGGAAAGTATAGAAATTATGACAGATATGACCATTTCTCACCTTCAGTATTTAGAGGAGGTCGAGGCTGCTCATGAAGAATGCCTCGTTGATAAGCAAGAGGAATTGGAAGGAAAAGAGGCCTTTGCTGAAAAAGAAAGTGTAGAAATCATGACAGATATGAGCATTTCTGATCTTCAGTACTTGCAGGAAGTCGAGGCCGCTCATGAAGAATGCCTTGTTGATAGACAAGAGGAATTGAAAGTGAAAGAGGCTTATGTTGAAAAAGAAAATGTAGAAATCATGACAGATATGAGCATTTCTGATCTTCAGCACTTAGAGGAGGTCGAGGCAGCTCATGAAGAATGCCTTGTAGACAGACAAGAGGAAATTGGTGGGAATGAAGCCATTGTGGAAAAGGAAAGTATAGAAATCATGACAGATATGAGCATTTCTGATCTTCAGTACTTGGAGGAGGTCGAGGCAGCTCATGAAGAATGCCTTGTTGACAAGAAAGAGGAAATTGACGGGAATGAAGCCATTGTGGAGAAGGAAAGTATAGAAATCATGACAGATATGAGCATTTCTGATCTTCAGTACTTGGAGGAGGTCGAGGCAGCTCATGAAGAATGCCTTGTTGACAGGAAAGAGGAAATTGACGGGAATGAAGCCATTGTGGAGAAGGAAAGTATAGAAATCATGACAGATATGGGCATTTTTGATCTTCAGTACTTGGAGGAGGTCGAGGCAGCTCATGAAGAATGCCTTGTTAACAGGCAAGAGGAAATTGACGGGAATGAAGCCATTGTGGAGAAGGAAAGTATAGAAATCATGACAGATATGACAATATCTGATCTTCAGTACTTGGAGGAGGTCGAGGCAGCATATGAAGAATGCCTTGTTGATAAGCAAGAGGAACTGGAACGCAACGAAGCCACAGTGGAGAGGGAAAGTATAGAAATTATGACCGATATGACCATCTCATATCTCCAGTACCTAGAGGAGGAATCAAAAGCCAAAACTACCGATTCAGAAAAGCTTAGTGTTGGAACAATGACAGAAATGACTAAACTTGACCTTAGGAATTTTGAATCCATCGCCTTTGAAAAGGGAAAGACTAAAACACCAAAGCCATGGAAGCGAAGATCGAGGTCGTCATCTTTAACAGATTATCACGACTATCGCTATCACCATCACCACAAAAACACTATGACTGAAATTACAGGAAATATCCTTGACTACTACGAAGAAATTGACGTTCTCTATAAAGAAAACATGGTGGAATTTGATGAGCTCAAGAGACTACATTATGTGGAAAAAGAAGAAAAAGATGCCATGACAGATGTGACCTTTGAGGATCTGAAAGATCTTGAACAAAAGAGTCTTCTTTGGAGGGAGAAAGCTGATGAGCCAGCGGGAGGTGTCGCAAAGGACGATGCAGAGGTGATGACTGATCTTACGACTGCTGAACTGGAATACTTTGAGGAAGCCGAGAGTCTGTTGAGAAAGATTAGTGGCGAAAATGGTGGGATGGCTCCCAAAGATGAAAAGGAGGTACTAACAGATTTGAAGAGCTCTGATATTGAATACCTTCAGGTGCTAGCGGATATCTATGATGATGGCAGTAGAGGTGTCGATGTTGAAGTTGAGGCAGAGAAATGTGATAAAGAAACAGAAACGGAGTTAAGACTTGTGGACATTAGAGATCTTGAAGATCAGGTCATTAGTGAAGCCGCAATAAAATCCACGCATGCAGTAAAGGAGGCCGTGAACGACAATCTGGTACCTGAAACTCTTGTGAATTTACAGGCAGAGTTGGACTTCTTGCCAATCTTGGATGAACCTGAGTACATTTTCGATGATGAAGACAACGAGAACGATATCCAAAGAGCAGAGACTGGGATCATGACCGAAATGACAATTGCCAACATAAGAGACCTGGAAGATCAACGGAATAGTACAACAGAAGTAGAGGCTTTTGAGGACGAACTTCAAGCTGAAGATCTCGAAGGATTACAAACAGGGGTGGAGTATCTACCAGTATTAGATGAACCCGGGAGGTTTTTTGAGGAGGAAGTCAATCGCGAGCACATCTTAAGACACGACACCGGGGTAATGACAGAATTGAGGCTGTCTCATTTGGAAAACTTTGATAAAGATAATTTATACCGTCGGGATGATGGTGTGGAATTGACAAGAAGAGTCGAGGCAAGTGTTCAGTGTGATCTGGAGGATGTAACCTCACTTATGCAAGAACTGACTAGAGAGGCAGAAAACAAGGGCGAAGATATTCCAGCTTGGTTTGTGAGCGCTTTAAGGTTGAGGCAACCTGAGGGAGGTTTGTTGTCAGTTTTGTACCTCTTGCATGTGCACGTGTCTGATCAATTTTGCTGAAGAAGCATCATCGGCGCGCACTGAGAAGACCTAAATGTAAAAAGTAAACGAACTCTAGCTGTATATGTTAAATCAAAAACCTAAAGAATGTTGTGAATTTACCAGACTGTGTTTCTTATTGTGTGTACTCTCTAAACCACGCCACGCATTATAGCTATTGAGCCATCCACGTGCAGTGGAAAGGCTTAAATATAGAGAATGAGAAGTTGATCACAGCCACGTCCCAAGTCAAATAAAAGCGTAAATGATGTCGTAAAAGTATAGTATATGTTTTTACTAAAGCACCAATTGTTAAAATAATTAATAATAAAAAGCAAGAGATCATAATAGGACCTACTATGATCTCTTGCAAAAAGGTAGTGATTTTGTAAAGGTTTGTAAAAGACAGAAAACGTGTTAGACGTGTTTAACAATGCTTTTAAGTTGTTCATGGTTATGAAATTGATAATACAATGTAAACCATTGTGAAACAGCTATAACATAAACACTTTAACAATAACACAGTAAAGCAAAATCACTAGTCCTAATATTAACATTAGCACTTATATTGTTTATTGACAGATAATAACGTCTTAGCTCCAGATTTTCAGATTTAGTAGAATACTTGTTTTAAACAATGAATATAACATAGAACGTTTACAAGAAAATAATAGTGATATCCGAGGTTTAAGGTGCAGGGTTTTAACCCTAGTATCACGTTAAACAAATAACCATCCTTTAAAAGCTTATTCGAAGAGGTTAATTATTTTAAGGCGGTGAAATATAAACTCTTATTTATGCTTTATTTCAACAGAATGCTATGCACGTCTTCTGGTGGTTTTGATAAACTTTTTTTGCTTCAATTGTTAACTTTACATATTTCCAATGTTCAATTCTAAATAACGAATTTCCATTTTAAGCTCTTTTAACGTAAACTAAAACCTTAAATCTTGATGCTTCAATTTTTGTATTTTTGCTGCCTTGTTTTTATATTGGTGGAGTTGCTTATCAGGATTCTGAATCTATGTCCATTTATTAATACTGTCTTTTTATTGCACTCGTTCATTTTTCAAGGCTTCAACCCTGTTCATATTGTGGTGAGGGAAAGTGACAGCGTAGACGCATTTCCAGCAGTTGAATTCCAGGATCTGCAATCGCAGAGTCAAGATGATGTTGAAGAGACACCAATCGCTAACAATTTTGGCAACTCAGTAATCCCTCCGGAGGATTCCCCAAGAAGCCTGCGTGACACACCAATTGATAAAATGATTCTCGAGTCCTTGATTGTCGAGGAAGGTGATGCTTCATCCAAAGAAGTCGGTATTCAGTGTGACCTTATTGACTTCTTGGCTATGTTAGAAGAATATCATAGGAACACAGGCGAAGATGTGACACCATGGTTTGTATCAGCCATGAATATGTCAAGAGATGACACAGGTATGTTGATGACTATTTGCCAGTGTTGTACTTACACTGATAAACGCCCTATGCGTTATAGCTTTTGAAAGCTGTCTTGTCTGGCTTTGTTTTAACAGATCCAACACGTTATTCCAACTTTTTTCCTTGTTACTGTTATCAGAAAACGGCTCGACTAACATCAAATGGTTTGTTTTTAAAAAATACAATATTTTCGATTCATCAATGGGACAGAATTCCGTATTGTAAAGGACATAGCTGTTTCCCACCCATGCTGTCGATCTCGGGTTCGAGTTCTGGCAAACTGGTACATTTTATCCTTTTTCTTTCTTGTTCGTTCACTTTATATCCTTCTGTTAGATCTCTCCTCTGGGAGTATTTATTTCTAGCCCAACATCTTTTGATGCAACATATGGTATTGATTTAAATCCGTCCGGTCGGTGGACAGTATTGGATGTATTTGCATGATGTTGGATCCGCTTTCATTTTCAAGCGGATCCTCAACTGACCGTCATTTGATGCTGGATGTTGAACTTACATGTTCGATCTATCTTTAAAAGGGGCGATAGGAATATAGTTAGAGCAGAGTCCAAGAAACGTTTGGTGTTACGATTGAGTTAGTTACCCGTACCAGTAGCCGTAAATAGGGAGTTTAAGATATCACGACGGCTACGGCGGCAAGAACGTCGCTTAAAGGGTGACTTCTCGATCTATGAAGCTTAAGTGTAATTATCCCAACTCAATCACTATGTTTTATGTAGGCGAACTCTCCTGGAGTTGAATTCTTAAGAAAAATATCCAGCTTTACAAAGAGTAAGAGAGATTCGTCGTCGTATGTTCACGTTGTCGATAAAACGTGAAATTAGGCAATTCACGTCGTAGTCGTGCAGTGACGGCAAAGAAATTTACAAAAAAGCGTGATTCACGTGCATAGTTGTTGTTCTGCTAATCGTAACCGATTGCTTTTTGACGTTCTCGTTGCCGTCACCGTAGTGGCATCTTAAACTCCCTAATTATTACTCTTACGCCAAGGAAACTCCAAGGCTACCGGCTAGGACGGTGATGTCCTCATCACATCTGGGGAAGTCATGGTTGCCTTTTATATAACTATGTGGCAAACGTGTTTGCCTAACCGTACGTCCCAAACGGGAAGTTCCAAAATTACAATTGGGTGATTTTATTCAGGCTACGATCCAGTGGAAGTGATGCTGAGGACTCGAAGTGATTCCAACCTTGTGCAAGATGATCCAAAGACCTCCAGTCTCACAATGGAGTTGTCGCGCCCGCCAGCACCCCCAAGGAGTTCGACATTTACCGTTGATCTTTCGCCAGACGGTCAAGAAGAGGAGCTCCAGGCAGAGATTTCTCAAGGTATGTGGCGTATGGTGCATGCCACTTGTATTTGACCCTAGGAAACTGTAATGTGTAATTTCCTAGTGTTTAGGTAACAGGCCGTTAGTGTTTTGCCTTTCGGTTGCGTGCTACGTATAACACAGTGACGGTAAAAGTTGTCATTCACCTCATTGTCGTTTAGGCAACCGTAGGTAGGTTTGTTGTTCGTAGTTTTGTACCTCATGCATGTGCATGTGTCTGATCACTGTTGCTGAAGAAGCATCATACAAATTACAAGTTATAATTTTTGGCTTGGCCTCACTTAAATCTACAATTTTAAAACTTAAATCGCTTTGAATTACGATTAATTCAAGTGTATCTTTTAAGCCGACTCAGCTGACCCACTGTTGGCATCTCAAGATGGAAGCGACAGCGTGTTCAACCGAACAGACGAATCCTTTGTCCCTCCTACCACAGAAGAGACAGATGTGTTGACAGAGATGCCACAGAGTAGCAGCGCTGTAAACCGGTTTGACCGGTTTTTAAAAGAGAGAAAGGACTCTGAGCTGTTCAACCTGCAAGCTCTGAAAGAGAATCTGGATACCAGTAGCGGTGAAGCGACGTTGGATGTCAAGGTATCATGTCATATACCTGCATTGTTAATTTTGTTGACTTAGCCTCAATTAAGGGTTATGTGCTTTTGGGATGCATTCGCTTCTTCGTACCCCTCCCCGATCACTATGATCGTTTAGATCGCTGGACCTTTTTCAGCAATCGAAGCAATGTGGAGCTTTTCTGGAACGGGTCGGTCCTCGAATTCTATCGCTTGAAAGCGTTGATTACCTTGGAACAAGCGAACACTTAAGTGGCCGAGAAAAAAAAAGAAGAATCGTAATTAGCAAACCTTCGATGGTGATGCTAAATGGTCGGGTGTTGTAAACTTCCATTGTATACAAATGAGTCTCGCGATGACCATGCGGTTTATTTTCGGCGGTGATTGAAATAACGCGCCATGTTCATTGCGTTTTTGATCTCTGGCAATGATGTAATTTCTCTCGAATCGAAGCCCTTGAATTTCCGTTTATTTATACACGCGTATAGCTTGCGATCGCAGACATATTTCCGGTCGTCGCTAACACGCGTACTAAATCAATTCAGAAACAAATCGTCGAATACGATATAAAAAGGAAATATCTTGAAGAATACTCGACCGTCGAAAAAGTAGGAAGTGAAAAACCTTTGTTGAGCAAATCTGTTTCGCGTAGAATTAGTCGCCTTCTTATTTCTTATGAAATCTCCAAGCAAGCGAGACTTAACGCCACTTTTAAGACCGTTCTTGTTTCGAAATAGAGTACTAAGAGTAGCTGTTCCTGAACGGCTTACCCAAGCAGTGAGTATTATTGTTAAAAAAGGCTCTTAGGAGCCACCACATAGAACAAGTAATAACTAGTGTCAGATAACCAACGAAGTAATCACCGACTTGCCTGTTAGTTAAGTCGAAAGTGTGAAGATTTTAGTCTCTCTAGTTCACCCGCCAGCTGCAGAGATTCATATTCCTTATGATAGACATTACGAAGTATCCTCTGGACCTAATCCTTACCAAAACCCGATAGGCCATTTGAACGATGGCGTCATTTTACTACTAAGACCAGAATCCCTCAGGGTTTTGCTTTCTTCTGCAAATCAGTGCTTTTGTTATTTTAACCTCGCTGGGATTACCAAATTCATATATGAAAGGAAAAACGACAGGTATTCTGGTTGTGCTAGTGAAATGACGCCATCGGGAAAATGGCGTATCCGTATGGAATTCATGTGCAAATTAGAAATACTTGTTTCTAATATGAAGTACCTACGTTATGTGTTTCTTGCATTTCTGAACTGTTTATGCGGACATTTTCTGAAAGCTTCCGTCAAAAGCGTTCCATTCTAGATATCTCGAAACGGAGGTCCGACTGTTAATGTGTCCGGACGACAAATTGCATGAAACGTTGCACACGTCATCATTTCAAATACGAACATTTTCATTCACTTAACAGGCACTAACACATGGCTCATACTTATATATTTGTTAAAATGGTAAATGGCAAGAAATCCGGAAGTTGAGGACTATGAAATTGGACGGTCATCTCTTAGACTTGGTTTCTCCTTAGTTTGGCAGAACTTAGAGTAAATGCCGATAGTTGGAACTTAGACAAATAATTTTCTCTCTTTTACTTATTCCAATGCTGTCTTTCACTTTCATACCAAAATGTGCTACTGGTCCACAGCCTTATCGAATTTTGTTTTATCGTTTTTTTTGTCAGACATTGAAAGAACTTGAAGAGGAAAACGAGATTTTAAAAAGACAGGTGGAAGAGAACGCCAAAGTAAGTCATGCAAATTAAGAGGCAATTTTATCGAAAATGGATATTTCCACGACACCCTAAATTTCTTTGAGTTCCACAGATTCTTAATAGATTGAAACTTTTCATATTCCCAATTATAAATGGATATTGCCTTTCAGAATTTCACCTATTTTTATACAGTACTTCTAACATTTTTACGTGTATAAAGTTGACAAAAAGCTGCCCAATAAGCTTTTTCTTTTAAGCGACCCTTCGTTTGGGGGCATAGGCGTTCTCCAGGATTAAAGAACCACAAGAACACTAACCCTGGACAACCGATTGATATCCATGTGAGTTGGTGTATAGGTAAGGTAAAGGGGGACACGAGCTAATGAGGCCCACACGGCCGGAGCGCAACTCGGTTTCAGTAGTGTGATTTACATATGGGTATTGTTACTCCGCCCTTGCACAGGAGAGTTACCCCCAGTAGTGTGTCACCGCGGTACCCATCTATACACTTGGTGAAGACAAGCAAAGGAGAGAAATCGTTTCAAGAAACAACGCGGCGATAAGGCTTGGATACATACAGAGCTCCAGATTCGAAGCTTTAGGTGTTAAACACTCGGCAACTGTACCTCAACGGTTTTTTGTTTATCCATGTGAATATTGGACCATGTGCAGGCAACTGGAGAGCCGTTCATGGTAGGCTATGTCAATACAACTATCCGGCAGACATAGGTCCCCCCCCAACCCAAAAATCTAAGCATTAACCAAATAACAGGGAAAAATTACTCGGGTATGCTGCACCTATGACTCAAAGAAGTGAATGAGTTTGTTTGCTTTCCAGAATGCGGAAGAATTGGAAAAGGAGCTAGCTGCCTTGAAGGAAAACGTCGAGGTGAGATTTGGAAGAGACACTAATTATCTTAATCCTTCCTCTAAAAGAGGCGAACATCAAAAGATCAAGTAGAGTTCCAATTTTCATTTTGCGAATCACTGAAGACTTAAGGATGCCACTAATATAGAGGGAGGAGCAGTCATTCAATTGACCACACGAAAGGACTTCGTCTACTGACAGAGTCCAAACTAGCAATTGCAGTATATTTACAACATAAATGTGAACTATATTCAAAAGAAAACCAACTAGTTGATAAATGATTTGTCAAAGTATCAAATTACTCCTTATTTCCTTGTTTCCTTCTGTTTTTAGTCGGTTGGGGACTTGGATGGTGAAAACGAGTCACAAGATGTGGACGAACTTCAGAATGAGATAGCTGTACTAAGAGAGAAAGTCGAGGTAATGAAGAATCGAAGGGACATTTCTGGTTCTTTAAAGTCATAAAATAGTTTCGAAACAAGTCTTTATTGCAATGTATTGATATCACTTTTTTTTCAGTTGATTGAAGATTTAGAAGAGGAAAACCAGTTATTGAAAGAGGAAGTTGCCTTACTGGGAGAAGCAGCGGTGAGACGCAGGTTTACTGCTACCATCTTTTCCGAAGCAGAAACTGTTTAAACGTCATTTGTTTCTGATGTACTTTCTTCTTTTATTAGTCGGCCAGAGATTTGGACGAGGAAAACCAAGTACGAGATATGGAAGAGATGAAAAATGAGATAGCTACGCTCCGAGACAAAGTAGAGGTAATGTGCTAAAAACGCAAACATCTCGCGAGAGGCCTCTTATTAACCGTTTAAGCCCCAATAACCACATACAAATTCTCCAAACTGATCTTCATACATTTCCTAAAACAATTGGTTGAGAGAATATGTTTGCTGATCAAAGCTTTTCACATCAGGTAATGATTCGTTTAATTCTCAATTTGGTCACTCTTGGGACGTAAAGCGTTGAGAGCCAATCCTCTATTGACAGCCAGTCGTTATCTATCAGTAAAACATTGTAAACAGAACCACCAATAAGCGAGTGCTCTTCTTGATTCTAAGATATTCAACTGTAAATAATGATTTATCTTTAATGAGAAAGAGAGTTACTGGTCAGACGGAACTATGCTTTTATCATCGTCTACGGACAGTATCCTAGGTTGCTGTTCTTTGTTTTTGATTTGTTTTCTTCTGGATTTTTAGTCGGCGAAATTTTTGGACGAGGAAAATAAAGAAATGCAAAATGAGATAGCTGCACTTAAAGAGAAAATCCAGGTAATCATGGTGGCGATTAAAATTCATCACTGATAATCCCTGTGGGTGTTTGAGTTTTTTCCGAATACTTACCCAAATGACATGATTTTTCAAGTCCGAAGTACAAAATGTACAAAATTAAACCAGGAAGGTCGTTTAGATACAAACATATTTCCCTTAGAAATGGTAACTGCATTTGCTCTATATCGGCACTATTAAAACCCTGTCTGAAAAACATTTCATATTTAACAGTCATGGAAAACTAGAATCTGAACTGAAGTCATGTTACAACCTTGGGTTGGAGGGGGCGGGGGGCATTTAAGTGCTGTTACTCTTCCACAGGGACCAGAGGAGTTTCGTGTGAATAAATGCATTACTTATTTAAAGTCTCACCTTGAAAAATGTCTATACCTGTCGCTTAGCACGATTCATTAGCCCAATGGGATCTTTATGAATGTGCTGTAAACGATTTCTTCGCTTCTTATCTGACCCAGATCGACTTTGTTGTTCGCCATTTTGAAAATCAAAAACCGCAAGCCATATCCTCGCCGGCGCACGGCTCGTCGAAAGCCGATCTTGCGAGCCCTCAGTCTCTTGGTTTGCGGTCTATAGAATGTGTAACGAAACTGTAACGCGATCAAAATAACCCATTTTTCAGAGGTTTTCGACGGGTTTTGATGTTCTAAGGACAAACACATCTCCTCTGGACCCTGTGACTCTCCTAGAGATGTCCTCTTTATAGAGAGTAAAAGAAAACTACTGAAGAACGTTGGGGACCAATTCTAGTTGTTCCGAATGGGGAGGTGTTTGGTGTTATAGAGGTTCTTATTGAGAGAGCTGACTACTATTATCGCATATCTGAAAAAAGCCTTGAAACCACTAATGTAATGACGTGCATTCTTTCTTTTTGGTTTAGTCGGCTGATGATTTTAAGGAAGAAAATCAATTGCTCAAAGACGAAATTACTACACTGAAGGATACTGTGGTAAGAATCTTTACTCATAAACATTACCCTGTACACGCGAAAAGTGAGATATTCTTCAGGGTTTAAAATGTGTTGCTTTCCATTTACAGATGGCCCGAGAGTTAGAAGAAGAAAAACAGTTACAAAATATGGAAGATTTGCAAAGCGAAATAGCTTCACTCGAGGACAAAGAAAAGGTTATGTCATTATCACATTATGAAGTGATCATCGTAGGTTTCTAACTTATTCTCTTTAACGAAAATTGGTTAGAAAAATATAATGTTAACTTTTTTGTGCCTGTCATGTTTTCGCATTTAGACGGCTAAACGTTTGGAGGAGGAAAACCAGCAACTCAAAGAGGAAATTAACATATTACGAGAAACTGCGGTAGGAAACTTTAATTTATGAATTTCTGTATACACGTTTATTACATAAAACTCATCTTTCTTTCGTGTTGTTTTGCTTGTAGTCGGTCAGAAGTTTAGAGGAGGAAAACCAGTTTAAAACTATGGAAGAAATGAAGAGTGAAATAGCTGCACTCAAAGAGAAAGTCAAGGTAAAGAACCGATTATTCTAAAAAGGGAATTGTCTTTCATAAAAATAGTTTTCCGACTTGTTTAACTGCATTACGTTTTGTCATTTTGATCGTAGTTGGGTAGAGATTTGGAGGAGGAAAACCAATCGCTGCGTGAGGAAATTAACATATTGAGAGAATCCCTGGTAAGACCCTTTGCGTAGTAGTTTCTTCGTGTTGCGGACGGATGCGATGACCAAATGACGTAATACAAAAGATTAAAAAGACTCTAATCAATACCCCCGGCACAGAACAAAAGCGAAACAACAATAGTTCCCACAGCACTAAGAAACACCCCTTTACTTAAATCACCCTTTTCTTCAAAATAACAGTCAAACCTGCCTTACGGATGCCCACTTAATTCGGACACCTCATTATTACAGACCGTTTGCTTGGTCGCTGGAGAAAGAAAGACCTTACATTTTCTATAAATTCAACCTGCTCAATACGGACACCCCGGTAATACGGACACTTTCTATGGCCCCCTAAGTGGCCGTATTAACTGGGTGGCCGTATTAAGCGGGTTGAATTTAGAGGAAATGTAAGGGTTTTCTTTTCCCCAGGGACCAAGCAAGTAAACGAATAAATAAGCAAATAGATAATTAACTAATGTATTATATTTTGTTCCGTTTACAGTCGGCCAAAGGTTTAGAGAAGGAACAGCAGTTACAGAATGTAGAAGAACTTCAAACTGAAATAGCTACACTCAAAGAGAAAGTCGAGGTAATTTATTGTCGTCAACCGAAAAATGGTTTACGGGCAAGTTGAACTGTAATGCATATTTGTGTCTTTGTTTCAGTCTCTTAAAAATACGGAGGAGGAAAAGCACATGCTAAAAGAGGAAATAAGCGCGTTGAGAGACGCTGCGGTACGAAAGATGTTTTATGAAATTTTATACGCGTGTTTGTGTACCACGCAAAACTGAGCTCAGTATATTGTCCATTTGTTTTTTATTACTTCGGCGGAGCGCGAAGTAAAGGTTTCGCGACGCTCAGGAATGTATCAAAGTTACAATTTTTTGACAAGATTGGGCATGCAAAGTCTGTAGGTTTTCGGTTCTATTCGGCTACTTGACGAAGTGAGAGCCGAATTAATTCGAGATATCTCGAGATCACTTCGATTTCTTTGATTTATTCTTTAACTTTTTCGAGGAAGAAAGAATTATTATTTTGGCTTTCCTGGGGTTTGAACCGACTCACCTGTGTGACCCGTCAGATCAGAGGAGACTCTAAGTTGAGGGATTAACCAATTGCGCTACTGCGACCCAAGGTAGGTTGGGATATGAAAAATAGTTATGAAATGATGCACTAGTTTCGGCACAAGATTGGGCGTGCAAGTTCGTGACTTTTCGGCTTGTTTCAACTATTTCACGAAATGAGACCGGACTACTTCGTGATATCTTGAGATCACTTCGAGTTTAGTCTTTAATTACTCGAGGATATTTCGTGGCCGCGCAGAGACACGAAATTTCTCCTCGAGTGTTGAAAAACATTTCACGAGTGAGCCCTCCTTTAGAACTGTTTTATGATGAATTTAAAGTTACAAAATGCTGCACAAAGACATTTTGTCTTTGTTGAGTGTTACGTAGTAAAATTGCTTTCATGCGTTGCGTAACTTTCTCGAACGTTCTGTACGTTTTTAGATTAGCCATGAATAATTAATTAGGGCATGTTTACATTTCAGCATGAGTCAGCAGATTTGCATCAGTTACTGAAATCATAAAATATGTCGAAAAGCTACTACTATTCGCCTGCTGTTAAGTATTTTCTAGAACCTTACGTCAAACGGTATACAAGTTCCAAGCGAGTTCTTTTGAAGAACTAAGTTTTTTCCCACGAGCTGGACTGCTGTGTTTAGTCAAGTGTGACGAAGGTCGATTTTCAGGTATTGTGTTTACAGGTTCGCGGAAGCCGTAAGATATCTGAAGTTCAAGTCAGAGTTTGTTATTATTGGTAGAGGCTGTTTAGTTTTACTCAAAGTTCAAGTCAAGTTTTTGTTGGTGGATGCTGTGTTTTAAAGCTCTGTAAAGGCTATGTTCCTTTGGTGTTAAACCTCCTTGTGTGAATCCGACATCCCTGCGTGCTGATAGTCAGTGAATAATTATCCTCAAAACATTCGAACTCGTGACTTTGAGTTTTAGCCAATTCCATGCTCAACGTAATTGACTCCTTACCCATGCCTTACATATCTTTAACCCATTCGTCCCTGAACCGCCCGTAACCGCCCGTGCGGATCCAGGTCCTTTCTACCCTTTGTGACGTCATCAGTTGTAACGGTCAAGGACAACTTTCTTCGCTAACTTGTGCAGAGTGAAGAGATCTTTTAAACCATACCAGAATGAGCACAATTCAGTCAAGAACACCGGAGAAAGAAGCATAAAACCACGTGACAAGGACCCGAAAATCCTCATGAAAATCTTGTACCATTACCCACCTACCTTTCCTTTCACCTAATCCTAAGATCCTAAAAGCTTTCCTAAAAACTCTTCCCACCAAAATGAAGCCTACTAAATGCCCAGCAAGAGAAAAAAAAATGAGGCAAGAAAAGCGAAAAAAGAAGGGAGGAGAGAAAGCGAAAAGTAAAAGTCAAGACTGCTGTGTCACTTTTTGCGCATGCCCGAACTTCGCAAGCTGATATTTTGCATCTGGATCTGAAGGCCGCCAAGTGTACGACCTGTAAACCGGTTTGTGGTAAGTTTTAGCTCTTTATAGCACGACAGTGACCAGAAAACCACTCGACTAGCTTCAAAACGTGTTTTTCGGCAAAATCTCCAGGAGCGAATGGGTTAATCAGTACATGAGACTGCTATGCTGTTTTTGAAGCCTGATGTGACTAAGAAAATAGAGAATTGTTTTATTAGAAGGATTTGTATGGAGTCATCACAGCATTACTGGGCTAATATCTCGGAGACAATTTGTCCCGAAATGCTAGTTTTTGGCAAGTAGGTCTCTTGGATGTTGCTCTTTTCAGAATATCCTGACAGATCCCATAATTTCACAAATTAACACCTTACTCTCACCATATTTGATTTCTTACTATTCCTCCGCATTTACAATTAATTAGTTCCACAACCACGACGCCGAAGTGTACGCTCCGTAGCGTCTTGTTTCGTTTGTAGTCGGTGAGAGATTCAGAGGAGGAAAACCGGTTACAGAGCGTGGAAGAAATGCGAAATGAAATAGCTGTACTCAAAGGGAACGTCGAGGTAACGGAGTGCTAGATAACTTATTATATCTTTATCCGCCCAAATTTCTTTCAAGAAAAGTTAACTTGCCTGCGTTTTATGTTTTTATTTTCAGTCGTCGCAAGATTTGGAGGAAGAAAACCAGTTGCTTAGAGAAGAAATAAATGTACTAAAAGAATCTGCGGTAATGAATTTTCCCTTTTTAAAAAAGTTTCCTTACACACCCAAATAGAAAACCTGAGCTTTTCTTTATTCTCACCGACGCGCTGCTGTGATAGATACCATAGATCTTATAAATTCGAATTGGTTTGATTTTGCGCAAAAAAACCATTATGCTAGATGCTGCCTAGTGTGTTTCTGCTATCTTCATGAACCTGTGGGAGAGCGAAGTTTTTCCCGTGATCCGACAAGATTCGTCATAATTTCCAGTTCGAAGTTTAAAGGTCAAGTAATACGGGCAACATTTTCGCACAACTTGTCGCGCAACATTGTTGCGTTGCAAGTTGAAAGGCGTTGTTGGCCGTATTACCACCCTCGCTCTCAACTTGTCAGGCAACAAATTTCGATGTTGCAAGCTGTGGCAACATGTTGCGCAAAGTAGACCTGAGTTCTACTTTTTGCAACAAACTTTCAATTTTATCATTTGCATCATAACTTGCTACACTTAACAACTCTTGTGACTGGTCATTTTTTCCTCCCCCAAAACGCGGGAAAGATTGTGAGGAAGCGCGCGCTTGACCTCGGGCATATCCGATTTGGGCAGGAAGTAAACATTGCCGAGGTAGTGGAGGTTGAGAACGTTGAGACCCAAGATTGTGAATTTATTAGTGAAAAAATTTCAGAGGCCCAAAGAAAAGATTTGTGCAAAGAACTTGAAAAGCACCAATGTCTGTGGGAAACTTGTGGACCAGAGTATAAAAACAAACCACGGAGGTCAAGAGCTTTGGATGAGTTATGTCAAAAATTTAACATCACCAAACTGTCTTAAAAAACAACTACATAGCCCAGGGGCACCCAGCGTCAATTTTCGAAAAACATCTGTTCGGAAGACGATTTGAGGTCTAGAATTTTCGGAACATTTTTTGTAAAATTTCTTACTTGTGACCTCTCCTAGGATTTTCAAACATCTAAAAAATGGTATAATTGCCCATTTTTAACGGATTTTTACCCTAAAAAGGTCACCTAGAATTTTCGGGAGCCTTTTTTCGGGCTGAAATTTTCGAAAAGGTAAGTTTTGATCCCTATGATTTTCGGATCACTAGACTTTCAGCTAGGAAATCTGAACAGATGAAAAATTTTTAGGGGATGAAAATATGCCTATATCTACCGTTCAAATACTAAAATACGTTCAACAATGTTATTTTTAAGTGGTTTTGAACTATATTCTCGATGGGTACCCCTGATAGCCCTAGAACGGAATTGACAAGGGAAGTGGAAAAAGAAACCACAGAAGGCCAACAAGCCATTTTGGTTTGCTGACACAAAAACACACTGTCGACCAATCACAACGCATGATTTTCTTAAAGAGCCGTAACTTGCAATATCAAAATTTGTTGCGTGACAAGTTGAGAGCGAAGATGGTAATACGGGCAACAGCTCTTTCCAACTGTCTTATTGTTTTTCTAGACGGTAGAGCGACTGGAGAACGAACAGCTTATGGAGAAGATTCAGGATCTAGAGCAATCAACCGCAAGGGTAAGCACAAATAGCTTTAACCGAGTGATCCCAATAATGTTGGTTCAGTTTTCTATGGTAGAAAGTTGCCCGTTTGTAGTTTTTGTAGTTTTTCTGCTTGAGAACGTTTTTTCGTGAATGCACAATTCCTAACGCAACAAAACTATTTCCAAATCATGGGCTTTAAAGAAAACCCCCTCTCCCAGTTCAACGTTGCTTCCTACAAACGCCCAGGGTCTGGCCTGGGTGGCCATAAGGCTTTCTTTTGAAGGCTCAACAACACTGCTTCGAGGGAGAGGTTGGGAGGCAAGAATCGCTACGGCTACGATGTGTTAAAAATGCTCTCTAACTATGCAGTTTTGTCAAGAGGTTTGTCCAAGATCGTAGCGTTAGTGCTATAAATACTGCCGAGGGTAAATAACGGAAATTTATTTTATTAATTTATCAGCGCAAGTGAGATGTGACCATGTTTTAACGACCTTTGAATTTGTTATTTCTCAATGCATAGGTTGTTGACAGACTGGAAGAAGAAAACTCCATCTTGAAGCAGAACATACAAATCCTGGAAGATTCAACGACCGTACGTGAAATGATCGTCGTTTAGCAACTACCAATTTGTTTTTGAGTTGTTATAATTGAAAATCAGTTTTTTCGTTTAGAATATGAAAGACCTAGAGGAAGAGAATGTGCAGCTGAGAAAAAAGCTTGAGAGTTTAGGCACCGTAAGGGTAAGGGTTATTCCTTACTAATGAAGAGAGAAATGCCATCGTCATTCAATACCTTTTTCCTCCTTTTCATTGACCGTCAGCCCACCAGTAATTGCTTACAAAGAATGGTCTGCTCATGCGTATTACCTTCTAACTTTGTTTGCTACAAATAATTTTCTTCTCATTCGTACAAAGTAACCGGACGCTTTCCTAAGTTGCCATGGCTTCTCACGGAGACGTTCTTTTAGCTCGTCACGCAATCCTCTCCAACGTGGGGAAGGAACGCGTGACGAAGTACATCTGCCTGGAAGGCTTACGCCACGGAAAGCTGTCTTTAACTTCTTTAGTTGAACCAAAAACAGTGAGGTATACCAAGGGTTGGTTTACCTTAGATGAGGCTTTTCGGATTGACGACGAATCTGCAACATTTTGGTACAGGATTCGTTTTGCCGTTTATACACAATGATGTGTGAGAAAGTCTTGGTTTGGTTGCTTATTCGGAGATTTCGAATCCAGAATCTAATGAGACGGCATTGGAATTAATGTTCTCGGACTGACTGATGTTTGTAGGCCCGCGAGTCCGTATACATCCGAAAAAAATATGAATCTGGCAAAATCTTAAAGCGGAGCTCCACGTGTGAGTGAAACCCCATACCAAAGATGATGATGATTGCAGCAACAGGGGAAGGAAAGCATGCTTTTTTTTTGGTCAAAAACTGTTTTCGTTTCACTGTTTTGTTGTTGTCGTTGTTTTTATTTATTGTACAGAATGTCACTGCTCTAGAAGAAGAAAATTCCTTACTGAAAGAGAAGATCCGAAGTTTCGAGGAGTCATCAGTAAGTTTTGATTGAGGCTGAGCTCAAAGTTTAATATGCTAAACTAGAAGTAATTTATAATCCTACAACAACAATTTATTGTACCCATAGCAAAAAATTGTTCATTTGGTTTACGAAGAATGAACGTAATAAATTAAATAAATGAAGGGACACCAACTAAATAAAGTAAGCCATGAGCTAAAATGCCGGAAAGCCAGATTCAGTGAAATATAAATGTAGATTAAATATGAATATCGGAGGTACTACATAGCAACATACATTTTTACTATAGTTATTCAAACCGGAGAGTTTTTCATGATTGTGAGAGCCTCCTACAAAGTAAATTTACTGGCTCTTGGTTTGGTTTGTAACCATTACGTGACCGACGTTCTTTGCTTGTCAAACGTGGCATTATTGCGTGATAGTGTTGCTTTGTAAAAAAAGTCTTTCCCAAACAAGGACTGTACTTGTCGCACAAATCAAAAATCAGCTTGGATACAGTCAAGGACGCATTGCGCGTGTATGAAGAAAGTTAGGCATGTTTTGCGCGAGACAGCCTCGTTCCCAATGACTAGTAAGAGAGATTCCGGGGAACGAAGCTGGGCGCCAGATTCGCGGCTTGAGATGAGGTACTTTCCAACTCCGGATGTCATGTACCACAGTCAAGATTTTGTCAGGCATGGGCCAGTGTAATGGGGCATTGCCCGATGACCGACTGTTATTCAGCTGTGTTTCAATATGAACAACTAAAAGGTACCCTTAACCTGCAAAGCTTTGCCAAGCGTTTCTTTGAGCAGTGGTCTAGAATCTTTGCTTTTGTGGTTTTTTGTTAACAGGTATTGTGGTCACCCGCGAATCATATCCTCTTGTTGGGATGTGGGTCACAGTCGATGATTTTAAATCTTTTCTAACTGATTGCCGTACATCCTACCGGGATAATGTATTAGTGCGTTTAATTTCATTGTGAGAAGGTTGACGAGCACACTACTTAGGATTGTTTCCAAAGAAATAGTGCTTCCTTTGAACGGAAGACAGTGAAAAGCTAAAAGCTTTATTTCTATACCAGTTTACGTTTTAACAATGAACGTGCACCGTTAAAATTATCGTGTTGATGCTTGATCAGGCATGTGATGAGATTGTGATGAAAATAATTCTTCTCAAATTATTTTCATCACAATCTCTCCTCAAAGGTGCTGTGATGTTTGGTTTTTACATGTTGGCGGTAAAAGCATTCGTGTTGTTAAGTTATAGTTTTGTCTGATACATTGTACGTGTTTTTGTAATCAGGCTGGAGATATGCCAAATGACGAATTTGAGCTGTTGAAGTTGAAAATACATCAGCTAAAAGAAGCAGAGAAGGTAAGAAGAAAATTTCACGATTGGATGCCCTTCGATGTTTGCTATTATTGAAAAGATTCCATCGCAAACGAAGTACCAATTCACATGAGTTCCTCTGCGGTCTACGATTCATAGCATTTTCATTTCATTGTCTGAAAAGGAAGTATGAAAAAACGTTCTTTCAAGTATCTTTCAATTTTCTCAAACAACGATTTTCTTTCCTTTTAAAGTTGCGGCAAAATAAAGTTGTTTCGACAAATCGCTCCGACCAGTCTGTAGTTTGACTCAGAACGTTTTGAATAATTAACCTAGAAATAGAACCCATCGACAGCACATTCATTTGATTGAGTACTAAACGTTGACTACCGAGGATAAAGTTCTTTTCCTTGTTTTGGCAATTTGTCGTCTTTGACCTTGTACTTCTCTTTGCGTCGCCTTCACTATCTGAACGCCTGGAAGAGGCTTAAATATCGGCGCTGAATTAATCAATTTTCTCGGAAAACGTTTACTTTTCTTTCTGCAGCAAATTGGCGCATTGAACGAGAATAACATGGCTTTGAGGGAACATATAGACTTTCTTCAGATTGAAAGGGTACGCTATCTTAAATTAGACCTCGAGCAGTCGTCCCTCTTTCTTCAGAACCACGTGCGACCAGGGAAAAATTAAATTATGCAAATTAATGGGGAATTAGAGCTAACTTGCGCCCTCCTCCCGGTGTCCTTCGCTGCCTCGCTGCTCGCCGCTCGCGCGTCCTCTCGATCTGCTGTGTCTCAAAAAAAGTGGAGACTCCTGGCCAGCCAGTCTTTTGTCGGTTTGATGACGAGAAAGAAATGCCAAAAAAAAGAGGTAGCGGGGGTAGTTTCAGATTTGTTCCTTTGCTTGATTTTTAGGTGTCAAAAAGGCAGGAGGATAATCCTTACAAATTCTCCTTGTTGATAAATTGTGTGCCAATTGCTTGGAAATACAGTTTAACGATAGGCCTCTTCAGTGTCCCCACCCCCCGCCTTCTCAATGCCCTTATAGTGCTTAAATGCCCTTCGAAAGTATCTGAATTAAACGGTAAAATGTCGCCACTTAGGTCAAAAGAATGTGGTCGCATAAACAAGGTGGTCGTTGGGCGGGGTTCACTGTATTGTGATACTTTTAGAACCTCTGAGAGGTACACTGACATTGTATCGTTCATTGACGTTGTTTTGTATATTTTTCTTGCTACACTTCAGAAAAACGTGAGGGAGAACTGGTCCGAGATGGATCCCTCTGAGCAACTTGGAAAGGTATGTTTGTAGGTTCACTGGGAGGGATAGTTTGGAATGAGCCTAAAATGCACCCTGATAACTATGTTGGATCGAGATTCTGATACCGGTTTACAGCGCGGTTTTGTAAAACAACGTCCAAACTCTGCTCTAATAGCCAGCCCTGTATGAATGTTTAGCCATATGCTTTCAGAAACAAAGTGTAAGTGAGAGAAACATTCCGGGTATTGAGGTTACCCGAGGTGTCAGTTGCTCGCACAGATCAAATGCGAAAAAACAAACTATATCTTGACTCTCAAGTATAGAACTCATCAGTGCGTCGATTCGAAATTTACCCCAGTTTTCCCAATGAATTATAGACGTTATTTTCTCACTGTAAGGCATGCCTTTTGTCATGTGTGCGGTCAGTGAGACTCCATTACCCTCTGTCGTTCCAGTTTTCGCATCGTTATGCGCTCTGTTACTATAACCATCCGCCTATCAGCTATCCTCTTATTTAAGCCCCGGCTACTAAACGATCAAGCATTTTCGTCTAACGTTGTGCTGGAAGAGCTTGTTTTACTTTTTAGCCGCCTCTCTCAACACTGCTTTTACATGACCTTCGATGTTTGACCTAGATCAAATATTTTCAGTTAACATTTGTATCACAAACAATTGCTTCATCATTTCGATCATTTTTGGGCGAGAATGTTTTATCGTTTAACCCGGTTTTAACACTTTTAGCGGGACGTGAGTCGAAGCTTAATGTGTGGACTAAGCTTTCCAGGCTATTTTGAAGCACAGTTTAAGGGAACCTTTCGTAAGCGGCCGCCCACCAAATGTTGGCGCTTATTGGTAGTTGCTTAATACGGAGGGTTCGAGGTAAATTGTTAGGTGTCTTGAACAATTTTTATATATAGCACTCGAGTGGGTAAATACCAGCTAACATTCGTTTTTGTTGCTTGTTTTGTTTTGTTTTGTTTTATTTTTTTAGCGTTTTTCATTTTGACTATGCCTATAATTTAAATTTAAGTTAAAGTCGCATCCAAAAGTGACCTGCTGTGCTATCCTGAACAATGCTAACGCTGCTATACTCTTTTAAACAGCTTTGAGGGCTTTGTCGTATTTAAAAAATAAAAGGTAAAAGAATACCGTAAAGTAATGGCCAATAATTGATTTCGTTTTTCGCACAGTAAACATTATAAAAAAGTAGAACTAACCGACTGAAAATGCAGGACAAACGCATTAAAGGATAAAGTTAGGAAGTAAATAAAAATTAATGAATTATGGGTTTATATTAAAAATAGAGCTTAAACCAGCCATAAATACTTGTATCTAGGTTCGGCTGTTATTAGTACAGGAACTTGGCCTTACAGCCTCAGAGGTTGAAAGTGTTTTAGGATCATGTGACCTTGAAAGTCTTGTGTCATCTGGAATGGCCACCCCACGGACAGACTTAAACAATCTGGGTGAATATTTTGAACAGGTATCTGGGTGCTAAATACGTGCATGATATTCTTTTTATTCACTGTGATAAATATTTCGAATTTTAGATGGCTTGAAAGGACTAATACTGCATAAAACCATATCAACTATAGATTAAACTATTTTGGGGATAACTTCACTCATATTGAAGTTTTTGAAAGCTAGTGCATGTCATGAGAAATAAAAATAAACGTTACCATTTTTTCTGTATAAAGAGAGAATATATTACTTTTATAGTTACTGCATTTGAAAAAAGTTGTAATCTTCCATTAATTCATGTTAACGTAAACTACCGTAGTTGTTTAAATCCCGAGGGTCTTTCATTTTCTTTCCTTTTTTTGTTTTGTCCATTAAAGTGAGCGCTCCATAACAATTTGGTTTTTTGAGTGGTGCACAACCGTCTTTACATGTTAAGTCGATTAAACTTATTGTTTCGCCCTTTAGACACCCGAGGGCAATTACATACCACTGTTCTGAGCGTGCATATTTTGTAAGACCATTGTGCTGTACAACCAAATTAGACGCTTCATGGTCCCCACTTTTATCGTATTTATATTCAGTGAACTGGCGAACTGAAGCGGGTACAATGGGCGTTATTGGGGCGCTCAGGCTTGTTTAGGGCACCACCGTGAAGCTCGTGCTTCGTAGCGGAGCACCAGGAGCACCAAGCGGGAGATGGTTGGGAGAAGGGCGGAACGAAGCGTGATAATTATTCTTTTCACTCGTCCCCCCGCTCCCCTACTCCCACACCCATGTTAGTTGAACTCGCTGATAGTCGCGCTCTTGTCAGGTAGCCTGTTCCAGTCTCTTAGATAGTAGGGATGACGCGCAAGTGTAAGGCACGCGAAAAAGGGGGCGGCACCGCCCTTCCTCTCCCCGGTTTCCTCCCGTTTTATTTTCGAGTTCGCGCATTTCCGCCTGGTACAGGATACAAGGAAGGCTGCGCAACGTCTACAACCAATGTCGCCTACTGATTATAACTGATTGTATTTGTAGTCTGACAGAGGAGTGCAGGCTGAGGTGCCTGGGGGAGTTCATCTACTGAAACTACTACAAGTAACCCCGGATGGAACCGTACCAGAGAACATTGCCAAAGTAAATATAATAATTCTGCAGCTCGTAACTTCTGTGGTAGACGCGCTTTGTTGCTTTTTTTTAGTTTTTATAGCTTTGTTGTTGAGTTCCCTTTGTCTTTTTCTGTTGTTAATCTTTCTTTTTCTTTTTTTTTCTAACGTCTCCAGGAACTCGCAAAACTAAAAGAAGAAAATAGGACACTGTACGAGGAGCTCATGGAACTAAGGAGGAAGATCAAGGTTAGAACTAGTTAAAAGAACAAAATGTAGACTGCCTGTAGTCACTCATATTTTTCTTCAGATTTAGTGTGCTCACGCGCGCGAACGAAGGGCTCCCTTTCTTTCACCGCCCCTCGCCAATCACGTCTTCTTTCGCTTGCTACTCTAATGTTTGGCCTCAAGAAGTGTCCGCTTGACAAGGTAGTTTTCTCTTAGTGAAGTGACTTGACTCCTTCATTGAGGTGGTGCTCTTATGCTTAAGACCCTCTTGACCCCTTTTTTGGTCAACAACCCCAATTCTTGCGTGAAGAGAGACAAGACATCCTGGAAGGTCATAAGAACAGAAAATTAAGTTGATTTTCAAAACGTTTTTTTTTTCAGTGCTATATAACATATGTTGTGGTTCAATTTTATCCTTGGTTTAAATTTTATTTCCTTTTTTTTGTATGGGTGTTTAAAACTATTATTTAAATGCTTTAAATAAAAGAATAAGACCCTCTTGACTCTTCTCTCAAAAGTCCCCTTTTTTGTTCAACAAACGCCCAAAAATTTTCATTCTGTTATATAAGAGTTTGTTTTTCACTCATTTTCCTACTTATATGAAGAATAGACATCCTGGAAGGTCTTTCAAGTAAACTAAAACAAGAAAATTAAGTCCTTTTTGACTTTTTTCAAAACGGACTTTTTTTTTTTTTTCAGACTTTAAGACTAAAATATAGGATGTTATGTTCATGTAGATTCTTTTTTCAATTTTAAACTTAAAATCCTTGAATTTAAAAATTTTATTTCCCATTTAATGTATATATATATTTTTTGGGCATGGTCGAAATTTATTAGCTTGTTGATAAAATGTTTAAATAAAGTTTTATGTTATGTATGTTATGTAAAACAAAGGGAAATAAAATTTAAACCAAGGATAAAATTGGACCACAATATATACATTTTTTATTGTTTTTCACACATAAATCCTGCGGGATAAGAGCTTTCTAAAATCTTATCGTTTACTGCCTCTGTACCTTTTTTATAACCATTCAAATTTCTTCTCAGAATGAAGAGCTGTCGAATTGTGTAATTTGTTTTTCAGTAGTTTGCAAAATTTGCTATTCTTTAACTTCGATCTTTGGCACTCTCAAGTGTGTATTTGCTCTTTATGGGTGTTTACATGGACCATTTCATCTCTTGTTACTGTGAATGACAAATATCTTCTTTATCTTTGTTGTACGAAAACTTGACACAATGGTCCTTGGCGAGATTAATTGAAGTGTTTTGTTTAATTATACTAAGAAAAGGCTAATGATGCATAAATTATTCTTGACTTATTATGCTAATGAAATCTAGTTACTAGCGATGCAAGCGTCTAAACATTACCCTGTGTTCGTTATCTAGACCACGCCGGGCTTTAAATACAAGGTTGGTTTTTATTGTAAGCGTATTTTGACTAACCTTTACGGAAAATTGACATTTTTAACGGTTTGAATTGCTAAAATCTAGAAGGCGCCAGCGAGTGAAGCTCAATTGGCGTTCACTTGTGTTTACGTTTGGCTACAATATCTCTCGTATCGTATCGTTCTATATCCTGAGGTATATATTTTTTGGCCGTTTGCTTCTGTTTATGGTCTAAATTTTGGGTCTATTAAGTAACGATGACTTTGTTGTAAAGTGTTTTATATTCATCTGAATACCATAATATGTGGCTGTTAAAGCAAGACGCTTTGATCATAGACAGTGGCAATGTTAAACATGAAAACTTGAAGACCACGTCAGTTTCGTTTGATTTTTCACAGTCATGGAGTAGTCATTCTTTTTAATATTCTAGCAACAGTCTCGGTGAACTTACAAATTATTAAACAATTTATTATTTTTTCTGTCATTTAGTTTGACCTTCCAGGACAAAATGCCCGTCAGTGCTGTAATCCAGGCTGACAATTATTTATAAAACCAATATTTCTTTTCCTCTCGAAGTTGTTCGCAGATCATGTATCGTCTGATTTCAGTGACCTTTGATGCGTTTATTTCTGTTTTGTTAATATTGCCATCAAATATTGGTTTCATATTACATGTACTTGGCAAGCGATATTCCGTTAAAAGTCTGATCTGTTTATATTTTATAACTTCCTGAAGGAATATCGTATCTTGAAATATGGAAATTAAACGAGAGAGCGTGGGAACATTCGGCAAACATAATAACGGCTGACACTGATATATTATTGCGATGACCAACAATGTTTTTTAGATCTCGCGCGGTGTAGTTCTGTGCTTAGATACAACTTCCTTGTCCATTTCTTAAAAAAACTTTGAAAGGTTACCGTGTAGAATTGAATGAAACCCATCATAGTTTTAATACGCGAAACAAATGCTTTGGTAATTGTCTAAATTACAGGTGCAATTCAAAATGGGAATAGTTTATCCTTTCTGTTCTAAAAGATAATCGCTTTACCCTGTGAAAAATTTGTTTGTTAAATGGTAGTAGGTAAATGTTAACATGCGAAAAAACTCCCGAAGTGGTTTCATTTACATTTATGTTTGCGCATGTTGGCATGGCAAAGCGTAACGATAGAAGTTTTATATGGATTCCTGTTATGGTCTCATTGAATTATATCGCTCAAAGACTCAAAATTTAGATTTTACATGTTTGCATAGATGATTTAGCTGTGCAAGGATGACGCCACACATATAGAAAGCTTTATCAAATGCTACACATCTGGCCTATAACACGTTAGCCCATAATTATATTGGTGAGGCTGGGTTTGGGAAGTTGCTGATGCTCGTAGGGTAAGTCGGGAAAGGAAACTCGTTTGACTTCGAGTAGTCCTCTACGGTTCTCAAGGAAAATAGAGCGTTGAACAACTAGCAACGAGGGGGAGCGTTTCTTCCCTCGCTCCGCGTGTCCTTTTAACGCGTGGGTGGCGATTTTCTTTGCTTGCGTATTGCGCCTGCTCCATTGTTCCTAAGGGAAACTGATGGACTACTATTAGGCTAGACTTTTCTTTCACTTTTCTTTGCTCCGAAAAAGATTTCTCAGAACAATTGAGCTCTTCGTCTGTCAGTCAATAGCAGTAAAAAACAGATGATATTATGACTGTCACTCGAAGTTCACCCGGTCGAAATTATGACCTAATTTACCATTTTGTAGTTTAAGGGCCTGTTTACATGGAGGTGGGGACCCCAGGTAGGTGAAGTAACCCACTTAGTTTGGTAACCCGCCTGTGCATGTAATCTCACATTTTAATCAGATTACGCTTACATGATGATAGGTGGGGTGATCCGCCACATGTTACCTCACCTATCTGGGGTCCCCCACCTCCATGTAAACAGGCCCTTATTTAAGCGAATTTTCTTGCTATTTCTATACTTCACAGGCAAGAGAAGTTGCTCAAAGACTTCACGAAGCGACACAAACCGACCCCGGGTACACTGAGGAGGTCATCACACCCCAAGTGCGTGCGACAGTCGCCTCCGAAATCCGTTATCTAGGAGACAGTTTCTTTGAGCCATCACCTCCAGGACCTTCCATTGAGATTGAAAGCTTGACGTTAGGCGGTCAAGATGGCCTTGTAAGGTATCCTGGTGCAAATGAAGCCATGCCGTCTTATAATGAGAATATCCGTGACTCCGATGAATTGATATCAGAGCCAGAACTCATTTCGTCGCAAAGGAACCTCGATTCTGTCATGGACGATATCGACCGTCGTATTCAGGATCTTCAATCTTTCGACGACGAAGATGCGGCTGGTATGGATAGACCTCGAACAGACACGAGCGATCTTGTAGTATTTGACTCCGATGATGACGGAGACCTCCCTCCTCTTCCCGAGTCCTCCCCACCACCTCCCCCATCCGTACCTCCACCGGATTTCCCAGACGCTTCCCCTCCCATCCTCGATTGCGGGATCGAGTCTCTACTGTCTTCACCACCTAGGGACGCCGCTACGCTGCGAGCGTCGTCTCGCGCTCGGTCGCATTCAGAGAATAAAGGTACTTCTGAGCCATCACAGCCATCTTCTCGAGTGGAGTCCCCTGTTTTCGTCGAAGAGCCCACTCTGGTGTTAGCCTCAGATCCAAGTGAGCTAGGTGGGACTTATTCAGAGCCCCCAACCGTGAGTCCCCCATCTGATAGGAGGCCCACTGGTTTAGGATCTAACAAAGTCCCTCCCAAAGTCTTTCCCAAACCTAAAAAGACTCTGAAGATGCGTCAGGCGGGACAGCTGCACAAACCTTTGGTGACGTATGACAATGGGCATGTGACACCTAAGGCAGAAACGCAATGGTCACGTGATGAGGAAGACGGAGTTATACCTCCGCGGGGAATCGTTCTTAACCGGGCCGCTTCAATTAACCGTGGAGAAATAGATGCGCTCAACGAGAAAATTGGCTTTCTGGAAAGACAGCTTAAGGTAATACCCTAAGTTAGATCTGAAGCATTTGTGACCGACTTTTACAGTTTAACTTCTCTTATAGCCGACAATCCAACGTAGGAAAGTTAAGTGTCCGACTAAAGTTTTGTGTGTAGACGATGCCATTCGTTAATTTCCGATGCCATTGCGTTATATTCCTATGGCTTGGACGACGGGTTTAAAGATTACTATATTCGAAAGTCCCGGTAACTTTACGGGCCCGAAATCAAATATTCAAATCATAAAGAATCCGGGTTTCAACTCCGGGTTTGTTAACGATCCGATATTTAATTCAACGACCTGCTCCCAGTTGGTAGAGCGCTGCACCGGTATGGCAGAGGTTAAGGGTTCGAATCCCGTACAAGCCTGAATTTTTTCAGGCTTTCTTTCACAGCTGCAAAAGTTGCGTATATAACTGCGATGCTCCTCTCTCATATAATTCTTCACCCCGTAGTTCTCATATAAGATTTTCATATATTCGTAACTTCAAAAACTAAATTTTTGGGAAAATGACTCCATGACGTGTTTTAGCCAATAATGTGTTCAAAAAGGAGTTAAAGAATGCCGATTTATTGAATAAATCGTAGTCCTTGAAAACTGTAATTTGTCCTGGAAAAATCCTTGAAAAGTCCTTGAAATTTGTTTGTATGAAGTTGTGCGAACCATGTTTGAAGTACCACTAGAAATATTGAACTCTTATGTTCGGTATGTGCTGTAATAGCGTTTTCAAGCTCTTGGACGCATCATAAATCGTTGGAACCAATACAATTTTGGGCCCATATGTTCTCAATTTTAGTTTTTGTTTCTTTTCTTTTTGTCGGCTGTGATATGAAAAACGTTTTAAGATCCATATCCAGCTTTGTCTTAATTGCTTTTTTTTTTTTTCTGTCATTAGGTTATCATTTTTCTTGATCTTCACTATTTCTTTGCGAAAGAAGATATTCGTCGCGCTTGTGTTTTTAACGATTGAAAATTAATACACGAATAATGCAAATCTTCTGCGGGCCAGATATTCCAGTGCCGTTATCCATGTGAAATGAAATTCCGTCATGTTTACGTTTTGTTTCTCTTACAGAACAAGGAAAATGTCATTCGCTCTATGAAGGTAGGTTCGGAGTTCACAAGTCTGTTCATGGGTTCTTAAAAAATCGTTACCAGAAATTAATTTGTTCAGCCACAGTTTGACGAATTATAAATTTGTGCACTTAGATCTTGATCCTTTACTTATTGGTTGTCTGGTTTGCTTTTCTTTTTTTCGCCCCATATAAGGGGAATTCGGATTCCAGAATCCACGAAAATTTTGCTGATAAAATTCGAAATCCTGGGTTTTGGAATCCGGAATACAGCTCAAGGAATCCAGAATCCAAGTTCTACTGACAAATACTGGAATCTAGTACTTGGAATCCGGAATCCGCAAGGTGGAATCCAGAATCCAAGACTATACTGGATTCCCTTACATGGGGCGATTTGTTTGTTTGTTTGTTTGTTCGTTTTAAATCGGCAATCAAGAGCTAAAACATTTAAACATTTTTTAAATATTTTTAAAATAGATTTTGCGCATCGTTTCTCTCTCACAACTGAACATTGTCACTCTGCCAGCAGAACCTCCTTTTGTTTTCTTCTTGATTGAGAAGGGAAAAAGGTCGTCTGCTACACAGCCGTGTTTGGTGTCGTCACGCAACGCTCCTCGCCGTTTGTGGGGAGGAGCGTTGCGTGACAACACTAAAAACGGCTGTATAGCAGACTAGAAGAACATGAGGCTGTGCCCGATTCGCGTCAAGCCTTCGAGGTCGCCGCAGCCCAAACTTCTTGACTAGTCAATCTTGTGTTCTCTCGTCAAAGCGGTTTTTAGAGTTTGAGCACCCAGTTATTGAGAAACCGATGGTCATAACTGAGCCCGTTGTACCAAGCGCGGCAATTAGACCTGGGTCAGCAGCATGTAGCGCATGCGCAATTAAGGATCCTACTGGATCTTATCATATACGGTGACAGGTTTAACGAATCGAGGAATTGTCATGTGTCAGCCTCTCTAACCAAAGTTATGGTTTGGTTTTTGGTTTATTGATGATAAAACAAAAGCATTTCTCTATTTGATTTCAGTCTGAAGCAAGTGACCTGGAGATTCGTTCCTTGGTATGTAGTATATCAAATTATTATTAAAAACTGAATCATTGGATAATGCAATTCTAGAGCTCTGATTGGCTTAGCCATCATGGTATATGAGCTATTACGCAATGCTCTCCATATAAGGTAATTGTACACGTCTGCTTAAAATTAGAAACAAGCTGAAAATCGGTTGTTTTTACAAATGAAGTCGGAGAGAATTCTCCATATTTTGTGGGCGTTTTTAAGAAAACAATTATTCCACTCTTGCTTGTTGGATATGAGATAATTTAGCCAACTCAGCGCTACGCACCCCGTTGCCTTTCCTACCACCTCATATCCAAGGCGCACTCATGAAGTAAGGCGTTATTTGTTTGTATCTTAACGTGATTAGTACAGAAAAGCATTTCATAACTGGTTATCTGCAATGGTATTTTGCCCTTAACACTTGGCAAGTTTTTACTGGGTCGAGAAAAAAAAAAACTAGTTAAGTGTTTTAATCTTTATGAAATATTTCATAACAGGGAAATGCTGTAAAGATTCATTTCTTTGCTTACTCCCCGATTCTGTTCTCAGACTTACATAATTTTGTAAATGATGAGAACTTCGTTGCTAATTTCCTATACCTTCCCTTAACGTTACAGCTTGAACGAAAAGAACGCGAGATGAAAATTCTGGTAGGTGACCTGATGTTCTTGGTGTGAAATGGAGGCCGAGCAACCACCCCACTCTCCAACCCCCAACCCCCGCCCCAACCTTTTTCTGAAGACTGACTTCCTTTGCACCCTGTTAGACATAGAGGCTTTTTTAGTTCTTTTTGTAGCTGGTTTGTCTGTCAACCCCTCTTTTTGAATTTTTTCATCCCAGTACCCCAGACCTGTATCATTTTTTTCTTCCTCACCGGTTATTATTGGTAATTTAATTTCTTGTTCGCAATTTTATAGCAGCTACTCAGTTTTAACTCTGTTATTCCATATCCCCGTACCTTTAGGATGAAGACGTATCTTTCTTGAAGAAAGAGGTAAGACTGAAACTAATTTATTTTGCTTGGTGAAGGCTTGTGAAACTGATATACCGTAAAATTCCGAAAATAAGCCCCTCCTTGTATAAGCCCTTCCAAATATAAGCCCCTAAACTCGTAACGCAAAAAACCCTCCGTTACATCGCCCCTCCGAATGTAAGCCCCCTGGGGGGCTTGTACTTGGAATTGCCCTCAAATACAAAGTAAAACAGTGCAAAAACGGTAAATTTCCTTCCAACTATAAGCTGGCCCAATCGATTTTCAAACGCAAATTTCCATTTTTACATAAGCCCCTCCGAATATAAGCCCTTCCAAAACTAAGCCCCTCAAAAAGGGCCTTTGAAAAATATAAGCCCTTGGGCTTATTTTCGGAATTTTACGGTGTACTGCGCATTATTGCCGTGTAAGGGTGTTCAATTGCACGATTGACGTCGCTTTCTAAACAGAGGTATTTTTCTTTAGGTATCAAAATTCGAAGTTAACCGTTTCGTTCTTAGGCTAGGTTACGTGTTTCCTTGGGAAGCAAGAGGGGCGCAGTGGTGAGAGAACTCGCCTCGGGTCCCTCGGGCTCAAATCGCGGCGTCGACGCCGTATGTGGGTTGGATTCTCTCCGCCCCCTTACTTTGAGACATTTCTCTTCAGGTAGCAGGCGCTTGGAAGTAATGGGCGCAGGAAAGAACTGGGCGCGCGAGAGAGACACGCGTGTCTCCCTTGCGCACCCAGTTCTTTCTTGCACCCATTACTTCCAACTCTCTCCTGAAAAACCAACACTTCCTAATTCTAATTCAATCTGGAAACACGGACACGAGATCTCTGTCACTCTACCTTTTAAATCTGTGGACGAAATCGACTTTGATTCGAGTTAGCGAGGGTTCGGGAGTCAACTGAAAACTTGAACTACTTTGTTGTCATGTCAGCTGTAACAAATGATGTGGGCCTCGAATGAATTTTATAATATAACTGAATCCGCCAGCGGGCAAGGTGAGGCGAATCCTCTGTTCTTATTGGCTACTCGAGTAGGTAAGATATAACCATTTGACCGCAAGGGATTTCCCGAGTTTGTCGTTCAAGAAAATCAGTTTTTGTCCATATAATAAATCCTGTGTTGACAAAGCCTCTTTGATCAAGATAACTGTTTACTGGCCTGGTATTTTTTTGCGTTTTTATTGACTTCGACTTCGCCTCGTCTATAAAATGCGAAGAAGAAATTGACCAATATCAAGCTATCTTGACCTCACGCTTATTCAGTAGTACCTCAGCAGAACCTCATAAAATAAATAGAGGATATTAAATGGTCGCGCGGAGATACGAAATTTCTCTTCGAGTATTGAAAAATATTTCATGAGTGAGCGCAGCGAAAGAGTGAAATATTTTTTTCAACACGAGAAGAGAAATTTCGTATCTCCAAGCGACCATGTAATGTTCTGTTTATTATATAAACACCATTGAAATGCCAAACCATTTTACTGAAATAGTTTTTTGGTCTGAAAGGTTCGGTTTATTATGAAGCCATAGCAACGGTGATATGTGAAAATATCAAGTTTTCGTGCGAAAGCTCACTTGGTATTTCACTGGTGTTTATATAAATCGCATTTTTTTTTCAACAGAATCAAAAGAAGGAGAGAGAGCTACTTACTAAGGTAGCTTGTTTGTTTTGTTTGTTTACATTTGTGTATATCGTAGTGGAAAATGTTTTTTGATCTTTTTGTAGAAAGTGGGGGTGAGGGAGACACTTGGATTTCTAATTTAGCTTTATTGCTTTTGCAGATTGGCGAAATGAACAAAAAGAATTACGAGGTATGTTTTTTTTCAGACGGTCAGATTTCATTCGTTCCTTCGTTTGTTCGTGCACTCACTAACTCACGCACGCACTCTCGCACTCACTCATTTATTCTCTCATTTCCTTATTTATTTTTCAGGTCGAACAGTGGAAAGCAGAAGCTAACAACTCTGAGAGGCAAAGACAAAGAATGGAAGCAGCCTACATGAACTTACAGGTAACTAGAATGAAGGCAACAGCATAATCCCTATTACTGTTCTCAGAGTATCGTGGTGTAGACAGAAGGGTGTTAAGGTCATTCCTCTTCTAAAATAGAACCTGCGGTGAGAGTTTTTTCTCAAAGTTTACTGATTGTTTGTTTTTGTTCAAATTGAAATAAAGTGGGGGTTACCTTTATTCGTTTAGAGGCAGCAACAACTTGTATGTACGCAATGATTCATTAAAATGATTTTATTTACGAGTACATGCTGCTTTAAACACGTTTACGACAACAGATTCTTTTTCTGCACTGAGAAATCAGTCTATATACATTATAGAGAAAGAAAGTTACCGTCACCTTCAAAACAGAAAGAATGGTAGGTCGCCTTGTTCGTTTAAGAGTATTTGAAGGTTTATCTTTCTTTGGAGTTCGGGCCTTAGAGCAGACGTCGCCATTGTTTATTGTGAACGTGCTTATCTCGCCTGAAATCATGCACAGGAAGGATGCACAATGCAATACTATGAAATAACCTTAATCTGTTTTACGCTTACTAGTTTGTAGCCATTACGCATTATGTCAACGTCTGTTTAAGTCCGTAAGCCCATTTCCATTGTTCTCGTAGCGCACGGCGTTAACGTGTAACCTTTGGAGAAACGGTACCGGCTTCGATACTTGCTACCGCTCGTTTGTTTTCGTCAAATTTAATATATTCTTTTTTTTCCCCTCTTTTTAATGGTTACTGGAGTGACAGTAAGCATATGTCCTCTCGGGGGACTATTTTTTGCTTCGCTTAATAATATGGCGAACCTTTTTAGCTTTACCCCATTTTTGTTTCTTTTTAAGAACCAGATGAAGAATCTCCAAGGCGCAGAAGTCAAGTTGACTGAATTACGAGGAAAGTACAGTGGAATAGAAAAGCAGAACTTCGAGCTGAGTGAAAAGGTAATGCGCTTTTCAAATTGTCTATATACTTGAACGAATTCTCAATGTGTTCCTTTTTAGTGTTGTAAGTTTCCCTTTTCCTTTTAAACTGCATGGCAAAAACAATGCTGATTGAACTTTGCTTTATCATACATGATATTCCTTCCAACGAACTCCCACTATATATTGAACCAGTTTATTAGTCAACAGGGAGATTATCAGTTGCTCTCCGTTTGCATCTTGCTGTGTCATTATTTTATATACTAGTGTAGCTTGCATAAACAGGCGCTTTGTGAGTAAGCGAGGCGAACGCGGCATTTTGCAGGAAGCGCGAGACGAGGGGAGGAGAAAAATAAAGCTTCATTTTTTCCTCCCCCCTCCTCTCCCGCTTCGTGCAAAATGCCGCTTTCGCCTCGCTTGTTTCATAAAGCGCCTGTTATGCAGGCCAATACTAGCAAATGCTAGTGGTGCAACCTTGCTAGCTATGGAATAGTTTACCATCCAGGGCCCAATTGTGCGAACGCCGGTTAGCGCTACCGGGGGGTTTAATTTTAACCCGGGTTTCTTCTTCTTTTTATCGAAAGCTTTCTCTCGGATGATTTTCTCCATCCTTTTTAGAGTATCCAATCATCAGATTGTAGGCAAAGTGAAGTAAACTGAATTTGCTTTTTAAGCTCTCATATTAAAGTTCAAACTTTGCACTAACCATGGGTTATCTTAACCCAGCTTTGAACAACCCGGCCAAGCTTGAGAATTTCGTGGTTAGTTACCTAGCCTGCACGCAAGCGTTTTCGGGACCACAGGGGTGGAGAGATTTGCAAAGCGCCCCTGGGAGCTTGCTCACTAGCCTCCCCGCAGACGTCCTTTGGAATGAATGCGTGACAAACAAGCCCCAAAGGACGTCTGCGGGGAGGCTACTTGCTCACAGGCAATTAGTTAACACTTGCGAAAATCTCTCCTCAACGAAATCTACATTTACTTTTGTCAATATTTTCTTTCTTTGTTAAAGGTAAAAAAGTTGGAAAAAACTGAGAAGGAGTTCAAGAAGCTAGAACATAACATTCAGCTTTTACAGGTACCGAGATGAAAAACTTAAGCTGCTCGACTATACCACTAAAAAAATCAATTTTTTTTCGTTTCCGATTTTTGTTTTTTATTCACAGTACACCTTCAAATAAGTGGTAGTAATATTGGTTCTTTATAAGTTGTTATACTTCTTATTATCGTTATTGGTTGTTATCATCCCAATCATACCAGTAACCATTGTCATCCCAGGCACCCTAGTCATCCAAGTCATCCCAGTCATCTATCCCAGTCGTCCCAGTCCCCCTTAGTCATCCCAGTCATCCCATTGCCCCTAGTCATCCCATCCCAATCACCCTCGTCATCCCAGTCATCCCATCCTAGTCATCCCATCCCAGTAACCCTAGTCATCCCCTGGAGTTATCTCAGTCACCCCAGGGTGAGTCACTCCAGCTCGGCAATTTCAGTCACCCTAGTCATCCCAGTCATACTAGTAATCCCAGTCAATCCATCACCCTAGTCATCCCAGTCACCCCATTATCCCTAGTCATCCAAGTCATCCCATTCGCCCTAGTCATTTCAGTTACTCTAGTCATCCCAGTCATCCAAGTCACCCTAGTCATCGCAATCAACCTAGTCATCCCAGTCATCTGATCAAGTCACTCCGGCAATCCCTGTCACCCCAGTCATCCCAGTTTTTCAATACACTCTCCTCTGAAAGTACTGGTTATAGGAGTTCATTTGTATAAAAATCAGAATCTTGTTTTACAGCATTTTAAACAGTACCGTATTGTTAGTGGTCACACATTAAGGTTCCATCCACGACGTGAACAGCATAGTAAACAGTACTAAAGGAACGTTATGTTCTGTGGCTTTCATCTGAATGGTCACACCAACGAATTTTGTCCACAGAGACAAAATTAACAGCCACTTTGCACGGTGTATATAATAGACTGTACAAAAAGAATGTAGTCTTTACTTGAATTGTCATACCGCAGAATTCACTGAATACAGTGTAAGAAAACTGTTTCTATCTGTTTTTACCAGACCCAAGTGCAAGAAATGGATATCGTTGAACAGGATAGAAACAATCTACTTGAGAAAATGAAAAGGATTGAGAACCAAAGAGATGATTTGTTAAGAAAAGGAAGAGTTGTGGAGTCCGAGAGAAACGACTTCCTACGAAACAACAAATTGATGGAGATGCAAAGAGATGACCTCGAAAATAGATGCGTTCTGTTACAAAAGACAAATGCTACTTTAAATTCCAGGGTAATAGGACATCCTCGTTTTGTAAATGGTCACAATTTAACGACCCGTTATTTATAACCATGGCCGATGCATTCTTTCAAAAACCTAAACAAGTAATCTTGATTTGTTTCAGATAATATGTGTTTACTTGTCTTCGCAGTAGAAACAGGGAGAAGAAACTGCCCCAAAGTTGTTAAATGTTATTCTATGATTTAGGCTTATGTGTCAACCGATTTGTTTTTGTAGTCTTTTTTACCGGACATTAAAGAAACGGTGTATTTTCCATCCAGTAAGGAATTTCGTGGGTCCTGGGTAACTTCCCTTGCACCTACCCCTCCCTTGACCCAGCGTTTTGCGCTAGTGGGAAGTTAGTGGTAATGTTGGGTTAGGGGTAGGGTAGGTGGGTAGTTAGGACTTGCCGTTCAATTAACTGATTCCCAGTATTAGCAATTTTCTGCAAGCGACCTTTCAAGTAATGCACTATTTTGTCCATCCTATACACCCACACACTGAGCATTCAAACTTAACAGAGCAAAACATATCAAAATAGCGCCATAATTAAATTGTGTGCAAAGAAGAATTGAAGCCTCAGCTTTTAAATATTAATAAACGATTTGGTTCAGCCTTTACACCCACCCAGGGCACTCAAAATTCTGATTTGTCTACCTCTTGTTTCTTTTCTGTCGAAACAGTGCAAGACCGCCAAATCTTGGCATCATGATGAAACTGTATGCAACGAAGAATTGAAGTGTCGTTTGTTAAATACAAATAAAAGATTTAAAATTTATTTAAAGAGTTTCAAGATTGCAAAAAGAGGCATTTTGTTTTTTAGCTTGCTGAACTTGAACGCGATGTAAAGGAAGCTCAGACGAAGATGCACGACAGCCAACATGAACGGAACTACCTTCAAGTGCAACTGGACAAAATGGAATCAGAGAAAAATGAGATGCAGAAAAGGCTTGCGATAACCACACAGGAGCGAAACTCACTGGAGAATCAAGTAGCTGAACTACAAGAACTTAGCAGGTTAATGTTCTAAATATGTCGGATAACAAATACGACTTTGACTTATTGAATGAGTTTGGTCGGGCCGGAAGTATTTGGCTCGCAGTCAGGACGTACGGACCTCGGGCCAAATATTTTCCCGTCTGACCCACCTAACTCAGTAAATAAGCATTTTATCATATTGCCGTTGTGTTTTTGTATGCTGGCCCACGTCTATCATTACGCTTTCCTTGCGGTGCCGTGCGCGTTTTTTCGGCCCTATCACTTGACATGTCCGGCCCTTATACGGGACTTTTTATCATATGGTTTTCCAATGAAATTGCGCGCGGGGTCGTACAGGTCATGTGATAATAGAAATTATTGTATTACTAGACTTTAACTCAACTAAACAGGGACTGCCATTGGTTGATTTTAGTCACGTAGCCTCGACTAAAATCAAGTGTATACTGATTGTAATAGCGGAGCTCCACGCGCGCGCGAAGCGCGCGCGTGGGCGGAGCCCCATCGCTAAGGTAATCTACCCATCCCAGAAAATTTGGTAATCACGTGACCGTACAGCGACCGACCGCCCGCCGTCCGTCCGCACCACAGGACAACCAATGTTTACTCTCACACTTTTAGCTAGTTTGGGAGCCCAAGTGAAAACTAATTGCACATCAATGTTGTGATCAATTGACAGCTGTCGAAACAGGGCATCCGCTGACCAGTATCACCTGACCGTACCGCGGGCTCAAGTGTCCACCCATTGAGGTCGAATATTTTTTTGAAAATATCCGCTGACAAATTACCACTTTCAAATGATCGCAGGCTCAAGTTTATTTTTTCCAAGGATTCATATCAAATATGTTGTGTTTATGTCACTATGGCCCCGTTCTATTAGGATTTTGATTTCAAACTGGCCTCGGAAGCGAAAATTCAGCCAGTTTTTTTTAAAAGTACAGGCGGGGAAGACCTTATCTTCCCATGGTCACGCGCTGGTCACGCTCTACGTCCATTTTTTATACTCTGATTGGTCAAAATTTGACAGGTGAGTTCATGCGGACAAATTATGCAGCATCTTGAAAGTTGTTAACTTTGACGGCTGAAGCTGACAGAGTTTTGTGTCAACTTGAGATGTTTTAACTGTCTTTTTCCTCTGGATGTACAAAATGAAATACAGGTGCTAGCAAGGGTCTTCTGTTATTCATGGATGGTTTGTTTACTGGGTTTTTGGTTGAGAAATGCGTCGCTTGTCAAAATTCGGTAATTCGTTTTTGGATGGCATCGTTTTCGTTTTTCACGTTGCTTAATGCGTAAGAGGGTTTAAAAGTCTCAAACAACTGTGGCTTTCCTTAATAGCTTTGAGGAACTGAATCTCAAATGGTAAGCCTGAGTAATTATTGTATTTGATGTTTGTTTTTGTTATATCTAATTTCATGAAGTCTTGCACAGTTCACGCTGACAGTTTAAGCGGCAAGTTTATGCACGATTGTAGGATTTGAGTGAATGATCTGACCTAGTATCACGTTTGATATAAGCTTACAGAACTTTAAAAAGCCTTCAGATATATTTGCTCACCGCAAATAGAAAGAAATCGTTCCGAAGAATATTTAGTCATAAATTTGGCTGTAGAGAGAAAACTTTGAGCGATTTTCTTGCTTCGAGGAGTTCATCTTCGAAAACAGTAAACACCGCGCCGGGAAGCCGGCTTAAGCCGTACGCTTAAAGGCTCAGGATTTTTAGAGACACTTTAATACTTGTCTTCGTGAATGAAAATTGTTGTCTCTGTAAATGTTTCACCGAATTATATTTCTTTTTTTGATTGTTAGTAGTCTCTCTCGCAATTTTAATCGCTTGTCCGTGCCGTTTGTTTTCATCGTTCATGAACATCGCTTGCAGGAGTACTCAAAAATGTCGCGCGTATCAAACGCTTTATAAGATTACACATCGTTATAACTGAAACCATTAAATAACAAAAAAAATAATAATCATAAATTCGCTATTATGTTGAAGCGTAACTCTATTAAAGTTCATTCAAACACTCGACCACACTGACTGCTCGCACTATAGAAACGAGAACGGTTTCGCTTTAAGCCCATGATTGATCGTCCTGAATATTGACTGAGTGCAATTTGTCTTGAAAAATTGTGAAATACCGTATTCTGTCCGAGGTCTGTATGATAAATAGTATTGTTTCACCTCAAATGTGATGTATAAAAATTATAAAAGGTTGGTTTAAACACCCCCAGATTTGTTGGTAAGAATTTGTAAAGTAAACCTGTTGAACGCAAAAAATTCGGCGTGCTTTGTTTTCCAAGAATTTGTTTTCGAGGCCTAATCTACTGTGATCTTGAATGTGATCGAAGAGGTTTGCTATTTTGTGGGTGTACATATAAGGTTATCAATTCGATGTAAGATGTTTCACTCTAAAATAACTTAGCCTTTCCCTCAAAAGTCACATGAATGTGCCCTTAAGTTAACCGATTTGTGGATTAAAAGTTTATTGTTTTATTGAAATTATAAATTTATTAATTGGAGCTTCGCTTTTAGCCCTGGCTAAATCTATATATTATGTTTGAGCGATTGTGCCCCACTCGGGTTACAACAGCGCGTGATCAAAGGATGGTGGAAAATGGCGTCGCAGAAGACGGGGAAATGACTGCCAGTTTTGCCTTTCGTGAATGACACAACAACAAAAATATTAAGGTCCAAAGCTAAAGAAAAACGAGTTTCGAAGTTATTCAATAAGAGAAAAAGCATTTTGTGGGAAAGAAAGATGCATATCAATTTCTGCACGTTCTGTAGTAAATTTCTGTGCTTTTTCATTTCGTTTGTTAATTAACTTTGTTTGCATTTTTAGGGATCACGTTAAACTTGAGGATGGTTTCCATACTCTAAGAGTTAAGGTAGGTTTAGTGTGTAAGAGTAATGATCTAGTGGATTCGATCAGTCAAGAAATACCATTTTCTTCACTTACTATCGTTTCTGTTTTGTCTTTACAGCGGGCGGAATCGACGCGAGAAAAGGATGATGCGGAAATGCAGATCCCAACTTTAAAGGTAGAGTCTGTCTTTCTACTTTTTTGGTTTTACTCTCAGATAAACGTAATAACACCTTTCTGAGTTGCTGTTTGTTATTACGCTAAAAAGGTGATTCTTACGTTCTATTTCATTATACGATAATTTGTGTTTACGATATTGTACTCGGTTATTCTAACTTTTTTCTATTGATCATAACACTTGAAATTAGAAAACCTTAAATATGACTGCTTGAATGAAAACTACTTTTGCTGTCTATCATGTGGATAAAATCCTTGGCTTTGACCATTAATTTTATCGAAGCTACTTAACAGTACATTTCTCTGGTGCTGTTTACGATGGTGCATACGGTTGTTATAATTTTCAGTTGTGTGAACGAAACTTTTGAGTGTGATCATTCATACAAAAGGTCAGGTACTTGCTAGTGTGCCTCATTGTTCTTGCTTTATCTTATACAGGTTGATTCTGTGTCACTTATGTGTCCATGGAATAAGTAGTGACTTGTGTGACAAAGTAATGTCTTTACCTTCTTTCGCCATTTTAGGCCAAGATTGCCTTACTCAAAAAAGCCTGCAAGGAGAAGGACGATCTTGTGGAGAAACTGAGTGAAGAAATTCGAGACCTGCGCCATGCAATCGCTTCTTCTGCTCTTGACGATTTATCTAAGATCCAAACATCTGGATCCACTCCGAAAAACGTCGTGAAGCTATCGACTAAGAGAGAGAAAGGGCGACAGAAAGCTGAAGGAGAACCTCAGGTCTGTAATAAGGATTTTTTTGCTCGGGGTTTACTGTGAAATCTTAAGTTATGAAAAAGATAGTGGCTGATTGAGGGTGAGCTCAGATCACGTTGAGGGTGAGGTCAGAGTTGGTGACAAGGGTTTACTAGGGTGCCCTGGGTGACTAGGGTGAGTATGGTACCCTGGGTGACTTGGGTGACTATAGTTACTAGAGTGCTCTAGGTGACTTTGGTGGCTCGATTGACTAGGGTGACTTGGGCGATTAGGGTGACTAGGGTAAGTATAGTGACTAGTGTGACTAAGGGTAACTAGGGTAGCTTAAGTGATTAGGGTTACTAAAGGTCACTTGAGTGACTAGGGTGACTGTAGTGAATAGGATGACTTGGGTGACCACGGTGACTGGAGGAACTTGATATTGAGTTTGGGTTATTAGCCGATTGTGACTAGGTTTCGCAGTCTGTTTTGATCTACGAGGGTGACTAGGTTAAGAAGCTTTCCTATTAAGTTTTCTTGATGCATTGCTGTTTTATTGAAATAAGAGTATTAAAACTGCGTTTTGAGCAGAGGTTTTTATTTCATAATTGGATAATTTAGCGTATACTATATTGCGCTATGGCAACGGAGGAATTTTTGTTGGTTGCAGTTGTTCAGTTGAGCACCCTCTTACGCCTTATTTAGCTATTGATTTGTTTCTGTATAGGACGTAGTCAGCGAGAGACTAAAAAGCAAGCTTGATAAACAGGCTCTGCGCCGATCTCCAAGGGTAAGTGATCATGATTTAAATTTTCTCGCGTTTTTTACTCTTGTGTGGTTTTCTGTTTGAAGTATAAGCCGTCTACAGACAATGCTTAAAGGTTTGAAAAGACTTGCAGAACACTTATAAAAATATGTTACAGTTGGTCTTATGTCATGTAAATTTCAAACAACCACGATAATTGTCAGACAAACACTGTTTCTTTCTTCTTTTGCGTCCAGTATCACGTTTTGCTAAACTAAATGGGCCCCTTCCTTCCTATCTATTCACGACGGATGTTGATTATGGTGATGTGAGCTCCTTGCAATTTTATAGAATAATTTAGTTTAGATAATAGCATGATTTGTAGTGATATTTCAAAATTGTTGTACGTAATTTCACGAGCTTTTAGGCGAGTGAAATTTGAGACAATTTTGAAATATCACGAGTGGTATTTATGCCAAATATCACGTACAAATCATGCTATTATTTGTTTATACTACTACCCGCAAAAGGTTTGTAATTTTCACATGTGGGTATTTCAAATTAAGCTGAAATACCACTGCTCTAAGCCAATAAAATTGCAGAAATTTCTCATGTAGTAGTATAAGAATGGTAATTTTGATGTTAACATCGTTTGTCTCTTATCATCAGGCCTTTGCACCATCACCTCCAGGAACTAAAAAGGCTAAGCGCTTTGTCGCACTGTTTGATTACGACCCTGACAAGTCCCCTGCGTCCGAGCACCCTGAAATAGAGCTTAAACTTACAGAAGGGGATTTTCTAACAGTATTCGGCGATATGGACTCTAATGGGTATTTCGAGGCGGACGTCAATGGAGAGCGCGGCCTGGTTCCTAGCCTGTACGTGGATGAAATCGAGGACGATAGTGATTCTGAGGTTGGGCTGGAGGAGCTTCTATCGAGGTCACTCAGAGCCCCAGTAAAAGATGTCCCTTCTTACAAAAGCAATCAACTCCTGGTAAAGAAATTATCTTTGATAACCTTGGATTGTTATATGGATTAAAGTGACGAGAGCAAAAGCGTGGTGTCGCAGCCAATGAGAGAGACTAGGGTCTGCTATAGTTTATTTACAAAAAATAATGTTAAGAAATGTAACAAATGTCAGATGATTGATAAACATCTACCACTCTAATATATTAACCAACGTTTTTCCCAATTAGCTGGTTATTGCTCCGCAAGACCGAAATAAATCGGTGCTAGGTCGTAATGTTAAAGACTGACATTTCTTGTCATTTTTGCAGTTACAAAGAGAGAAGAAGTCCAGCGGCCGTATCACACCGTCATCTGACACTTCCTCTGTGGGTTCGGAATCGCGTCGGTGCATGGTGACCCTTTGTGATTACGACCCTTATCAATCGGGTGCCTCTGGGCGGCCATCTCAAGAGCAGCTGTCGTTCAGAAAAGGTGACATCATGACTGCCTATGGTGACATGGATGTGAATGGGTTTTATCACGTTGACCTCAATGGTAAGAATTTGAACAAATCATGAATGCAAACGTAGAAAACAGTTCTACGGAAAATTAAAAATCAGTACACTTTATAAGCTTTCATTTTGGCATGTACAAATGGCGCGTGGCGCGTGGCGCAATGCTATGATGTCCTCAGCATATGGGGCATTACAAGTCTCGTCGGGGACTCAACTCAAAGGTTAAAACACTTTATAGCTTTAAAAGGTACTGCGGACGACTTGCTAAAATTCACTTAATGTATTCTATTATGTGTGGATCATGCCCTCTCTTTCAGTTAGCCATCCTGCACGGGCATGTAACGCGTCCAAAAACTGTCCAGCTACCACAGGGCTTGATAGTACAGTTGATTCTTGCAGGGTACTGGGTTCGAATCTCGTTTGAAATAATGTATTCGTTTGCTCTTGTTTCACACTACGTTAGTTGCGAATATAGTTGCGAGGGTCTTTGTGTATGTATGTATGTATTACTGTATCGCTATAAATAGCATAGGGTATTTCATAGTTGAGTGGCCATAGCCTCCATAGGTTTCTGGGAGATCATAAATTTGGTAATGGTTTTCGCCGGGAACGCAGATTTCGCAGTTGTTAGACGCTGGTGATATGGGGATTTTTTTACCTTCCTCGTGTCATTTTGACCATGACTGAAAAGTATAACCAGAGTTCCTATTCTCCTTAGATAATTGATAAATTTATAGAGTCTCAAAGTATAAGTTACTTACCTATTGTTTGTTAATTATTTCAGGTCAATTGGGATTTGTTCCGTGCCACTTGATCGAGGAATTTGCTCCATCTTCCTTCCTTCAAACCGTAAGTGCAATTGCTCAGTTGTATATTAAAATTTTAATTCAGACGTGTTGTATCCGTTTTGAGTTCATTTCTCTTTGGGTCATCAGGCCAGCAGCCGAGCTCCTGAACAGATCTTAGGAATGCTGGAGAAAATTCAACGACCAGAGGAAAGAAAAGGTTAGGCAGTGTTCGGTTAGCAGTGTGAGTTCGCTTTCGTAAAAGGCATGTTTTGTTTGCTGTCATTGTGAGCGCCGTCGCTTTTCATTGGAGAGTTAACTACAAACGGAGAATGGTAGTCAAAGGAGTTTTGGGTAGCGTAAAAAAAAAATAAGACAGGTCCATAAGAGGAGATAAAACGCAGCTAGCAAAAAAAGACAAAAACAAAAACAAAGAAAGAAGCAACAACAATGCGCGTGTCTAGCTCAGTATAGCCTTCACTTGCCATATCAGAGTATGAATCTTACTTGACGAAGAATTTACTGCTGATTTCTGTAACTCGCTTTTAAAGAAATAGTGATGTTATTGTCATTGTCATTATCATTGTCATAAATATTATTATTAGTAGTAGTAGTACCATTATTACATTTATTGTTATTATTGTTATCACCATGATTATTATTATTATTATTATTATTATTATTATTATTATCATTACTATTATTGCGGGCGACAACAGGAGCCTGCAATCCCAGTCTCTAGGTTGTTATTAGGCATGCGTTCCATGTATGTAGCCAGCATGAGTTTGGACTTCCACTAAGAATGAATGGAACGCACATAACGCAATTTGATCACGCGCGTCTGGACCTTCTATCACTTGTAATCCTATCACGCTTGTTTTGATCATCTGTCAAACTTGAACAAAGCACGTTGGAGCAAAATCGTTTTGACCGTCGATCGTTGTCGCCCGCACTGCTTAACCTTAGTTTATATCTTTACTTACTATTTATTTGATATTGATATGTTCATTATCAGCAGGAACGTCGTCAGATGCGTTCACTCCTGCAGGTGCTGTCACCAATGACTATTCAACGCATGCGCCTAGTGATGTCACGCTATCACGTGACACGCGGCTTCCCGTGAGTCCTCTTCCTAACGTAGGATTGGTCAGATTTAAACCATCACCGGAAGTTGCGAATTTAGGGCCTTCATCCAAAGGTGCGATTATTCCTGTCAACACAATCCAGTCTTCGCAACCAGCAAATCCGTCCGTGGTACCTGCATCCTCATTTTCTCCGTCCAAACAGGTTGTCCCTGTAAGTTCAAACAGGTCACGCTCGTCCCGAAAAGGTAGTGCGAATTGAAGATGTTGGTTGCAGTTGTTTTGAAACGCCATTATTTTCGTTTAGCTGTCTCAAATTTGAATTTCATTTTAACTTTTTTATTTTGCGCCTTTCTGGCCGAAATTTGATGTAGTGAGTGTAAGAAGTCGCCCATTAAAATATTTTTTTTTGTCCAAAATCTAAAGTAGGAACCCTGAATACTGAGATACCATACTGGAGTCTAATAAACCTAAATGGACAGAATTATTTCGATGTTGTAGTTAATTTTTTATTTCAGTTAACTTTGTTTTACCTTTGTTTCTAAATAATTAGCATAGCATACATTACCATACCCCGAAACAAAGGAAAAACAAAAATTAACCGATATTATGTGCATTAGAACATTTCCGCAAAAACATGAATCTAATTTGGATACTTTTGAAGAAATTCTGTTTTAACTGCTTAGATTTAGTAAATATTTATTCGAGGTCACAATGGGGTTAACCGTCAGTCGTCAAAAATGCAGAGTAGTATTAACCGTCAAAACGTTTCAAGGTATTTTAAATCTCGCTATTTCAGCTCATCTTCACGGACTTTTGGCTCCTGAAGAATCTCCTCACTTGAAAAACCACGGGCCATGTTGTCAAAAACACTCTCTCTGAACATTACAAGACCTTACAACTTTGCTATGTCTAAAAATATTTGGAGATTTTATATGTGAAAGGCCAAGGCCACCCTTTAAAACACAACAGTTAAATATTAATTTATGCAGAAGTTACTATTTACTTCAAACCTTGAACTAAATTTTCACTAAATAACCGTCAACCGTCAAAAGACCTAAAATTAGCCGTCAACCGTCAAAATTTGAAAAAAAAATAACCGTCAACCGTCAAAGCTACCACCCCATTGATACCATCTTATTTCCCACCATCGTTTTTGTCACCTTGCATTTCTGCGGTTTTTAGTGGTAAAAAACTTCCTTAAATATGGCTTACAAAAAGATAAAAGATCACATGTAATGATATTGACGTACTGGGACAAGAAAAACAAGGCTTACATAGGTTAAATGGAAATTTCCTCTGTTTTTCTCGTCCGAGTGCGGCTTTTGCTCTCTAGCATGGCGGCTTTGTAGCACTTGAATGGCTCGCTGCAAATGGCCCATAGATCGTTTTCAGTCACGTGTTCAGCAGCTTTGTAAATTGCTTGGAATAAAAGGAAGTCTGAACATGTGAAAAGAGTTTAATTCCCACAGGATTTTTTTCGTACACAAACATGGCCGCCGATTCATTGTTTTGTACACAAATATGGCCGCCGTGACGGCATGTGAAAACGATCTATTCGTACATTCCAGATTTACATTCCAGGTAATCACTACTTCCCTTTCTTTCCTTCCTCTAGCTCGCCCCAGTCCACCAAGTTTCTTTCGAGTGCTTCGCCCAGTGAACCACGATGCTATGTTGTTGGGCTGGTCACTTCCAGGAATGGACGAGTTTGGGAGAAGTAATAATCTTACTGTAAAGGGATACAAGGCGAGTAAAGCCGGGTATTTGTGTTTTTAAGAACTGTTACTTGTCAGGGTATAAAATGAAGCTGGCATTTTAAGATTGGTTTAAGTATATGGACGAAATTCCTAGGTTGCTTTTCACTTGTGTTGTTTAATGTTCTGTTTTTTTTTGTTTTTTTTTCTTCTTCTCAAAAATACGCTTTACAAGCCATTTGGAATTTAACCACCCCCCACATCTAACCATTGTTTGCTCTCAGAGGATTGCAGTTTAGACTAGCATACCATGCCTTTACCTAAAATAAACACTGTGCAAACAGACTGGCATGGGAGGCTTACTGGGTCTCTTAAACCTCGGTCTAAGACCTCGTATAAAAGATTACTTGTTGTGTTTAACCCGTAATTCCAAAGAAAGCAACTCAGTAGTACTGAGATCTCAGTTTCGATCATAAAAAATGAAATAATAAATTGTAGGCATACAACATTTTCATTTGGCATCGCTTTTTTGATGTGTTTTAAGCATTACTGATAGTATGTCGTTCGTCGTTATTTGGTATTTTACTTTGCTTATTTGGTAATGTCCGGTTTATTGCAGTCAAATAACGATTTTTGTTTGCATCTCCGTTCAGATTTATGCCAACAGTGACGTACACCTTGAGGTTCGAAGCCCTTATATGGCCAAGGTATAAAGCAGTATTCAACGTTTAGTTTGAAATGCTGCAATTTCTTGTTACTTTTTCGTGATTGAGCCTTTATTATCTCTGGTAGTTAGTGAGTTCTGAAGATCAGTTTTGCCCGTCTTGTTTTTCTTAGATGTGAAACTTTTCTCCGAAATCTATCGAATGGCGGAGTTAGGGCAGATTGTGCTAATCCGCCCACTGTTCACTGATCCTGTGTCCTAATGTGATTACAGAACGTGTCGTATTTTCTCCTTACTAGGCGTTGGTCGAAGATGTTGATCTGCGTTTTCCTATAAAATTCAGCATGAAGACGGTGGCTGAAAATGGTAGTTCTTCCGAAGCAATCTCGGTTACGTTCAGCGACACCATTAAGAGAAGTCTAATGGTAAGGAGAAAAGTGGAAACTGGAATTTTTGCTGGTATCTGAGAAGGGTAACTGATCCCTTTGCCCGCGTGCGAACTCATCATCATTATCATCATCATCATTTGATTGTAGCCTTCTTATTGATCGTGTGCGTATTTCCCCATGCAATGTTACCAGAACTCGCCAGCAACGAAGTCGCTCATATACTTCGTGTACTATATTAAGTTTTGACGGATGCGTATCTCGTTATTTGTGCCTGTGACAAGAGGAAGCCAATGAGAAATGTGTTTGTCTGTCGTTCTATGAGTAAGTTGTTTCAAAGAGACAAAGTAATCCTCCTAACGATCGTGGGGAATAAACGTGTGACGAACCTCTAAGAACGTCTGCGTGGAAGGCTAAACAGTTTGCTCAATTTGGCTTTCTTGTGAGCGAGTGAGTGTCGGTAGAACAAGTGTAGAGACTTAATTTTCGTTGATTTCTTTCATTCAGTTGCGTCTTTAGTAGCTCTTTCAGCCTCTCTTTTTCTTTTGCAGGATTCCTATGGCGAGTCGTTTGAGGTAATTAAAACATTTCTCGTATGATTTTAGGAAAACGGTCTAGAAAGAACCAATAAAAGTAAACTATTAAGTTTAATTTTTTCCCTACTTTTTTCAAGGACTCGGAAGACGATCAAAATCAGTTTAGAACGGTAAGCAAAACTTCATGGCATTATGAATGTAAAAAAGTAATTCCCGAAAGACTATGTCCTTTATGTTTACGTTTTCTTCTTGTTTTCTCTCTCCATTTTTCTGGACTTCTTGTCATTACTTTTCTTCGATCCCGGGTGAACAGCTCGCGATTAGTGCGAAGGTGTTTGCTTAATTGGGTTATGATATTGTTTATTTTTCTCTTCAGTTTGTGGCTCTGTATGATTACGATCCATTCAAAAGCTCTCCAAACCCGAACCCCGCAAGTGAGCTGAGCTTCAAAGAAGGAGATATTTTAAGAGTATTTGATACTTCGAGAAAGGATGGTTTCTTTGTCGGAAAGGTACGGATGTCGACTGCATCCTGTCTGGAATTACTTTTGGAATAACTTAAATATTGCCAGTCTTTCCGTTCTATTTTTGTTCTTTTTTGTTTGTTTGTTTGACGACAAAGGCTTTGCTAAAATGCCACACCCTTAATTAAAATGAGTACCTGGCGACGTGAATGCAGTTTTCTTCATGAAGTGTTTGTTTTACCCTCGTTTCCTCCCACGTCTACAAATCTGGATGGTACATATGTTGTAGTAAATTTCTATTCTTCCTTTGTTTTAAGCATGGTAGTATTTGTTGGAATGAAAAATAACTGCAACCTGTACATCCTTCAAGAAGGACTTTCCCAGTGATAATCAAACTTAAGCTACTGCAAAAAGACCACGTCATTTTAATATATTCAGTCAATTTGTAAATTTAAGCAACTGCTTCCTTAAAATTAACAAAATGTTTTTTTTGTTTACTTTTTGCCCATGATAGCTCAAGAGAAAGACTGGTCTCATCCCATCAAACTTTGTAGAAGAAGTTGCCGTCGCCTCTCCGCGCAGACTGGCTGCTGCGAAGGTAGTTCACGTGACCACATACCGCAGATAGATAATGATAACCACCATTATGTTATCATTATTATCAATGAAAACGTTTCAACTGGGATGGTATAAGTTGGTTTATCATACCCACGATATTACACTGTATATTGTTTCTTATTAGACAAATTGTTTTCCTTTGAAGTAGATCGTCTGAGGTATTTTTCTTTGCTTAATTGGCTTGAGCGAATTCAGGAAATTTGCTCGGGCAAAGTCGAAAGGTTGCATATGAGAGGCCCATTGTATTGTTAAAATGTTCAAATTATTAATCTTTTATTTTTAGTAACTTCCCATCTTTATTAACGGAAACAACCGAATTCCCAAAAAGTAATTCAAAATGGCTGTTTTGTCATTGCATCAACGGTTTAAAAAAAATTTCCTCGGAAAACAAAGCATTTGCCCTCGAAATCTTCCGCAACGAATATAATATATCGAAGAGGAATAGTAAAAAAATTATAAAACAAGAAAAGGTAGAACTGTGAATGCTCTTGACTTTGTTGTTACATAATATATAGATTTAGCCAGGGCTAAAAGCGAGGCTCCCATTAGTAAATTTATAATTTAAATTAAACAATAAACTTGTATTCGAATTCCACAATTCAGTTAACTTTAGAGCACATTTATGTGACTTTTGAGGGAAAGGCTACCTGATTTTAGAGAAAAATAATTTGCAAACAGCCCAAGAGTGAACCAAATCTTACATCGAGTTGATAGCCTCATATGTACGCTCAAAAACTGGTAATCATCTTTTATCACATTTAAGAGCCGTAATGGCTATTGATCACCGTAGATCAATTAGGCTTAGAAAAAAAAATCAGGCCAACGTTTTGGCGTTCGACAAGTTTTATTTTGCAAAATCTTGCCAACAAATCTGGGCGCGTGTAAACCAACCTTTTATACCATGGACAGAAAGCAGTATTTCACAATACAAATTGCTCTCATTCAATATTCATAAACTGTTAAAAAATTTTCCAAAATCACCTATACGGCCATCCGGTTCTCACTTTTGTAGTGCGAGCTGTAGCGAGTATTTGAATGAACATTAACAGAGTTACGCTCCAAGATAATAAAGAATTTATCATGTTTATTTTTTTATTTGATGGTTTAACGCGCGGCATTTTGAGAACTCCTGCAAGCGATGTTCACTGAACGACTGAAAACAATCGGCATAGCGATTAAAATTGCAAGAGAGACTACTAACAATCAATAAAAGAAATATAATTCGGTGAAACATAAACAGAGACAACAATTTTCATTCAGGAAGACAAGTATTAAAGTGTCCCTAAATATCCTGAGTCTTCAAGCTTCAAGCTTAAGTTTGCTGAAGTTTATGTTTTAAGCCAGCTTCCCGGTGTTTGTTTTTTCAAAGACGAACTCGAGGCAAGAAAATCGCTCAAAGCTTTCTTTTCCGGCCAGAATTATAACTAAAGATTCTTTGGAACATTTTCTTTCTATTTGCGGTGAGAAACTGTCTAAAGGCTTTTTAAAGTTCTGTAAGGTTATATCAAACCAGATACTCGGTGAGATCGTTGTCTCAAATCTTACAAACGCGCATAAACTAAATTCCCGCATAAACTACGCTCCACTTCATTAAATTAGATACAAAAAACAAAAAACAAACATGAAATACAATAATTTCTCTGGCTTACCATTCGAGATGCAGCTCCTGAAAGTTATCAGGTAAAGCCAGTATCGCTTCAGACTTTGCAATCCTCTTACGCATCAAGCAAGGTAAAAACGAAAACGATGCCATCCGAAATCGGATTTCCGACTGTGACAAGCGACGTTTTCTCAACCAAAAACCCAATAAACAAACTAGCCATGAGTAACAGAAGACTCCTGATAGCAGCTGAATTTCATTTTGTACATCCAGTGGAAAAAGACAGTTAAAAACATCACAAGTTGACACAAAACTCTGTCAGCTTCAGCTGTTAAAGTAAACAAGATTCAAGATGCTGCATATATTTTGCGCATGAACTCACCTGTCAAATTTTGACCAATCAGAGCATAAAAATTGGACGTAGAGCGTGACCAACGCGTGACCATTGTGAGAAAAAACAAAAGCAACTGTCTTCCCTGCCTGTAACAGCTGGCTGAATTTTCACGTCCGAGGTCAGTTTGCAATCAAAATTTTAATTGTGCAGCACATAAACACAACATATTTCATATGAATTAAGAAAAAAAATTGAACTTGAGCCTGCGCTCACTTGAAAACTAGTTTACTTGTCAGCGGATAACTGCAAAAAATACTTGACCTCGACGGGTCGACACCTGAGCCCGCGATACGGTCAAGTGATACTGGTCAGCGGGTACTCTGTTTTGACAGCTGTCAATTGATCAAAACATTGATGTCCAATATGTGTGCATTATCAGTTTTCCTGTGCTCCCAAACTAGTAAAAGTATGAGATTGAACGTTGTTCGCGATCTAGTAAAACAGTTAACTGGTCAGCGGACAGCTTCCAAATAAATCACGTCACCTCGATGAGTTGACACATGAGCCCGCGATATGGTCATGGGATACTGGTCAGTGGCTATCCTGTTTGGACAGCTGTCAATTGACCATATTGTTAATGTCCTATATTAAAGATGTGGACTTGCCAAGACACGCCTGAGACACCCCTCCCTACCTTTTGATAGTCTCCCCTACCCCACCCATACAATCTGTAGACGCGTACGTACGTACGTACGTACGTACGTACGCTCGGTCAATCACGTGACAACCAAACGAAAAGAGGTTGACCATATTCCATGGGTATGGGGCTCTGTCCCACGCGCGCTTCGCGCGCGCGGGAGCCCCGCTATGAACCTACTAAACGACCTATCCCATCTATCACTAGCTCAGTGGGTAGGGCGCCCTACCAATGTTTGGCATCCCCTCGCTAGCGACATCACTAATATTACATCTTCTTCCACTCACTATATTCCCATTGAAATCTCACAATGGTGTATATTTTTTCCTCTAGAAGCGCCAGGCAGCTCTCTCCAGTCCTACCCGACCCTTCTCCAGGGAGAGTGGCTCGAGTGGAGGTATTGGTTCCCCTTCCCTCGCGCCAAAAGAGCAGGCGCCACTCCAAAGAAAGGTAAGAGGTGTCGTACGTATTCCAGTTAAAATTACTGAAAGACACGCTTCACTTGGCTATAAAAGACCCTTCGCTGTTTTTTCAACTTTTGACTGTGACCAGTTAGCGATAATTCCGTCAACACGGCTGGAAAGAAAGCAATAAAATCAGTAAAGCTGCTAAGTTTTGTCAGTAAAGTGGTTTGTTGAAAACTAACGAAGATATAACTTTGAAAAGATGTTTTATGGTGCTCCCCATCATCCAAATGTCTGTAAAATTTCGCGACTTTGCGTAGTAAACTTCGAATTGGACTTTTCACATTTAAACTTGGTAAATATCCTAATTTTAGGGCGCTCTTTCCAGCAGTGTGGATGGATATTTCTTCACTGGTCTTTATCAAAAAATTGAAACAAATTGTGAAAGGGTCTTTTAAATTAATAAGATAGTAAAAATACAGTTATGATCGGCTGGTGTAGTTCAAAAAACTAATTGTATTTTGTTTTGTTTGTATTTTTCTCCTTGTCTTGTTTTCTTTGCTTTCCTCTTTTTCTATTTCTTTCTCCTTATTTTCTGCCAGATGATGGTTGCACTGTATGATTACAATCCTGAGATCCAGTCACCGCAAGATAACCCGGACTCCGAACTCGCGTTCAAAAAGGGACAAATCATTGCTGTTCTTGGGGAAATGGTGAGTAATGTTCACATCTATCAGCACTAGGAATGGTGCGCGGCATTAATAACATTAGGGTTTGAGGGCTCGCGCTTAATGTTTGAAGCGCAGTTTACATGAAACAGTGCAATGTTTTCCCGTTTTCTCCTTAACATTTCTATATTGAAAAAAGGAAGAGACATCTTAGCAATTTCATAAATATCGACGCTGTGATACAAAGTCAAAAAGGGTGGACTATAAGACCCGTTAGGTTTGGAACGAAAGTTAGCACGTTTTTCGTTAACTCTAATGGCCTTCTTCCGTTAACGTTTACATTCGCCCCAATTTTCAATTTCAAGGTGCGGTCCTATCGCGCAGCTATTTCAGCTACACTCGAGTCTATGGTACGTCAATACATTGGAGAGAAAATACGAAAAATAGAAATGGTTTCTAGTCTCTAGCGAACGGAGTAAAGGGGATTGAAGTGGATCATTATAGAGCGGTTCTGTTCACAAAATCTCTTTTTCTCGTGGTAATATATATTTTCTTTTCTCTAGCGCGCAGACGGTTTCTTTCAGGGAGACATGAATGGCCAGTTAGGACTCGTTCCAGGGAGTTTTATTGAGGAGTACACCAACGGGGTAGGTGCATAATCATCAGACACCAAATTCATTGTTGAGTTATTTACAGGGAATGTTCAGTACAATCGCTGTTGTTTAATAGAATTTAAGGGGCTAAGATGATGCGAATCCCGAATTCTCTCCATTTTTTTGGCCTTACAATAAGAATCCTTTATTGGACCAAGCTTGTTGGCCCAATATGCGTTGCTCTTGTTGGTGCGTTTTTTTTTTCGATCTCGCCTCGGTCAATAAAAACGCAGAAAAGCTTAAAATGCCCCCTTATGATATCGTCAGTAAGACCTGTAATATAATAGTATAAGCTTAATGTAACCTACGTTTAATTTGTTGCCTAGGGAACTGACAGTGGAAGGCCACATCGTCATCTTGGTGGACTGAACCGAGTCTAGTCTGCTCCCATTACCAAATTTGTTTGAGATAGAAAAGGGTATTTACCTAAAATCATCAATGACGTCATCCCGTAGAGCCGCATTTTGGCAGACTGTGGCTCGCAACGCGTTATGGTTTAAATTAAGTTCTTCAATTATGTCGTTTTTTAGTATCTATGATGTTCTTAAATGTTTTACGCAAACTCCTCGTTTCAGTGCTAATTATTTTATTATAGGAAATCGAATTTTTAATTCTTGTACAGAATACCAAAATGTTCGTGTAAACATCACTTCCGGGTAATGTAAAATTTCTTTCAAAGAGCTCTCACGTTTTACAGACATAATATATTATGGAAATTTTAGCGTTGGTGTATAGAAGAAAATATTTATAAGGATGGATATCAAATCTTAAAGAGATGTCTACCTTTTAAAATAAGCCAGTGATTTTACGTTACAGCAGTAAAGAGTCAGGTAATTATTAAGTAATTTGGTGTGTTATTTCTCTGCTCATGGTTTCTTTCCCTCACAAACTGTATTTGCTTTGTTTGAAAATGAGGCTACCTTTCTGCAATGATCTTATAACCAACGTATTTTTGTTATTTTTTCTTCTCTTTCATCTAAAAAAGGCGTCGAAATGAATATGATAACCATATAGACCAGCTTGGGTTGAATTAAATCTTTTTGAGTCAGATGCGTCCAAGATTAAGCGCTATCTGTTTAATACAGTCGAACCGGCTACAACTCTCTATTTAGTGGACTGTTACCAACGCCCCGGCGACCACTTGTCCCTTCCCTGCAGATTATAAGAATCCAAAGGAAGTACTTCAAACAACGCACCACTATGAAAATGACATAACCAACCCAAATACGAGGTACTGATATGTCTGGGGTCAGTAACCGTGTTCTCACATTGTCGGCGACTCTAAAAATGTGCTGCAGTTGGTATAGGATTTAATGAAGGCAAAAACAATTGTAGAATTGCACGTTTTTTTAGGCAGCTTACTGATGAACAGTGACGACAGATAGATGTAGTCTTCCCCTTCCAATTACGTAACGAATTCTGGCAGCATTCGCCATCCTCTTCCTAAGTAACGAAACTTCGCTTTTAAAATTAACCTTAAGGATTGCGTTGCTTGGGTACATTTACCCTTCGACTTTTTTCCAAGTTTTGATAAAGCCCAGTCAGCGGATATCCACTGACACTGCTGGAAAGAGGACCTTTTACGTAGGAAGCTTACCTAGTGTAAAGATAACATATATTAAAAGCGAGCGGAGATTTTGTCTTCCGAACTTGCGCGAACTTGGACCCTCTATACAAACGTCTGTAAAATTCGGCGTCTTTGCTGAGGTATACCTTCGTTAGCTTTCAACAAATGACGTTCAAACTTGGTATCTTTACTAGTGTTAAGGCTTTTTTTTTTTCATCCCTGTTGTCGGATTTTCGCTACCTGGTCCTAGTCAAAAGCTGTGTTTTATTCAAGAACTTTCCTACTGTTCTCGACCTAGTTTCAGAAGCACTCATCACACCCACACACACGCACATAATGATGGTCCACCTCACTACGGGCACGCACACGCAGGCAACTTAATGGTGTTTGTGCTCATAAGAAAGGTGAGAAAGATGCTTGTTGTTACGTGTAGCGGTAGAAGAAAGGTTTTGGTCTCATAACATTATTAAGCTTAAAATAACTTTAGAAATAGAAACCGACTAATGAAGGTGCTGGAGTGAAGGCCCGTCCACACGTATCCGGTTATTTTTGAAAACGAAGAACCCCGTTTAAGCCTTCCGTCTACAGGTAAACGGCTTTTTGACGCATCGAAAAAAGCAGGATTTTTTTAAAACGGCTCCCCAGAGAAGATTTTTGAAAACGCTGGCTTATCGTTTTCACTTGGGCGGAGGAAAACGGAGGTTTTTGAATACGATGACGTATTACATCATACAGCGTATGCTCTGTAAAGGACACTATCGCATTTCCATCGCTTCAGGGTTCCTCGTGTTGATCAGAAAAAAGGACTTGAATTCGCTACATGTGGTCGATCATTTTAGAAAATCTCCGTTTTTTAAAAACAATATCCGGAGTACATAAAGGGCACCCACGTCATCGCGTTCTTATGCGCCCTAATTCCCCCTTTTTCCTTCCACTTCAAACGCCTGCCAGCATATTACGACGTGTTCTTCTAGTAGTTAAATCGTTAATTGGTAAATGCGATGCGCTGCTCTGAACATCCGAGGCCGCGCCTTAAGTCAATAGCCTAGAAATTACAGGCAACGAAAAATTCGTCAGATCCTGGAAAGGAAAATCACAGCTTGAACTTTTGCTGTAATTTTGTATAGCCAAAACCACTGAATGATGGTGAAACGTGTCCTGGAACTGATCTGTTTGATATAAAATCTTAGTTTACAAAAAACGCTGTGATGACGCTGAATTATTGAAATAAGGAATTGAATATAATCCACAGTTCGGATACTCAATTATAATTAATTTATTAATTTAAAATTAATTAAATTATAACTGTTACATGATAGTAAAGGAACAGTTTTTAACTAACAAATCTACTTTTCGTCGTCGCCGAAAACGTCATGTTTCGAAAGCATTGCTTTTTATCCTTAAATGTTTCCAAAATTTTTTTCCTTATGAGAAATCTACTTTTACTATTTTTCTTTTAATTTAATTTTTAGCCCTTCCAGATTGATGGAAAAAAATGTTCCCGTTTACGAAAAACTAATGAAACTGTTAGTCTACCCCTCTGGTGCAGAGAAATCAAATGTAAAGTTGCAGGAGGGATAAAGGTTTAACTTTTATCCAAACCCGCTCGATTTACTCACGAACCACTAATCGGCGGCGCTCAGGCTAAAACGATTAAAAAGAACATTTTGTAGAACGCATCAATGCGGATTTATGCCACGTGACGAAACCTAGCTTGAGAAAACAACGACATTTCTCGACGCCACCGCTGGTTTCCCCGTGAAATGACGTCTGAAATTCCATACTGATGACGCGTCACTTCCCAGATCTGGGTGGTGTTTCTGAGTGGTTGAAGGAAATTCCCTTCGCCGTCACTACCAATTAGAATTACTGCCCAGATCTCGATACTTAAGCGTCATCATCAGTATGGAATTTCTGCGCTCGCCATTTCGCAGAAAAGCCAGTGGTGGCGTCGCGGAATGTTTGCTGTTTACTTCAACTTTATTTAAATTTGGAAATATACTACAAAAATACATTGGGGCTAGCCTGCAGTTAGCGAGGCTATTCGAGGCAGGCGAGGCTACATGTTTACTCAGGCTAGACCATATAAGGGATCTTAAGATCCGACTACGGCGACGGCAACGGGAACGGCACAAAAGCAATAGGTTTAATTAGCAAAACAACAATTTTGCACGTGCATCACGAGTTTTTGTACATTTCTTTGCCGTCACTGCACGACTACGACGTGAAAATGCCTAATTTCACGATGTACAGAGGAAGTACACAAGGGACGACGAAATTTCCTCTCTCTTTCTGAACTTGGATATGGTTCTTAGGAATTCAACTTTAGGAGGGTTCGCCTACATTTGTCAACGCTAGTGACGTGGAGTAATGGCGATGAAGATTGAAAGAACGCGAATTCACTTTTTTAGCGACGTTTTCTCTGCCGTCGCCGTCCTCGGATCTTAAGGTCCTTATTTAGTAGAGGAAGGTTGGTCATGACAGCCGGGAAACATCAAAGTTGAAAACAAGGATGCCATGTTTTATGTTGAAAGCTCCCTGACCGTGCACAATCCTTTGTTTTTTGTTCAGAAATTGTGACTGAATAAATTAATGCCTTTAAGAAATAACTAATTCGTAAACAAACACTGAAAGAGTCCATGTGCCGTGCGTATTATTGTTGCTGTTTAGTTGTTATGTTTTTGCATTTACACACAAATTAAAGTTGGATAATTTTCTTAACAACATGGAACTTTATCACAGTACTGAGTAACTGTTGAATGTTAATCATTAACAAACATTGCGCAATTTTTACAAACCTCTGTTAAGCGGACATTTGGGAAGGTCCCGAAGGTGTCTGCTTAATAGAGGTTTGACTGTACATATATTTTTTATCCACTGAATACAAACAATGTAAATGAAAAATATCTGACAGCTAAACGAGACTTTTTTGGTCCTCTTTAGAAAATAAATAAATCCTTACTAAGGAGCAAATAACCATATCAAACTTTTTTCTAAGGAGCAAGATTTCTAGCTAAAAGAGATGTTCGTTAAAGTCATGGCATCACTGAGATGTTTACATTACAAAGATTAAAGCCGGTATAGTGTACCGCTGAAAACACACAAGAGAATCAGTCGGTCTTGAAGCGTTTGGAATTATATAGATGTCTCCTTGCTTACTTTGCATGTGAAGTCAGAACTAAAACATTAATTTAATTTTTTGATTTTCTTAATCCTACGCACAAGTTGGTAGAGGCTGGTGCAGAGCGGTAGAGGTTAATGCACTTTGGTGCAGTTTTGTGTATTTTTGTTTTGGATGGTGCACTTTGGTTCACTTTTCTTGCCACAGGTACCGTGGCACAATGTTTATGCACCTGACCACACGAGTGAACTGTTAGATCACCTACATCAAACTGCACCAAACTGTACCAAAGTGCAAAAGCCTGCGCCAAACTACGACCAACTGCACCAACCTGCACCAACTTACGCCAAATTACACCAACTTCGACCAACCTTCACCCAACCTGCACCAACCTACCCAAACAGCACCAAGCACCAAGATGCACAAACTTGCACTAAGTTAAACCAAGCTGTACCAATCTTCACCAAACTGCACCAACCTGTGCAAAGCTTACCAACTCACATCAAGTGTCACCTAGTTGCAACAAGTTGCTCTAATCTGCTCCAAACTGCACCAACTTGCTCTAAGCTGCACCAAGCTGCACCAGAGAAGAGTGAATGCCTCCCACAGTGCTTTGCGATCGTGTTTCTCACAAGATGGCGGAGTTTTCCTTTGCACGGTGTGTTTTTACGGTGTGTATGTGTCACATTTTTAGTGGCTTAGAATCCCAACTAGAGGTAAGTGAGACTATTCATGCGTTCTTTGTCTTTTTATCTTTTTCCAAAGTGAATCTTTACTGGAGTATTTCTTCTGAAACGTATTTTTTTTCCTGTTTGAATTGTGATAGTCCCGATCTGTCATCGTTCACAGCCTAAAATATGTTTGAAGTTTCTTTTCTAATGAGGTATTGTTTAGTTTACTCCGATATTTAAGTAATTCAGAAGTTTATGTTCTTATATATACTGAAGTGACCTTAAGTGACCCTGGAATTTGAACGTTTTGAAGGCCGCGAAATCGGTCAACTTTGGCGATCGATCGATCAGTTGATGTTGAAAGCCTTACCTCAAAAAATAAAGTAATTTTAATAATTTTTGTCATAATAAATAACAATAATAAAAATTATTAGGTATCTAGGATTTTCAGGTGATATTGTTCTATTGTTTATCATGCCGTAGAATATAAATTCTTAGAAAAAAGGAGAAAATACAGAATTGTCAAAAAAGAAATGCATAGGAGCTTGAAAAAGTAAAAAATAACTGAGGTATCAACTCAGTAAAGATGCTTGCACTTTCTCCTCGATTTACTTCGAGGTAAACTAACCAACCAGACCTGACTAAATTCGTGAGCTTATATTCTTGAGTGGGACATAATTCCTGAACAAAAGCCACAAAACCACGCTTTTATGAGAATGTAACGCTTACTGAGGTACAAAGTCTTGAGGTTGCTTGAATTGGGAAAAGGACTTTCATCGGAACCACCAAGATAGCGCTATATCATTATGGACCGAAACGGGAAAGAAAAAGCAGCTTCAGCCTTCTTTTCCAACAATATAATGCCAGCTCAGTTATTTATTGCTGGACACACGGACCAGTTGTGGTGTTCGACCTAAATGAAACCACTTCTAGCTCCTTTAATTTTTGCCGCTTTTTGCAACTATAACCGCTCCCATTTTATTGCTTTTGAACACATTTAACAATCGTAGCAGTAAAGTAAAAAAAAGGAACTGCTGCGGAAGATACTTTCCTATATCCCTTTTTTTCAAGTATGGCTGTTGGACACCTTCTCGCCGGTGGTATTGGTATCTCGTTATCTGCTTTAGTTGGACTTTCTTCCTTACTTCCTTACTTACCAATAGCGCCTGTCCAGCTTTTTTGTGGGACGGACGTTGTAACTTCGAATTCCATGCTGATGTTCGCTTTATTGTCTTGCTCACCTATCCATCTGACAATTATTGCGTAGGAGCGGCACATAAATGTTCCAAAATGGATTGATTACAAAACTAGAGACCAGAAACCGCTTAAAAAAGATGGCAATTTTAGCTTGGGGTACAATGGTCGTATCTGTATCCTCTCTGTTCGTTATTACGTAAATATACGCTGGTAACGGCTCTACTTTTAGCGTTAACTGTCATCATCACCGTTGGCGCCCGTGTTTTCATAGCTTCTATCTTAGTTCTAATTGTGTTTTTTTACATCCTGATAATTACGTTGGAGTTCGCAAACGAAAGGTAAATTAGATTGACCACTGAAGTCAACGTGTTGGTACGAGCAAAACTCGAAATGGAATTGCTGTAACGACTGCTTTTGTTACAATTGCCCTGGTTGTTTCTTTCGTCCCTGGTGTGATTGTCGGACACTGGGAGGAGCTTGTCCCGTCCTTCGTACACGTTTTACCGGGCCGATATCGGACTCATTTCTTTATTCAAATTCTTTAGTTAATCCTTTAATTTACCGCCATAGAGATCGCCCTTTTAGGAACACGGTGCTCGAGATGTAGACGATCAGAAAACCAAAAGTCGCTGCAACTGAAGAGGAGGGTGTGGATGGGGTCAACTGATAGCTGAGAATTAGCCAAAATGTTAACTGTTAGCTGAGAAACGATCAGTTTTTTAACTGATAGCTGAGATTCTTTAAGCAACTTTCAGCTGAGATTAGTAAATTGTGTCTGAATTTCCTCTGCAAAAATTTCCCCCGAAAAAGCCACTTTGTGCATGGATATAGTCGTAAAATCTTGGCGGGCCCATAACATCTACAGTCGCGACTAAAGCTTGTTGAGACCAATTGCTCTTTCGTCATACTTTCACTCGTTGAAGCTCTATCAATTGTCCGCGTGAAAATCATGCACTCGTACTCCTTACCCACCCCCTCCCTTTCCCCTCATCCAATGGGGGCTCTTTGTTCCTAGAAATGTTTGTAGACAAAAAACCCACCGCAAAAAACATTTCTTGGAGGGGAGAGTAGAGGAAGGGGTATGAAATATGTTACCTTGGTTAACGCAGTGTGAAATTAAAGTATGTCGGAGTATGTCTCAACAGTTGCGAACGAGATTGTAGACCCAATGGCACTTGTGCTGCAAGAGGTGCGTGACACTGACACCAATAGTGATTTCAGTGAATTAAATGAAGTCCCTGTTGGCCGTGCTTGTACAACAAAGCCAGGAAGAGTTCTACGGGTATATCTTAGTTTGGATATTTAGGGTATCTCATATATATCGACGCTTCTGGTGTCCATTTCATGGTATATGTAATAACATTATTCCTTGGAACCTAGGGCAATTATTTCGTCACTCAGTGGATGTTTTTCTCAGCTTTTCCACAACGCTCTAAAACTTATCTACATTTTTTTTCATTTTGTCACCGGTGGGTAAAGGCACTTTAAGATTTATGGAATAACGATGCTCTTTTAAAAACAATCATGCTTCTGGAAACGCTTCCGAATTTATTTGATACTGATTAATGTATGCGTTTTTTGAATGCAAAATAACAAGAATAAAAAATTGAGGGAACAAATTTAGCTAAGGTTAAACAAAGTCAACTGTTAGCTGATCACGAGAAATGGCCAAAAATTTAAGAGATAAGAAATGGGCGACAATTTAACTGACAGCTGCGATTTAGGGACCCCCATCCTGACCTTCGAAGAGGTGAGATTCGTCAAACGAAAAAAACAACTTGGTTCAGTGAATGTAGATAATCCCTTTCGTTTAGCAAGATCTGCATCCTTAGATTTATTCCAGTTCAGGTCTCTCAAAGTGTCGTTTAAAAGAACCATATTAGCTCCGTCGGTTTATAACGATGATCGTTTGGCGAATGCAAAGTTACAAAACGAAGAGAACTGGTCTTGTTGAAAATGACTATATTCATTATTCTCCAACTTTTATATAACTTTTCCGTACAAGAATGACTCTTAATAACTTGAGGTCCTTTCCGAGATATGCAGACGATACAAAACCGATCTGAACTCTCTAACGCCTATTTACACCACGTGTTCTTGAACTATCACCCAGTCCTATGTCGTTTACAACAGGTCTCTTTGCTTGCCAAGATCTGTACCCTGTGGTTTCCGGTTACCGAGAAGTACTTCAGTTTCCCATCTCCTCAAAAACTAAATTTCCAAATTCCAATTCGGCCAGGAATGGTGGACGAAGAAACACTTTGTGGATGTGCTACCTCTAAATCATTATCTGTTTATTCGTTTATTTATCATTTCCTACCCCAATAATTCTTGAGATTTGTCCGGGTTCAGTCTTCTAAGAATAAGATACGCCGAGGAAATGAAAACAGAACTGAAAACTATAAGTTTCTAACCACTTTTAGGTTTGTTTGGAGTAACTGCACTGAAATGTGACTATGGAATCTACAAAGACTTAGAAACGTTCGGCTGCGAAGTATTTTTCACAAAATGAATTTGTTAGTAGGAGGATTTTGACAGACACCATCGAATAATCGTACTAAAGGAAAGTAAACAGCGTCATATATATTATGATTTAACCGCAAACCCTTTGAGACCAATCACACTTGATGAGGCATAACACCGTTCCAGAAAATGATCCCTTTATAAAGCAAAGTGAAAGAGACGTACCCACAGGCATGCAACATGAAATGAAATAGAGTGCAAACCCTTTGATCGCTTTCGTAAGCTATGTTTACATATTTCTTAAACTACAGCTCTTCATTGGTTTCTGAATTCTACACCGTGGAATCCTAATTTCAGGTACTGGATTTTGGATACCAATCGTTAGTAGATTCTGGATTCTTTGAAATGTATTCCGGATTCCAAAGCCCAGGATTCCCGATTCCACAGGCAAGAAGTCCCTGGATTCCGAATTCTAAAAACAAAAATTTTGCAGATTTAGGAACCCGGCTTGATTCCTCTACAGCAAAATAGCCTAGTAACTTGCTAAAACGGAAGGATTAAAAAGAAAAAAATATATATAATATAGCTCGATGGATTTAAAGCCCTTTCGGTTCGTATTCTGAATCTGTCAAGAGACAGGCAAATGTTTTGAAATTTTAACATTCTTTCGAGGATTAAGGGAATTAATCTGAAAGGATTTTAAGAACTTTGGGGTATTTGGAACGAATAATAACAAAAGTTTTTAATTCGGCTTTCATATGATATGAAAATAATACAGATCTCGGAGAGCGTTATCCACCTAGGCCGAATTCAGCCAGTTAGCTTTGCGCAAAGAGCAGTAAATTTAAAACACCAATGTTCTATATTTAACCCTTAGTGGACGAAAATGTGGGACGGAGAGACGAGAAATCTCAATCTTGTACCCAGATCTCATTCAGTCTCACACTGAAAACTGAGATCTCCCTTTCCCTTGACCGTGAGGGATATGGGTACGAGATAAGAGAAACCCTGGGAACGAGTTTGGATGCAATTGAGCATGATTTTTATCAGGTAATTCCAAGGAAACTTACCCAAGCCTCCTGGAGAGATCAGACTCTTCATAAACAGTTGTTTCTCCTATAAGGTACGTGTAAATTGGTTTAAAAACGTGTTTGATACACATTTGCTTTTCGAGTGCCATCAAAAAACCAGGGCGTACCAACACGATCAAAATATATCGCAGAAAATCAATATTTTGAGGGCCAAAGATTCATGTTGTCGCTTTGCCGGCATAAATAAGCGCACTCAATGGATTTCAATGATACAGAAATAGGGAAAACTTCATCAAGAGGAAAGTGCCCTAAAAATATGATTTGCGCACGACTGGTTGTGTGTAAAAAATCGAACGAGTGAGATTCCTGATACAAAAAAAAAATGTGATAAAGCCATTCAAAATATGAATAGCTGTATTTTGAGAAATATGTAAACATAGCTTACGAAAGCGATCAAATGGTTTGCAATCTATTTCGGTTTATGTTACATGCCTGTGGGTAACTATCTTTCACTTTGCTTTATAAAGAGATCATTTTCTGGAATAGAGTCATGCTGCATCAAGTGCGATTGGTCTCAGAAGGTTCGCGGTTAAATCAAAATATATATGACGATTTCTACTTTCCTGTAGTACGTGAGTACAATTTAGCGTTGGTGTCTGTCAAAATCCTCTTACTACGGAATTCGCTTTGGGAAAATATTTCGCAGCCAAACGGTTCTAAGTCCTTTGTAGATTTTATAGTCACATCTTAATTCAGTTGCTCCAAACAAACCTAAAAGTGGTTAGAAACGTGTGGTTTTCAGTTCTGTTTTCATTCCCTTGCCATATCTTATTTTTAGAATACTGAAACCGGACAAGCCTCGAGTATTATGGCGGTAGGTGGAATATAAAATGTTCTCTGAGCCATCTATCCTTAAGTCTATTAAAACAATTCAGTTGTTTGCACTTTTTTCAATAATTTCTTTCTCTTTAAACCCAAAACATATCAAGCTTTGTTTGCTTCCTGCGACCGGCGTGAGGCTTCTAAAGCTTCAAAACCGCTTACGATATCATTTTTAACAGTACAATGTAAAGCATAACTTGATTAGCACAAACACGTATTTGACGGCGCATTTTGACGTTGTCTTGTAAGGATGCAAAACTGAGCAGTTTTTCATCTGATTTCCAAACACTCATTAAGCATTAATTTTCTTTGTATTTTCTTTATGAATTACTAACGAGTCTGAGAAAGATATTTAACTAACTCTTTCATTTCAGTTTTTATTATGCAGGACCAAATATCATTTTTTATTTATTTTTGTACATTTAAGTTGGTTGAAGACTTGCTACGAGGATTCTCTAAGGAAAATTTTGGTGATCGAGATGGAAACTATTTTCCTGTTGTCCATGGCCGTACCCAAGATGTGAAGTTGTTTACCCTGATGACAAAGCAACCTCGGTCTGTCTTGGAACGTCCATTTAAACACCATAAGTACATAATTGTTGCAGGAATGGAAAAGTATGTAGTTGAGAACCGGAAAGAAGAATTTGAAGCCTTGAAGAACAAATTTGTTAAGAAAGAAGATCCTGGAATAACACTAGATGAGGAGGATGGTACAGGAGCTGCAAGGTAAATTACATCGCATGATTTGTAGTGATATGTACAGGTAATAGCATGATTTGTAGTGATATTTGGCGTAACTACCATGAGCGATATTTTGAAATTGTTATACGTAATTTCACGAGCCGTTAGGCGAGTGATATTTGAGACAATTTTGAAATATTACGTGTGGTATTTATGCCAAATATCATGTACAAATTATGCTATTATTTGTTTATACTACTGCGTGCAAAAGGTTTGTAATTTTCACATGAAGGTTTTTCAAATTAAAAAAAAAATTGCTCTAAGCCAATCAAATTGCAGAAATATTTCATGTAGTAGTATAATTGGCCTAAATACCACGAGTGATATTTCAAAATTGTTATACATGAAATTTGAGACAATTTTGAAATATCACCTACAAATCATGCTATTATTTGTTTACTACCCACAAAAGGCTTTGTAATTTTCATGATCACATTTAGGTATTTCGAATTAGGCTGAAATACTACTGCTCTAAGCCAATCAAATTGAAGAAATTTCTCACGTAGTAGTATGAATAAAAGTAGTAGCACTATCTTCCAGTTACAGTTTTATATCAATCATTTATAACAAGAAAGGAAAATGGGACAGAGAGAGAATCCTAGGGTGTTGGGCGGGATATGTGAATTTTACCAAAGTTATTTTTAGAGGTTGTAATTAAACGGAAGTTGAATTCCTGGGACTTCCGCACATTTTAATCGATTGCTTGAGACGTCCTTCAGTGCCTCAAAGAAAACAATGCCTAATATTTTAATGGCGACTTTTGAATTCTCTCTTGATAACACTGAATACACGTTTGAGGTTCTCGCCGGTAAACCAACTTCCGATTGGTTTCAAGCGTTTGTTTGTTCTTTCTTTGTGTGAAACTTACAAATCCGAAGGGCTACACTGGGCCTTTTTCCCTGTATGTCCCATTATTTTTTTATTTTTTTTAATATAACGATTTTTTATCAGGTCAACGCCCTCAATGGCTTTCAAAATTTCAAATTGTTATTAAGTAAGAAGCCGACTAGTAAAGACTAGAGTTTTTAACTCGGTGACATCTAAAAACAATGTAACTGCGCTAGTTACTACAGCTAGTAGATTCGGGAAGGTTTATTTTTATTATTTATTGCTATTTTTTTTACTTTAAATTATTCTTAATTCTTTATAATCATCATAAGAAAGAGTTACCTCCATGTAAACGTGTACTTAGGAAGTTTCAGAATTGGCGTCTAAATGCGATTATTTTGTGTTTCTAATTCAGAATGGTAGAAGTGGGAGCCCAGGTTGCTGACTGCGTCAATACAGGGATTAGAATGAAAAAAGATCTGGGATTCTTACATCTAGGGAAAATTGATCAGGAGTACATACAGGACCCGGACTTACGTGAAATATTGGAAAAAACAGTCCTGGATAGTAATAAAACAGAAGTGTTTGAAGGCCAACAACTGCGTTTGATAACCTCAGTGATTTACAGCCAATGCTTTGCAGTTACAGGCAATAGAAAGAAAGAGGTATTTTAACTTCTGATAACTACAGTAGTTTTATTTATTAATTAAGTAATGATATAGAAGGCCATAAAAAGGAAGCTTACATCCGTCCGATTGGTTTCATTAGGGAACTTGAGCAAAGTCAAAAAATTCAAGCAATGGGTAGTTTTAGGTTTTTAACAAGCGAAACATTACTCTGCGCGGACTGCACGTGCATGATGACGCACGCTTTTCGGTCGGATTTCTTTGCCGTTGCTGATCGACGAAAGCTTATGTTACTCGAGACGATTCGCAACCACGATTTTTAGCGCAACACAGCGTTGCGACATAGTTTCGAATAGTTACAATATTGCTTCAACATTGCAACGCTGTGTTGCGCTAAAAATTGTCTTTGCGAATCATTCCGTGTGATTACGTTTAACCCAGGATTAAGACAAATTGTAAGCAAGGTGTTGTTGTTTAAGAACATGAAACTCGAGCTTACAAAATACTGTTGTGCCTTTACTTCGAAAGAAAGAAATGATAGCACAAAATGTTAAAATAGGCAATGTATAGGAAAGTAAATACAAAAAGTGGAACAAAATTTTAATTCTGGATTAGCGCTAATCGGCCTTTCAGGAACCGGGCCCTGATGGGAAGTTTTTTTTGAGGCCGTAAACAAGAGACGAAAAATGTTTCTTTCTCTCTAAACTTTGATTGAAATCATTTAATATAGTGGCGATTTCTCTGCCGACGCATCGTTACTGCACGACACACATTCGCACAGAAGTGAATAATTCTTCATGAGACCAAACTATAGCTCTTTACACAGAAATCTCACTTTGGTTTCGAAGTTAAAATGATGTCTACAGAAAATATACAGGAATTTACATCATTTGGTGCTTGGAACCTTTAATTCTTTTTGCGCACTTTTGATGCCGGCCTACAAAGTGCCCAAAGTGGTCAGACCAGGCAAGGAACCACTGGCCGAACCAGGGGCCTTCAAACGGAGCGGTCATTTTCTATGACGCAGCATTTTCGGCAAAGTTCAGAAGCTGTCGGTTTGTCAGAAGTTAGTAAAATGTAAAGGCAACTTACAGGACAAATTTCAGCTCACTACTCCTCTTCGAAGATAAGAAATACTCATTTACGTCCTTTTCGTCCGAACCAAGGACAACATGTTGTATTCCTTTATGATTCAAAGTAACAAATAAAAGAATAAAAAGGATATTGCTAAGCATCTATAGCAACCAAATGAATCGTAAGATCTACTTTAAAGCAATGTAAAGGATATTGATAAAATAATTGTTCAGTTAATCGTAGCTAATCTTGTTATCTTCGAAGGTGGAAGTGGACGGAGGATTCAACCTTTCGACCTTATTTGCTCACTTGAAGGGAACCATCAGGATGACAGATATTCCTCCAACTATAGCACCAAGAAAGAATACTCGAGGACCATTCCTGTTCCAGTGTTGCCGTGTTGTCTTTAACAAAGAGACAAACCGATTGGAACTCCCCAAGGGAGAGGTTGTTGGTAAAACTGTGAGATGTAAAGAAGAAGAGAAGGAGGCCGAGTACGAAAACACCGCAGTCAGCTTGGTGGAGGACGAGGAGAGTAATTTGACTGGTTAGATCAAAATATAATTCTGGGTCTCTAACGTTCTTTCACATTGGCAAAAAAACTGTAGTGATTGCAATTATCATTGGGTGCTTCCAGTGCCTTGCTGGAGGTGAAAATGGCGATATCAGTTTTTCCGGAAGAGAATTTTAATCGCTGTATTAAGCTGATGTTTAGTCGTTCTTTACATGATATTGAATAACAATGTTAATATTAATAAAGGCGATAAACTAGCATATATTTGTGATTAGCCAAGCCTAAAAGCGGAGCTTCCTTTACATACTTACAAGTACAAGTAGGTCAGAAGATAAAAGAATACACTGTAGTTATGAGGCCAGTTTCTACAAATATAATTTGTGTCCCACTAGTGCCTTTCGAAAGATTCAGTGTTATTTTGCCCACAACGGAAAGTCAATCTTTAATAAATCTATACTCAATATTTTCTATATCCTAGATTTTTTGACAACTGACGATATTGCGAAACTGGAGGAGATAAAGGATTCAGTGTTGAAACCTACCAAGAACAGAGAGAAGCGTAAAGAACGGGTCAAAAAGTACCTGAAGTGGGTAAGAACAATTACAGCAAATAATCAGTCACGTTCAAATCAATTTTCTTAAACCTCCAACCAAATGATTTTTTGGCGAATTTTTTCAAAATGTTCTTAAGCACGAGTTTCGCCAATTCTGCTTTCTATAAAAAATACCTGGAAAAAAAGTTTCGTGAAAACTTTGTTGACAATCGGTTGCTATGGGTAAGAGATGACTTACTTGATCTGAAATAAAAATATTTTTAAGCAAAAAAAGCGGTTTTATAAATAAGTCATTCATGCGAAGAAAAGACAAACTTAAGAACGTCTAATTGCTAAATATTTTAGACTAAGAGACGAAACGCACTTCTTTCGAACACTTCACTATTCTACCCCTCTCTAGATTTTTCTCCGTGCTAAGGCTTCTTTGCGCCGTTCCCCCTAACAAACGTTCAATAGGCATTTATGGCGAAATTATAGTCAACTATTCCAGCCTCCAATTTCAGTTCAGGTCTCAGCAGGCAGGTTCGTCAAAACGATTTAAACTATTTTGAGCAGGGTGCTTAAGTCTGCAATAGACTGGTATTCAGTCAAAGTGAGACTAAGTGGATGCTATCTAGAACTAGACAAAAACTGAAACACTGACTGAAACTTTCGTCAGACATTGCAAATGCAACTTCTTGGGAATACATTGAGGGAGTACCGAGCTTTTGCTGCCTAGGAGATCGTTAGATCAGTATACGATATAAGTAGACTAACAACTAGCGTTTTCACTCATTACTTTTCAGTTTGTTGACGCGCTGTCGCTGCCAAAAAAGCAAGCAGTGGAAAAGAGAGTGTTGTCACTTGACAAGCCCGTCACTGATGTGGACTGTGAATTTCTACGAACCATTTTTGTTCCTGCCAATAAGAATAGTTCAACGCTGACTTTCCCGCAATTCTTCAACGACGAAAAACTTCAGGGATATGCAATTGTTTTGAAGATTCTCTCTGGTAAGACATGAAACGTGACACATATCAACAGGAGAAACGGGCCACAGGAAAAACTCTCCTGAACTTATGTCATTAAAAAAGTAGAAGATATTTTTTTCAAACTGCATCTGAAGATCGCTTATCGTTTCCACTGTTGTGATCAAGGATAAGTGAAGAAGGAAGATTTAAGGGAAAAAACTTCGTTATTATTTGTTTCACTAATTAACATAACTGATCCTGATTATAAATACAATGGGAGATCAGCTTATCGCAATTCTCACAAAAAAAGGCTATGAAAGGCCATCTTATAAAGAATTAAGAAACAATATTACGATCACATCCAGTTAGCCGCAATCTGAAGTAATGGTATAATGGTCGACGAAAGAGTTTTATAAGTGAATTTATTTTGATGGTAACTGAGGTAGGATTTTTATCTAAGATTTTAAGGTCCAGGAATAATAAATAATCATTTCTTTAAAATAAATTGATTTTGGATCACAGATCAAGTTCAAGAGATGGTTACAATCTTCGCTGGGTGAGGGGGATTTGAGTTTTGTTTAATACTGGACTGTAGCAATAATTTGAAGTTACTGAATTGCAGGTTAAGTTTTCTTTCTCGATGCACTCAACAGATTTGTCGGAGGAAACCTGGGATGAAATTGAGAAAGCCTGGGCAGAGCAGGAAGAGCCTTCGGAGTAAATCAAAAGAAGTAGCTGATTGTTTTCCGGAGCAATTCGAGTTTGCATCACACAAGTCAATGTTCTAGTTGCGAGATGTGACAAATATTTGAAATAGTCCTTTAATTGGAAGTAATATGATACCCCGGTCATAATCACGTGGTTTCCAATCATTGCCCCGTTAAGGGGATAGTTTCAGTTGTATCGTAAATTTTGGTAAAACATTTAATTAAAGCGAAAGCTATCACAGATGAAAACGCTCTAACCCTGGAGCATCAGTGGTGAGGTTTTAATTTCAAAGTATCAGTACTCCTACAGAGACTCAAAATTTCCACAAGTTAGTACTTGTAATCAAATGGTGACGAGTGAAATTAGGGAAGAATTTCACGCGTATTTTGTCCAAATCCTAATAATTTCCAGAGCCTTTTGATTACCAATTGATATTATGGATGACGAATTGCACTCACAGTCGTTGGTTTTGGATAAATTTATTGCATTGATTATCGATTGAGACCTCCGCGCACTGAAAACTTTAGATCTTAAATTTTTGCCTTAAATTCAGAATTGATGTGCTTTTCGTGTGTTTAGGTTTTCTAAAGCGTCTTTTAATGCCCATGACATTTTCATTCATAATATTTTAAAATTTCGTCGCCATCTTTTCACTGAGACTTACGGAAGTTTTCCATTTCACATGTGAAATTACAAATTAATGCTGAAATTTCGCGCCAAAATTAAGGAGTAATTCGTCACCCATGATATTATAATTTTAATGAAAGAATCTTGATTTGTGCATTATACATGGCTCGTTTATCAATCTTATTACCAGAGTACTCAGGCTTAGACTCGAGGACGAGGACGACTAAGACGACCAGATTTAACTTCAAGTTTTTTTTCTCGTCTTCTCAAAGAAATAGATACCTCGGAAAGTTTCATTGTGCTTTTCTGCACCAAATTATTTGGCATTATTATTTTACTGAAGGAGATTAATTCGTCTCCCTATCCTAAAATGATGAAAATTCTAACATTATCAACTTGTTTCCGGCACCTCGACATTCTCGCCAAAAGTCGTAGCAGGATGACTACGGCTATCACGTTTTCCTGCCAAAATGACTTTGGTTCAAACGCGTGCACTAAAAACTCGTACATGTAGTCTCACTCGTATTAGAATCTAACGGTCTTTATTGTTCGGGACATTTCGAACGCTTACTGTTGGTCTCAATTACGCGTTAATGCAGATTTGCTGTGAGGTACTATTAGTGGCATCATGGCTGCTAGTGATTAAGTTTCGAATCTCAACTATGGTTGTTCATTTCTATCCTTTGCATTGTCAATTTGTTTTGCTTCCCTCGGGGGTTCGTTTTGCTCCTTAATTCTGTAATGACAGCTTGTGTTGAAGCGTACTTCTAAATCTTAGTGAGTAATTTGGAGGTACAAAAGTAGGAAAATCGACACGATCGCCTGATGAAGAGGTCGCGATCGAAACGTCGTGATCGATAAGAGACAGAAGTGAGACAAACGCTAAACAAGCCCTTTTAATAATTACGGTATATAGGATAGAAATATAGGCCCTTGCAGAGTACATCAGATAATTGCATTGTAACGGGAGGTAAAATACCGAGACAAATGTCTTTTATGTTAGAATTTTGAGCTCTGTAGGTTTTATGTTTGCAAAATATGTATATTGTATTAGTTGAAAGTTTTATAACGAAAACCCCTCTGCCAAGAATATTTCTGTACTTTTCTAGGAAGTTACACCAACAGTGAAGACAATACCTGTGGGTATGTGTTCAAAAATCTCAAATGGTTGTTGAAAGTCTTGTCATCAGCTTTTATTAATTACAACTACGGTGAAATTTAGGCCCTGTCCGCACGTATTCGTAGCGTTTTCGCATCGTTTTCGCCCGTCCAAACGTATACGATGAATCGATTTGAAAACTATAACTTAACCGACTGCGCATGCTTGACGCATATGCCTCTTGACACCGGTAGCGAAAGTAACCCGACTATGTTCTGCCGCCTCCTGGAATAGTCAGCTTGAAAAATTAACAAAGCTAAATTTGCTTGAAAACAAGCAATTAGGTTAGAAATAAGCCCAAGTAAAAGAGACAAGAAAGGGAAGCGCCCGTCCGCCATCTTGAATAAGTTCCTAATATTGCGCGGAGTGGATTGGAGCTGATAGTGTGACCTCAGCGGAAAGGATGAACATTAGGCAGGAGACAATATAAGCAGTCGTAAGAGTTGCAGAAGAAGAGTGAGCTTGAAACTCATTAACACAGGAAAGCGTTAACCTTCCAATGCTAGTATTCTCTTGTCCTTCAGTGACAGGGTCTCTGTGATAGTGAGAATTGACTGTACATACTGGGTTAAGTAAACTGCGAGCAAGCTTCCTAAAGTCACTTTACCAGTTTTGCTCCAGACAATTTGTATATGTTGTGGTCCATTTTTATCTTTGGTTTAATTTTTTTTGTTTATACCATTATCATTCATTGCCATGCCCAAAAACAAATGGACATAAAGTGAAGCACAACATATACAGTTTTTTAAACTACATTAAGTTCCGCCATGTGGAAGTTTGTTGCCTTATACTAAGACTTGTGAACATAATTTAACACTTTATATCTTTTTATGAAGTATTTTTATTTGATTAATTGGTAGCTGTAGAAAGCTCAAAATCCTACTTTTTAAGAATCTACAGCGATAGTTACATAAAGATTAAAACATTTGAACTTCATTAAAACTGTCTTATATGAATAGGCCGACTGTTTTAAAACCCTCGCCTAACTCTCTCCCATTTCACTTAAATGACATCACATCACATCGATCATGGTCGACGGTATTCGTAGAGGCGGTTCTGGTAGTAACCACAGTCGTAATCTCGTAGCAGAAGGATATTACCTGAAACAACAGCTGGAAATGACAGTCGGTTATGGAGGTGCGACACGATGATGATGATGATAATCTGCAAATTAAATACCATTGGAGATTTTCATAGTTATGTTGATAACTCTCAGCTTTGTTTATCTTTCAAGCTAAGCTGTGCTTAGATGATGATGTATCAGGGACGTCAAGCATTTAACTTACTCCGACAAAGATATGCTTAACGATGTCAAAAACGAATTTCCAGGCATAGCACCACGGTATCTATTTAAAAATGGCTGCTGTCAGCGCCATCAGGGTATCGTGATGTATCCAAAGTGAGGATTGTGCGGAATTTGGGAGCGTGGTTCGATGACCAGTTAACTTGATGACGTACACATTCCTAAACAAATGCACTAGTCCTCTTTTTTTTTCACTGCCTTTTTAGTAGCTAAATAGACTACCATGATAGTCTATTAAATGGTCTGCCTTAGTACCTCAACACCATTTTATGACTGGCTACTTTTCTGATGCTTTAAGAGATACAAGATGCTCTGAAGATAAAGACGGACAAGGGTGGGGGAGGGGGGAGGTGGTTAGAAGATCGCAGTAAATAACTTAAGGTTATTTTGAATGAAACTGGTCATAACTTTTATCAATGATTAAGAGAAAATGGAAAGTACTTTATGCCATGAAAGTACTTAAGTGCGATATGTATATGTACGACTGAGACTGAGCATGACTGAGTAAGGACGTGTGATTGTTAGCTCCGTAACTTTTGTTGCACTCTTCCATGCGTTCTGATATTTTTTATGGAATTTTCATCGCCACTTTCATCTCTGTTTAAACGGAAAACGAGAGGGAGTAATTCACCGACCAGCGAGACCATTTCCCCCGAAACGAAGCGGTTGAAAGAGAGTGTGAAAGAAGACCAAGCGAACGCTCCACCCGCCATTGTATCGCCACCAAAGTCGAAGAACGATTGTGAAGACGTAGTTCTGTCTGCCCTCAATATGGCACAAGATTTCGCCTCCAAAGTGGACCTAATATTATCAAAGTTAAGTCAACTGGAAAATATCGGCACACAAATAAATGTTTTACAGGACCCTGTGGATCGAATAAATCAAACGGTCGCAAACCTTCAAAGCGAATTCCACCGCTTAAAGGAAGACGTACGAAATACAGTCGAAGAAACAAATACGCTTAAAACAAGCGTAAAATTCCTGAATGATGAAGTGGAAACTAGCAAGAGAAAACTCCGAGATGACGAAGAGAAGTCACGACAGGAGCTGGATCACTTGCGTCTCCAACTCTTAAATTATGAAGTGTACAGCCGCCGCGAAAATCTTCGTTTCTACGGCATTCCAGAAATCGAAGGGGAAGAGAATACTGAACCCGTTTTGAAAGCTTTCTTGGAGAAAGAGTTAAATGTGGAAAACGCCCAATCTATTGAGTTCCAAAGAGTCCACCGCGTCGGTAAAAAGGACCGAAACACAAGAAAACCCAGGGCCATCATAGCACGCTGTCTTCGCTTTAAAGATCGAGAAAACCTCTTTTCTTGCCGACGCAACATCGATAGCCAGTCGAATTTCGGTATTGGCCCTGATCTACCTAAGCAGGTGATTGATATGAGGAAGAGGCTTATTCCGAAGATGGTACAAGCAAGAAAAGATGGAAAACTGGCAGCCTTCAGTAGAACGGAACCCTATAAACTCTTTATTGACGGTGTGGAGGTAAAATCATAAATAAATAGGTTCCAGGTTATTTATTTTTAGAATTCGCAGGAAGTAGTTCACTTCTTATTTTTTTCGTTTCTATTGGGAGCTATCGATTAGCATATTCCTTAGTTCTCTTCTGAAGTTCGATTTAAACAAAAGTATAACACTTGATCTCGTCCAGGCGTAGCTTCAACATTTAATTCTTTACACTGGCTACGCTTTTCATCTCGTTTCTTTTGTTTTGTTATGTATGTTATTCTATATTTATTCAGTTTGCACTTGACAAAATCAGGAATGCGTTAATTGTTCGAGTAACAGTGACCCTTCTGGGAATAACAGCTACTGTTGTTGTCTTTTTTCCACTACACGTATGCAAATTTCAATGGATTTCAACAACTTAAAGTTTAAAACTCTTTCGCTGAACGTTCGGGGTATCCGTTCTTTTGAA